TTAATGAAGTTGATCCGCAAACGCAAGTAAGGACTGAAAAGTTGAGTAGGATGCGTGCGGAGAAGCTATGCATGTAACGCAAACCAGACAAGTTAGCATGCTTCAATCAAATTATCCACGACTGTGCGTTTATACACTCACCTGCCTCAAGTTTGCCCCCCACTCAGCGTATTGTGTGTCCTGCTCGATATCATTCCTCCATAATATAACGCTGCCCCCCTCTGGCCTATCTGAAGAGTCGACGAGGCCGTCCAAGAGATCGTTCCACTTTGAAGGAATATCATATCTCCGCGGTGCTTCATTCGAAACCTCTGCCTCCGCGTTGTTCTCGGTACCCGTGCGCAAAATTTCTTGTGCAAAGTGCTTCGCCGAACCAAACTTGGTGCCTTTCTTGACTTCCAATTTCGACGGAGATGGATCAAATGGACCTGAATGCACTGGGTGTACGACAAACTCTATGGCCTGCGACCGGGACAAACCAAGCTCGACAAGTGAGCGAATAAGAGCACGTTCGCGCGCAAAGTTGCGTAGAAGCCTGAACTTAAATCAGAACTGAACCAACCTTGGAATGTAGCGCAAAAGGCGGAGGGAAAATACAAATGGTGGGAAGAATGATAAAGACAGAAAACCCACCCGAATATCCCAGCGTCGCCCTCTAGCACCCTCCCATTGATCCATACCATGTTCATGCCCATCATCACCTTCCCCCAGTTATCTTGCACTTCGTCTCGTACTGTGTCCGGCACACGGACTTTGCGCGCAAGTGGAGCAGCATAGCGCGGAAAATTCGCAGACAGCGTGTGCAATACATGCAGCGGGGTGAGCGAATTTCCCAATAAGCATGAAGATATATCTGAGGGGAAGGAAGAGCGGTTGGAAAGGAGACCAAGAAGGGATGTTGCTTTAAGACCAAGGTCTGCGCCATGCGAGGTGAGTACTAAGTAATATGATAGTGATAAAAGTCAAGCTACCTTGAATCTCTTCTGCACTCAAGGGATTATTTGTGGCAGCATTCTCCTCCATTGCGGTATCAATGTACGACATGGCCTCGAAAATACAGCTTAGCACGTCACTTTCTTTCTCTTCCTGTATCTCGTCCCCAGAGGGGTCATCACGAGAGGTGGAAGCCCGCTTCCGGTCATCTACAGCGAGGTAATCCATCTTCTTCAAGTCCAGCGCGACACCAAACCCTGACAAATACGGTCCATCTGTCGCAACGACAGGCCGGGCCCAGCGTAGCACGTACTCCACGTCATGACTCAAAGAAAGTAGTGCGCGATGTAGTGTGTTGAATTTAGGTGCCATAGGATCCGCATAGTGTATTGCTGTCCATCTGGGGGCGTCAAGTGATGGCTGAAGAGGTGGAGTATGATCTGTTTGAAGACGCTTCATTTTTATTTGAGACTCGGAATACGAGTCTGCGAATGAAATTTCGACGAGGCGCCTGAGTTCTTCAGCATTGCAAGCAATACTTCCATACCAATCTACCCAATCCTCGCATCCTTCCCTTCCACTTTCATGTATGTGCTGTGCAGCAAGCTTGGGACTTGCGGCATGTAAAGCTAGCCCAACATCCACGACAGCTATTTCTGGAGGCTGAAGGTGATTTTTTGCGAGATCTAAGATGGCGTTATGCGATTCTTGCGGTGTTGCAGGTTTCAGTGGGAGAGGGAAATGATCAAGCAGTGGAAACAGGTGCTCGGGAGAAGTAAGGGTCAGGGTTTCTCTAGTAAATGACATGTGATATTCAGTTGCACGACAGGGTGAAGTACATAGCTTGAACTTACAGTGCTTCGAGTAGTGGATCTGCAGCACTGAAAGAGGAACGCAAGGACACGCCAACCGGAGGAGATGCGCTGAAACCAAGCAGCGCATATCCAAGAACAACAAGTGCGCCAGAACGCATTGCTGTTGACTCCTACAAGCCTACGTAGTCAGTAAACCAAACTAAATCACAAAGTTTATGATCTCTGCAGTGTTACTACCAGTCTTAGAAACACGTTGACAGATCACGTGACTGATGCTATAAATATTTATGGTAAACATATATCAACAATCACGTAATTACTTTCGTCGGGCTTGTCCGAGTCAAATCATGCATGAAAGTTAACCCTTCCAGTACTGCCCATGATTTAAGCAGCTGTCTCCGGGCGACTCGCGTTACCATGACTGTGAGCGCGTAACATGCTGTCCCCGGTGAACCATCACAAATCCAGGTTTGACACACATGGATCGCGCCCCATTTCAAGAAAGCTCATCCGATTATCACAAGTGATCTCCTCACTGGTCTATGATCTACTACGCTGAGCGCGCAAGTGGCGATTCTACGTTGTATTAGCGTTCTGAAGTGCCAGTGACATCACATTTTTTAGAGATCTGCTAAGAGGACCCTGTGCGCTCTTTGTACTCATCCGTGGTAGGATGACAAGTATTTAATCCTTTAGTTGACGTATCCTATAGATCATTAAGTTGTCCGAGTCTATGGTCATGCACTCATCTCATCATTCTCGATTACATTCCGCAAGCTTAGAACATGCAAGTTTAACCCAGGACAAGGCCTCGTTGCAACGGCAGTATAGAGCCAAAGAAGCGCATGCACTCGCGCAACTCCAAAAATTACTTCAAGACATATCTCGGAGCAAAGATATCCATCAGACTCGACTTGGGACGATTGTTCAAGGTAACCCGGTTTCGCCGACTAGGTTCTAATCGCGGCATCGTTAAAACCTTCACTGCAGCTACAGAAATGATTAAATTTCTGTATTGTCGCAACACCATGTTGGAGGAACTTCGTGATTTGCCGCGTCCGGAACCAAGTCACAGTGCCACAGCAGCCTTCGACTGTCATCTGGGTGAGCTCGCTTACGAGAAATTGCATAGGACCAGTGACATATTATTCCCAGTCCAACACCCATTGGCTGACCAGCAATGGGGTAATGATCATATGTATGAAAGACGCCAACACTCGGATGGCGCGTGGAACACACCATCAGCAACAGTTCCAGGTTGGTCGACATCTCTAAATGATGTCGCGATGTCTTGTAACAGATCCGTCCGGCACTAGCTACTAGGCTTTCCTCTCGAAAAAGGTTTTCGTTTCGTTGATTTTTGAGATCAGTTCAGCTGAGCACGCTGCGACCCAAGGAATTTAACGATTCTATGCCTACTAATAGTACTACTAAATGCTGGATACCTACTAAAGTTGTTTTTATTCGGTTGACCGTGACTATACATATAGTTCCTGCATATACGAAAAACGCTATATTTGAAGTGTCCTGACAGGATGCCTCCGTCATTAATCATTCTCCAAGCCGTACGTACCAGCAGTGTAACGTAAGAACGTAACGCAAAGATCTCGGAAACCTTGTCGACTCTGATAATTGGTCAATAGCACGAGAGTCAGTCGAAATTATTTGATAACAGCATTAGATGTCACCTCAAATATCCTCCAGTTAGTTCTTCGATGAAGGACCCATGATTTCAATTAACTGAGACCTTGCAAGTTGCAGGCGAACATAAGGCATGTTTTGTTTTTATCGCCCGAAAGTTGCCTGAAAGCCCTTCAGCACCCAGGCTAAGCACCGCCTCGACGAAAAATTTCCCGATCTGGCGGGGCGATGACAATACCTACCAGGTACTAAGTTTGTTTTTTTCTCCTGGAAATCAGCATGCCAGAGAGTTCATCTATCCTTGGACTTTGCATTTTTCTTCTAAACGATACGACCCTGCAAAAATTCACTTCAGTTATACATAGCGCTGCGTACTATGCAACATAAGGAAAATACTCTCGCTAGAACAGCGCTATACTTGAAACTTGAACATGGCTTACGACCTTGTCAAGATCTCGTGCAATGGACGTTTGCCAGATAATCGGCTTTTGCCGGCTCATCCAGTGATCCGATGATGATTCCAAGAACGTTTCATCAATGATCAGCTCTGGAATAGCTAGAAGCCACTGAAAGAAGTCGATATCAGACAACTTTTGACTTTCCAACTGAGAAAATAATCGTCGTCGCGCCAATTGAGAGAAAGTTTTACTGGAATTTTTCGTTTGGTCATAACTTTACAGCAAGCTAAATAAAAAAACACTTGCCCGGACCGAACATTGATTGGCAGACCTCTCACTTCCATTCCGATGTTGACGACATGGTCCGAGTTTGGCTTGCCGCAAAGTTGTAATGACCCAGGAGGGTGAGAAATTAATATATACGGTGATCTCGGCCGCCCAGTGGCTATCAGCCTCGGGGGTACTAATCGTGGGGTGACAAGCGCTACCCCGAGGATCGCATGGTAGGCTGTATATCGCAAAGGTGTGCTTCCCACTTTGTTTGAAATGGGTTAGCTCCTCGACGAAGAACTCGACTGGCTAGAAGCATCCCCGAACCTTGCATATGTCTTCAAGTTCAATAGGCGCGTACCAGTAGCGCTGCCCATTTGAGTTCTATCATTCTTGCTGTATGGCACTGGCAGACCGCGGCATAGGCTGGAGATGACTTTCATGAGCGGGATGTACGGAGATTGAGACGACAACGACCAGCCTATCAGCATTATGCTCAATCCAGAAGGAAACAATAAGTACGCTATCGATTCGGCGCTTGTTCCTCGCCATGAGGTTGCAAGCACTAAAGCGCTTTGGGCAGTGCACTGGTTTGGGTGATTTCAACATCCCGGATGACATCAGGCGAGCAGCAAAAGGCAATCACATGCAGGCCGCGTCTCCAAAATAAGTTTGCTTCCGAATAATGCCTCTACTACCAACTTCATGCGGGCGACTTTAATCAAGCGCTCAATAATTTTGACCCTGCAGGTCTAGGGTTCGACCATCCCGTTAAGCTAGGAGCTGGACGTAAGTTCCACCTCAAGTGGCGCCTCTCAGATGGCACGATTATTATCGGCATATAAGGAGGCGGCAAGCCTGAGGGAAATCACCAGATTCATACTTACCGTACGGTCCTGCTTCCTATCAGCTGCTCCAGCTCTATCGCGACATCGTTGAAGTAATGCCAAAGCAAAACAAGTCGGTCTTGCAAAAACAGTACAGGAGCAAGGAGCTCGATGGGTTTTCTTTGGTACGGGCGGAGATCCGTCATGCTACTAGAGGAGAAATAGACCCCAAGACAAGACAAGATGTTCTACGAAAAGGTATGTATATAATGAATGAACACACGAAACTAACTGACAGTCTGATTCTGTTCAGCCGCACGGCTGATCAAAGACCTTGCTGTGTTAAACGCAAAGTTGCAACACCAACTTTATAAATCCTGTCACACTAGTTCCGAAACACCATCAAGTTGTGCAGGAGCACTTCCGACAACAATCAGTGGTAAGTATATTCTGTACACATGCAATCCGCCGCGCTCATTGACAACCAGCAGATCCATGTGTGCAAGACCCATATTCCCCTGCATATTATGAATACGAATACTTCATCGAGCAGCCAAACCCCGTCCGCCAGCTCGCAGGCATACAGCCAACTGAATCACATCCATATGTCACCAGCACAGGCTATGAACTGTGCAATATCATGCCATCGGGGAACACGGGTATCACCCTCGGGCCGGTCGCATATGATCAGATCATCAGCCAGGTGAATCCTCGCTGGAGCTCGGATCGCCAGTATTACAATCATCATGAACAATTATACGCGTAGGACAATATATTTGCCTAGCGTACATCAACATTTACCCGCGATAGTTAGATCTTGTCTGTTGGGGGTTCAACGTATGGCATGAATCACATGTAAAAATATTCTTAGACTCTGGCATCCTAAAACATTTATAAAACATAATAATGATGATTCCGGGCAGGTTGCGTCTCGTAAGCCCTCACCAACACCACCTGAAAATAAATGATTCCCGAGAACTTCCAGTGGACGGAGGGTTCTACGGGCAGGAATTACTACGCATTCAGAGTCTTTCGGGGCTTTCCATAGGTTTAGGCATAGGTTCCAGCTTCTAGACGGTCCAGGACTATTCGCGCCGCCAGCAACTGCCTGCTATCAACAGGGTTCTTCGACTTGTCGAGTCATTTAGACTAGAATCTACATTAGCTCTAAATTTCTCCTGTAATCTCGACATATCTTTGATCGACATGTTCACGCTCGCGTCCCGCCTGGTTCCATATTCTCATGGGTACTCAGCGAACTCCTCGGACCAACGCTGACATCAATTGTCAGACAAAACCAAGGGTCATGACAATGCCACCGAATTACAAGTTTGGTTAGCGTTCAAAGTGAGTACCTTACATACATAAGTCATAACACCTTACAAGTGATGCTACGACCGGCGGTAGGCTGCGAGCCGTAGGCTATCAAGATGTGCGCTAAGTTTTGGTTTTTCCCCAACTTAGTTTCGTGACCTTGAGTATATCGATGGTCTAAATCTACTCACCGAGGGTAGCCGTCACCTCACTTACAGCACCGCTCGATAAGGAATTTTCTGCTCATGCATCAGGTTAAGCACCTTGTCATCGCGTGTCTACAGCACACCTACCTGCAGTTTCTCGTCACCTGCCAGACTACCACACCTAACTCAACATGTGCCCTCCCGCATCACGCACTAGGCCAACTACAACCTCATGACGCCTGGTATTGCTTCGAACCCTCGAAACCTCATGCTAACTCCGACCCCCGAACCAGAGCGTTACGCTCCGAGGCCTCTCGGCGCAGGCTCGTGTTTTGAAATACATGATAGCGATAAGATACGAGCGGTCAATCTTCCATACCTGAATGGGATGTGGTTGAGGCCGAAGACAACGATGCTGATTAACTCGGCGACAGCGTGTCCGGGATTGTCGGCAGGACAGTGTGTGATGAGTAATGACAGGTTGCCATACGAGGGTGTGGGCGCCAAAAAGCGCACCTTCCAACCACCGGGGGCAGCGAAGGTGACAGACAAGTGGAATTTAGTGCGGCACAGGGCGCATGCTGCCTCATGCATCGATGAAACTTGGCTTGATAGCACGGATGGCAGGCATCTTGGACAAGTCAAGAGATATCTAATGAACAACCCGAGCTGTAGATTGGGTCGATTGAGATTTAGCTGGCGCCTTTCGGTTATCGTTGGCATCGGCGAGCGCCAGGAAGTTATCCTGTTCGTGGGTTTTTTTTACCGCTGTTCCGACTACTCGGGTAAGTCGGAGGCAAATTTGCAGCTGCACGTACCTTTGTTTCAGGAGTTTCAATCGGTGAGTCAAGGTATTTCGGAATGTGATCGGGCACCAATTACTCGTGCGGAGGATCTGAAAGGGTTGCTCGATTCACTCAGTTCGCGTTCACTTGGGATCCGAGCCCAATTGAACATGAACTAAATGAGTAGCCCTAAAGAAGTCGTCATCATCCTCGCAGGCATAGTATCAACTATATAATGATGCGGTCATCAGGCATGGAGGATCCAGAGAGGAGGAGAATGGACTCACCCTCTACAGCAGAATCCACACGTGAATTCTGAAAAGAGACTCAGAAGGCCCTATGAAACTACTAGGCCTGACGGAGGTCGTCACTGACCATTAAAATATTAATCGGACTGTCGTCCCTTGACCGCGCTCAGTTTTCCGACTTTTCCACACATTTATGTAAGTTGCTAGCAACCTATTGACACAAGGCGCAAGGGTAAGTCATGAGGTTGAATCCTGGATTCAAAGCCGATGGATACTCACATCCAATTTGCATTCATAGGGGTGGCAGCAATCTAGTGGGTGGTTTGGATCTTGTTAGTCCGTACCGCAAAGATTGTTTATTCCCCGGCACCAGTCGACAGCGTTGCCACTGACCACATGGACGCTGTCAAAGCAACGGCAGCAGCAAGGAGAAATGAAAAACGCATGTCTCTTGCTATGTAGTATAGGATGCGTCGGGGGGATCCCAAATGATAGTTCTAAGAGTCGACAGCTTGCTGACATATCCCACCTCGAGATCCATGGTAGTGATAGGAAGAACTCAATGGTATAGGTATTAGTTCTGGTCATGGGTGATCAAATTCTTGTCCGCTTAGTCAGAGCCAGCCACTGGCAGTCCCCAAGTGCTTACAACCTGTGCTAGTATGGCCACTGTCGCTCATCACATTCATTCAGACTATGATCCTGCAGATCGAGAGCGACTAGAGAAGGAGACGGGTCAAGTTCCAATAAACGAAGCTAAACAGTGGAACGCAGCGCCAACTTTCTCTGCTAAGTACTCGCCGTGCCCCACCCCCATCCTTTGTTCCCGCGCACATTCAATACGACGAGTGGGGTTCTACTGTTTCGCTTACACATACAGTATCTTCGAATACCTCTGCTCCGGACAACGGGACCTTTGAGTGGTACAGAGATTTGACAAGAGATAGCTCTAGGACGTCAGGGAATCAACCACCGACACCCAGGTCGTCAAGTACACCCAACGAGGCCCCAAAACCAAAGAAGGCGGCTACCACAAAGAACGACTAGTTCATCAAAAGAGCGCTTCAGTCTGGACCATCGAGCAAACCTAGTTCTCCTGCACCATCATTAGCAGACCTCCTCGCACGAGATCCACCACCACTACTGTAACCATCGGAGGAACATTTTGTTCCTCCAGTCTGGCTGGCGATAGGGCCATCCAACAAAGGCTTCAGCCTACTACGGAAGGGTGGCTGGAACGAAGGAGAAGGGCTTGGTGCACACGTCGCTCGATCTCTGCGCCCAGCACACACATCTGTGTCAATCTCGCATGCGGGGACAAGTACTAGTTACTAATATACCGCTTGACGACAAAGAAGAGTCTCGAGACATACTTCCCGACCTCATCGACCTCACCCAATCTGGATCAGAGCCAGAAGATGATGACTTTGAATCTTTCCACCGATCGCTTTCCCTCCTGCTTACTCCAACATCCTGTGCATCTAAAGAACCTGATCCGTACTCACAGAGGTTGTTGTTGACGCCTATTCCAACGGTACTTAAATCCGACCGCCTCGGTATTGGTTTGAAGGCGAAAACGGAGGGCCCATACAAGCAGTCGAAGAAGCGGTTTACTCATAACCAAGCGGCATTGGCATCTCACATTAAGACATCTGAGGAGCTGCGAAGGAAGAGAGTTAAGGTTGGTCGAGGTCGAAGAGGATTTGCAAAGGTACGAAAGCGCGAAGAGAATGAAAGCTCGCATATCTTAACACGTAGTTTACGACTTCAGATTAGCTCAAGAGTTCAAGTGAATTGCATGAAAAACTACAAACTATATACGAGCAATATCTTAATAAGTGACAGCCTTTCGTTACATACACAATGTCGTGACTTGCAGACACTATCATGCGCGAATCGTGCGAGTAAGTACAGTATACAAGCAGTACAGGAAAAAGTTAGATCTAATTTTGGCCAAGTTTGCACGAGAGGTTTTCCCTGATGAAAATCGTAAGCAAGGCGAGTCACACAAATGTGTTTTATCGATTTGCGAGGAAGTTTTTCTAATGACATGTTATTCTAGAGTCTGTTCTAGGTAGCCCAGAAATTCGTGCAGCAATGAGCATACCAATCAACTGCATATCGGCGTGTCATCAATTGACCGCTGGCACAACATGAAAGCAGAAAAACGACCCACTGTTGCGAACGCACTCAGTTTTTCGGCTCTACACATGTATGTAAGTTGTCGGCCTATAAAGCACAAGGGGTAAGTCATGGAGTCGAGTCCCGGATCCAAAGCCGATAGATACTCACATCCACTTTGCAGTCAAGGCCGGGGCAGCAAATTTCTTTGGCTTCTGGGTGTCTTTGGTCCACGTCGCAATGATTATTCATAGTTATACACGCGGGTGGCATGCCTGTGGGGGGGCCCTTGCCGCTGACGGACATAGATGTTGTCAAAGCAGCAACAGCAGCAAGGAGGAATGAAAAACGCATATCTCTTGCTATGTAATATAGAATGCGTCGATGGGATCCCAAATGATAGTTCTAAGAGTCGACAGCTTGCTTATATATCCCACAAATCGTGCTTTTGGGAAGCCCAGGATCAGTAGGTCCATCAGCCTGAATGGTTGTGGCTGGCAGATTTGCATAGGCAGAATTACGTAGTCTGCGGATAATCTAGAATAAAGGCATTATCAATTTACCACAACCTCGGAATCCACGGTAGTGACAGGAATGATGAACCGACATTAATGTCGACGACGGACTATCGATCCCCGCCACCACAAAGTGACAGAAGGATTTTTGTTTCCTATGAAATTATCAACTTTTGTAGGCAGCTTGCTGTAGTAGTGGCGGAATAAGTTAGATGTCATAGAACGACTTCGCGAGAACGGGGTCTCACATCAAAATCAATGTCTATGCGTGTCGGCGCAAAGTGTCACGCGGGAAGTAAGGCGGCGCGCACTTGTGACCAGTGCGGCCGAAGGTTAGGGAAGGTTTTTTAGGAAAAAACCCGAACAGGGTGCTTATAAATCCTGATTTAGCCCGAGCCTTGATCAAAGTTTTGCTGGTCCTGCAGATATAGCGCGATTTTTTCTGCAAGGCCATCCTTCTCATCAAAGCTCTCGGGAACTCCATCTCTATCTTCTTCATCATTCGTTTCTTCTATGATGGCACCTTGTTCTCGAAACACGAGGTAGGAGCCCACAAACACCCGCGAATCACGTTCAGGACTGAGTGAGGCCGTGTAGGGAGTGACGACTCTGAGGACCATAAAAGATCGCTGAAACACTGGAGAGCGAAAAAAATCATGTATATGATGAGTGATAAAGCATATAAAATGAAGTGCGTACGAAGAACGTGTTGTAATAGTAATGTGGCGATTCGTAGCGCTACAAATTATCAATGTTTCGAACTCTTAAGTAGCCCGATCAGACTTTTGTCGTTTCGCAGAAGATATAAATGGAGGTTGTGAATCCGAGTGAAGAAAAATATAAAACATCAAGCGAAAAGACTACGTGTATGATGGGTGTGCATGTAAAATGAAGTGCGTACGAGAGGTCGACTTGGAGTGCTGCAAATTATTGATGTGTTTCAAGCGACGTGTACAAAAAGCGATCGAGGAACTAGAGAGACAAGCGGAGATCTAAACCGCAACCAATAGTGACTTTTGACTGCTTTTTGCTCGTCTGAACCGCCTGAACTGCCTTGAATGATCAAATCCCCTTGTCCTAAGGACGAGGACCTAATTATTTGAAGTAACGAACCATTCTCCTTATTTTACACAATAAGTCAAAAAAGTCGTGTTAAGGACGAAATAAGGGACACAACGTTTTCCTCGTGTGAATAACTTGCGCGTTGGCGGAAAACTATGCTAGCAAGGCAAGCAAGGCGGGTAACATGAATGTGTTTTTATCGATTTGCGAGAAAGTTTTTCCAATGATATGTTATTCTAGAGTCTGTTCTAGGTAGCTTAGAAATTCGTGTAGCAATAAGCATACCTATTGGCGTGTCATCAATTACCGCTGGCACAACATGAAAGCAGAAAAACGACCCACTGTTACGAACGCGCTCAGTTTGTCGGCTTTACACATCTATGTAAGTTGTCGGCCTATAAAGCACAAGGGGTAAGTCATGGAGTCGAGTCCCGGATCCAAAGCCGATAGACACTCACATCCAATTTGCAATTGATGTCTTTGGGCCCGGCGGGGCCGCAGCAATCTAGGTCCTCGTTTGGGTATTTTTGGTCCACGCCGCAAAGTTCACCTGGAACTATACAAAACATCTTGGGAGGAGACTTGGGGGGACTGCCGCCACTGACGGACATAGATGTCGTCAAAACAGCAACAGCAGCAAGGAGGAATGAAAAACGCATATCTCTTGCTAGGCAATATAGGATGCGTCGATGGGATCCCAAATGATAGTTCTAAGAGTCGACAGCTTGCTTATATATCCCACAAATCGTGCTTTTGGGAAGCCCAGGATCAGTAGGTCCATCAGCCTGAATGGTTGTGGCTGGCAGATTTGCATAGGCAGAATCACGTAGTCTGCGGATAATCTAGAATAAAGGCATATCAGTTTACCACAACCTCGGAATCCACGGTAGTGACAGGAATGATGAAGGGACATTAATGTCGACGACGGACTATCGATCCCCGCCACCACAAAGTGACAGAAGGATTTTTGTTTCCTATGAAATTATCAACTTTTGTAGGCAGCTTGCTGTAGTAGTGGCGGAATAAGTTAGATGTCATAGAACGACTTCGTGAGAACGGGGTCTCACACATCAAAATCAATGTCTTTGTATCCCAACACTCCTATGCCATAGCTATAACCAAGAGCATAAGTATTGAAGATAGGATTCTTGGGCCCGGATGCGCATCATCCTGCGGGAGAACATTTCAAGATACTAATTATGTTGTAACGCCAGGATGTTACAATTAAGGGAAGTTACTGTAGAGTTACGCACCTAAGTTCGACCTGATATGGGTGTGACCGAATGAACATTAGGTTCGAAGGGGTGTGTGACGTGTGACATGTTGCGCATAGGTTCGTTGTGTGAGACGACCGACTGGGCTGGGAGTCTCATTAGGCAGAAGTATTTCTTTCTTTGTACGAGCGCAGAGATGCCCGCGCTCAACCTGGAGACTCCGTCGCTAGTGCTCACCCCTCGGAGCTTCGTTTGCAAGTTCAATTCCGTTCGGCAACATCACACCTTCTTCCTATGTTGCTGCAGAGTCCTGTCAATGCGGATCCGATGTTTGGTGAGCCATAACCCAGCCTACAATGAGGATGCCATCTGAAACATTTCCCTCCTCCCCCAAGTTCACTTTCTGCACTATGCATAACTTAGATGTTGCCCCAGCGGCCAAAATTCAAGATGTTTTATCTGTACCTACACAGTTCTCGATCGCTCCTTCCGGCAGTCTTCCTGTCGCTGCGTTTCTTCCATTAGCTCAATTTGCAGCTGTGACCACTGACAGTTCGAAGGAGGTTGATGTCGAGGGTCGCGGCAAGCGCAGACGCGTTGCAAATACTCAATATAAGGAGTTTTTTCGTGTTTTTACTGCATGTTTTCGTGTTTTTACCGCATGTCACAACTTAAGTTCGATGACCTCAATATGCGTGTGACTGTCACACGAAATAGGTTCGGTTCGCTCGCCCTGTGATGGTGTGACGAACTTAAGTGCGTAGCTGTACAGTATTCGCATTCCAGCTTCATCTGCCATGAATATGGGTCGGTGACATGATCTAGTTAGTTGGGCTGGACCAAGTGTTAGCTCAGGGTGGGATGCAAGCAGGTGGAGCTGCTCACCCATTACACCGGAACAACCCGCGGCTTCAGCTGCTCAGCCCAACTAAATGTGGAGGCAATGGTTATAGAGTGGCAGCGTTGGTGAGGTGCTGTGATGAGATCTGTTCAAAAGCGCGAATGTAAGTTTCATATGCAAGTGATTTCCAATGACCAGCAATTTGAACTATCTCTGGGTCAACCTTCTTTGCCAGGTAGAAAGAAGCACCGCCTATTCAAAAAGAATGCCCAAATGAAGTTCCCCAACCCCAAGCTACTAGGATGGAGTTTATCTGTTCCAAGGCACAGACCTTAACCATCAGACAAATGTCGCCCTGCTGTCTCGCCACAAGAACAAAGGGTCATTACCCAGTGCTGGAACAACCTGTGCCAGGTGTCGAAGAGCTGCGAGGGGGCATAACTCTCCTTGCTCATTGAGGAAAACTGATTGTGTCTCTCCTGCTTGAGCCGTTTTAGCAGATGGCAGGTCCAATCGTGCATATGGGCTGCCGCACAAGTCTACATCGAAGAATACATTTTTTCGAGTGAGGTGCCTAAATGGTGAGAAGGCCAACCGGGAAGTGACTGATACTTCGCCAAAATGCATCATGCTGAAAAAGGCACATGATGCCATAGCCCAAACACATGCATCGAAAGGGTCAGGTAAAATGAGAGTGGCTTTGAGTGCTAACAGCATTGCTAATGTGATAGGTGGTCGGAGGGGCTTTTGATGGCCACCATGTAGGTTCTCGAGGCCACGCAAGGACCAGTTGATGCGATCATGGTGTGGATCCGACAGTGGTGGAGGCCAGCCTTGAGCTATGTGCCAAGCCTGCACTGCTGATAGGTATTTTCGTGTGACACCAACTGATATTGGCTCAAAAGGAATGCTGCTACAAATGGAATGGATCGGGTCTCCTGGCTCTGGGTCAGTTACTGCCCACAAGGTGAATGAATGCAGCAACTTGAATGATGCTGGAAGACGGTTGTGTTCTGGGATTGAGAAGATATCGCAGAATAAGTGAAATTTACATAAACCCGCCCCATAGCTGCTAGTGTCGTGAAGAGATGCCCTGTTGGCTAAACTAGCAATATGGCGAATTACTGGGTTGTCGATGGTTGATGGTGGAGGGGAATCTGTTCCTTGCCAAAGAAAAATTCGCTCAGCGGCCTTGCAAGGTGGGCGGAGATGAGAGGAGTGCAAGAATGGGATTAGATCAGCCGATGGAAACAATTGATGTGATGTCATCACAACAATGGGATCAGCTTGCCTGCTAAGTGAGGGGGTAGAGGAATGCACACAGAATCTACTGCTGCAGGGAATCCAGCTTGGAATGCAGTGATGTCGCCACATGAGAGTGCATCTGCGATGTTGCAGCAGGTAGAAACATATTCTGCATGTAAGCGAACATTGTTCTCTGCCTGCAGCCGATAAATGTGCTTCAGGATCGTGTTTGTCTCTGGGCTGTGAGAATGACCCTTGTTGGTGACTGCAACCACACCTTCGTTGTCTGAACGCACGAGATAGCGAACATTCTCGGCAGCACAATGCAAAAATAAACCTGGACAAACTCAATCAGAAAGGCTTGAGTAAGAGGCAAATAGCAAAATTATCAGTACCCAGATGGAGAGCTATCTGAAATCCTAGCTCTACCACTACAGCTTCAGCCCATCCGATGTCGAAAGCCCGCTTGGGTCCAACTTTGAAACCTGGGGCCCAGTGCCATACGGCCCAGAAATTTTGGATGACAACACTGATACCGAAAGAGGTGCTCGCATCGCCCCACCACCCAATGTCTGTTGAGGATTGGCTGGCAATTGGTACGTGGGGTGGCAGGTATGACAGCAGGGATTGGATCCAAGGGAGATCTGCGAGTACTGTTGTGGATGGGTGCAGGTGTGCCTGAACGGAGCGGAAGCTGGCTGCGAAAATTATGATTGAGCAAAGGAAAGGCCGAATCAATGGGAATATACAAGCAACATGCACTAGTTTGCCGTGCAAACTGGTGGCCTCCTTTGCAGTGAATGACACTTCATTGAGTAGCCAGTTGGCAATGATATCCTGAATTTTGTGGAGCTTTGTTATTGGGAGGGATACCAGCTCACGATCCAGATCCCAGTCGAAATCAATGTACCGCTGTATTTGTTGTTAATAGTTTGTTTATCGATACGTCGAGAATCAGCTTACCTAATCACGCAAGTACATACAGGCACGTTAGAGTTACACACCTCAGTCCGTTACACTACGAGTATGAGACTGAGGTGAGACATTCATTTAATATTCTAATACTCTTATTGACTCTCGTAGTATACACTCGTTTATTCTAGGTTAGTTTATAGTCCATTACACTACGAGTACGAGACTGAGTATACACTCGTTTATTCTAGTCTAGTCCATCCGTTCGCTCCCGCACGTCCTACTACGAAACAAAAGTATTGAGGCAAACAACCATAGTTTTTCGAGACTCCAGGGAACGCCACAGTAGCCTGTTAGGGCGATGAAATCGGCTTCGGTCCAGGACTGGTGAGGTAGATGGATTACAAGGAAGTTGTCAACCCATTTTTGAATGATATTGAAACCTGCTTTGCTGTAGATTGCCACGAGCATGTCAGCGATGGATCCAAACACGCCAGCACTGAAAGTGAGACCAAACATTAGAGCGCGATCAACGTAAACAACACCTTTCCAGAAAATGCAAAGTGCGTTTTGCTGTGAAGGTGTGACTGGAATTATGTGATAAGCTGATGATACGTCGAAGGTTGCAGCCACACAACCAGGGGGTAATGTAAGAATGAGTGCAGCTGTGTCGTCGAACATACCCCAGACAGTAGGGAAATTGTCTGCATTGATTCCTGCATTCACTGATTGAACATCTGAAAGGTTGTGGGGGTATGATAGATCCTGGACTATGCGGAATTTGTCTGAGTGGGGTTTCGGAACTAATCCAAGCAGGGATGTACAAAATGGGCCAATTAAATGCTCTAAGTGTGCAGGGCTGAATCCGATGGAATATCGGCCGGCTGCTTGCTCTGAAAGTATGTACAAGTTGATTATGGAAGGGTTGAGCAGAGATGATGAATGATTTTAAAAAGGTATGAGTTATGGCTGGTGAGCCAGAAATGCCAACATTAAATCTGTTATGTATACCATCAACAATATGACACCAATCATCGAAAATACCATATTTACGAAGAAGCTCTTCCACCCGTAGGTGGTTGAGTGGGGTAACCACAATGCGAGGATCAACCCAGGGCTCTGCAGCCTCCGGCTTCATGGGCTGAATCCCCACAAAGGCTGCAGCTGTGGGCATTCTTGCAGTTGGTGCTGAAGGTACAATTGGAGCTGTTGGCCCAGTTGAAGCAATAATGCTTTCCACTGGGAGTTGCGAGGGCGTGTTTGCTTTTGGCGTTGGTAGCAAGGGGCACGACGGGCTTGCCTGTGGTAGTGGTGTCGGCGGAGCAGTCTGCAGGCAAGTGACCAGATGCTCTGCACCAAAAGCAATGGTTTGATGCAAACATGTTAGATCTCTTTCAAGGGGATGACACAAAGTCATTTGGTGCGGCTCGCTTAGTAGGGGATACAGGATGTGCAACAGGGGTACGAGGGAAACAGTTTTGTTATTGGCTATTGTGAGAGCTGCTACGTCAAGACCAGCTAGATTGTGCTCATGGTTGGCGTGGGCTAATTTGCACTGCTGTACATCGTAGTGCATTGCAATCAACCAACTATACGTGCGACCAATATCGAGCACAACAAGATGATGTGATGCGAGGGTGGAGGCTCTGTCCTCACCCCAGTAGTGCAAAGTCTTCTCCTCTGCAGCTTTTGCTGCTCCTATCTAGTCAACAGTTGAAATTGATAGTTTGTTTGAGCAATCAAGTCCTCTGGTGGTTAACCCATCCTGCGTGAAAACATAAGATGAGTCTTCCCCACGAAGATTGGCTTTGGATTGAGCTGTGTGAGTAAGCATTGTATATGGGACATATTGGTACTGCTTGAAGGCTTCTTCTACCTTAGACAGTACAGCTGTAATACATAGTGCATTAGAGACTATATACTAGGTGTAGACAAGCATGATAGAATGAGATGCTATAGCTTACGCAGCTAAACGGTACAGCACGATCGGTACTTCTGGATGCCTACTGAGGCAAGCACCGGAATCAGAAAATAGCGATTTGTGCCATGAGCATGATAGAAAAAGGACGCGAATACGATTGAAACGGATGCGAATACGAATGAAAAACTCACGCAAGTTCAAGGCACTAACCTTGTGCCCAGGCTGAAGTGCAGGCAAAGTGAGCCGCTTGGAGTCCTCTTTGGTGCTAGCTAGGCCTGCACGAATGCAATCAATAGCTGCTGGGTCAGATATTAGAGCTTGCTGAGGAGTGGGGGCTCTGGCCGATGTATGGGTGCCGTGAGCATTCCCACGCTCGAGCTCGGCGATCCTTGCCCTCAGAGCAGCGATCTCGTCCACAGGCTGTGCAGGAGGGTGCCCCTGAGCTTGCAAAAGAGGGTCTGCTGCTGGCTGCCTTGGAATTGGTGCTGTCGGTTGGGTTACTTGTCCAGATGAAGGCCGGGCTGATGAAGATGGGGTCGATCCGGCCTGAACAGGCGGTCTCTGGATGGTGGGCACAGGTGCGACTGATGAAGAAGGCCTCATGGCCGATGATTGCATGGCTGAACCTGAATTGGGGGGAATTGTGCTTTGAGTGAGCGGTGGCGATGGGCGAGCGTTGGTGGCCCCATTGAGCTGTAGATTAAGGTGATGATGTGTTCCTGAAGAATTCACCATTGGAAAGAATGAAATTCAAATAACGAATGTAAGTGTGAGGCGAGTGAGGATGTGTGATAATGCTGAACTCGACGACGACAATGACAGAAAAATGAATGAGGGCCGAGAGAAAATTTGTCTGCTCAGCTGGACGTGTGGTGCTGAGATACTCCGGCATGCTACGTTACCCGGCACCTGTACATGTCATACCGCCATGGGATGGTGTTGTACCGAATACAGATAAGGGCCCATTCGGCAACCGCTCATTTGTGTCTGTTTCATTTGTTTTCATCCATTTGCATCCATTTTTGTTTGAAACGAAAAAATGTGTTCGGCAATGTGTTTGTTTCATTAAACATCTGTCACGCTGCATAATGCGGCGTCGCACTAGTACTTGTTTGCTCACTCTCGTCGGTCCCTACTCTGTTAACTACCACCCACCATGCCACCTAAGAATGCCTCTCTCTCATTGGATACCAAGGAGAACAATTTCTGGCAGGAACCTTGTGAGCAGACTGTCAGTAGCAAGATTCCATGGAATGCAAAGTGGATTTCGGGGGATGATGCAACACTCCTCATGTCACTCAACACTTTTGCTAATGGAAACTCAGCTGATAATGGTATGTTCAAGTCTGCAGCATTTACAGCTGCTGCAAAGGCCCTCAAAGACAGCCATGAAACCAGTGGAGGTGCTCCAAAAACTGCAAAAAGTTGTTCACTTCGTTGGAGCACTGTCAGCAGTATTTTTACGTCCATTTTCATGCTGATTTATTGTTTGCAGTTGAAGGCCAACTGTCTCATTGTCCAAAAACTGTGAGAACTGTCTGGATTCGGATGGGACGAGACAAGGAAGATTGTCATTGCCAGTGACAAAGTGTGGGATGATTACATTGAGGTAAGCCTTCATTCATTGTATATTTGTTGACTAAAATGCTATTTAGGCACATCCTGAAGCCAAGGTTTGGCATTCAACACCATTCCCCCTCTACGATGACATCATCGTGGTTGTGGATGGTTGTCATGCAACTGGCGAAGGGGCACTGCATATTAATAGTCTTGGGTACAAGATGAGCCCTCCTTGGCCAAGTACACTTCTCCCTGATGACGAAGATGATATCTTTGAAGGTGAGGATACACTGGGAGGGAATCATGAGTCTGAATCAGCTGACGAGAAAGTGGTATGTACATCAACTTGCTTGCTTCATTGTCTGACTCATATTTGCACCAGTCTGCACCCATTTCTCACACTCTGCATGTTCTGAAACGTGCACGTGCTCCTTTGGAATCACCAATTTCAACTGGAATCCATAAGAAATGTTCCAATGCGAAGCTGACTGGCCCAGCAGCAATTCTTGGAGTAGCTGATGCTCTTGAGTCTGTCGCTATGTTGTTCACTGATCCTACTAGTTTTCTTGATGATGTTCCTAGTACTCCGAAATGATGTATTAATGCCATTCAGGCTGTTTGTACAGATGCTTCCTTATCTTCTGACAAACGTGCCAAGGTTGTTGCTCTGTTTACCAAAGATGTAGCTATTGCAGATGCCTACAGTGCTATTTCAGATGTCCCTCTCCATTCTATGTACATTCATCTTCAACTTGGAAAAATGTAGATAGATTTTCCTAGTTCTCATTCATAGTATACTCAATATACTGTGCCCACATTGCTTCTGCTATATTGTCTCATTTTTGTCCTGCCCTTGCCCTTTCTGCTGGTGTGATTGTATGACCGAAATCCTCAACCCTCTGCTGTACAACCTGATGATTAGGGTCCACCTCTGCCTCCTCATCTCCTTCCTTGTCATCATCTGGATCATGGACACGGATGAAATTGTGCAAGACACAGAGGGCAGGAACCAGCTTTGTCTGTACCACAAGACTGTATTCTGGGGCAGCAACCATTAGCCAGAATTGACACTTCACCACACCGAAAATGTGTTCAATAACATTTCAGGCTTGGGCATGTCGTAGGTTGAAAAGCTCTTGGTGATTTTTTGGTCTAGTTATTTTTCAGCATCTTTGAACGGTTGATCAACAGAAAGAAAAACATACCTTTGACTCGAACAACCCCATTCCTTGAGGTGATAGTGTACACCATGATATGGAACCAGGAGTGAGTCACATAATGGAAACCCTGCATCAGCAAGGTAGCAGAGATTTGGGGGGATGGGAAAGTCAGTCCATCGAGCATCATCATATATGCGGCTGTCAGCTGCACTTCCCTCCCATCCTGCAAGAACATATGAAAAGCGCATATCAAATGTGCATGCAGCAAGGACATTCTGTGAGAGGCGGCCCTTCCGATTGTGGTAGCGAGTAGTCAGGGCATCATTGGGAACAAAGGTATCGATGTGTGTTCCATCAATTGCACCCTGACAGTGTTGAAAAAAATGGGTAGAGCTTGGGATTGCCGTGAATCTCGGGGGGGGACTACATCATTGGGTGGCAGGCTGACGTAGTGGTGATAAAATTGTGGTGATACTACCATGTCTAGAAGAAGCAGAAAAATCCTAATAGTACAGTCACAGTGATAAATTCATCCTGCTGCATTTTAAATAGTAATGTTGGGCACTCACTTTGAAATAGTATCTGCACTATGTTGGAACTGTTCTTGCATGTCCCTATTTGTGCCCCCAGTACGGCAGATTTGAAGAAAAATTGCAAGCTGTTCTTCAGAAGATATATATCTTGAATGTGCAAGGCCTGCATATTCACCAAGTTCATAGAGTAATCAGCAAAATACTGGCTTGGAAAGGCCCATCATATTATGGAAGCGACGGGGATGACCTGATAGGAGCTCTCGGACCCATGAATGGCCCGTCAAGATAGAATCATGCTGGGGAATCTTATCAAGATAGGGTAAGGTGGCTACAGCTACTGCAGCAGCTGAAAATGCAGCAGCTATGTTGTTTGTTTATCGATTATCATACAGCGAGTACAGCTTACATAATCACGCAAGTACATACAGACAGAACAGTTACTAATACCTCAGTCTACTACACCACGAGTGTACAACTGAGGTGAGACATTCATTACTATAGTTCATTCATTTACTGACTCTACTAGTATACATTCATTTGTCTCTAGGTTAGTTTACAGTCTACTACACCACGAGTGTACGACTGAGTATACATTCATTTGTCTCTAGTCTCTAGCTTGTCTGTTCGGTTCCGCACGTCCTACTACAAACAAAAAGCTAGTACTGCAGCTCTCTTTCTGCAGGTGTGGGAGGCCTTCAGAGATGCTTTGAGGGCCTTTCTCTTCTGTGATGATGAGGAGGTCATGGTTGTAGAGCTCGAGCAGCACACTGATGGTTATCATTGATTATCTGATGTAGTTCGTACAAGTGTGACAGCGTGTGACACCTGTGGGAGCATCCGTTTCAGTTCAACGTCCGTCCGTTTCAAAACGGAACGCGCACAAACAAACGAAACGACCGGTTGCCGAACGGGCCCTAAGTTTCTTCCGAGCCGAAGTGCATACTACCATTACTATATGTCTCCTCACACCAGTTACAACCATCCATTACACCCGTGCCATTACTATTAAGAAAATTCGGTGAGTTTTAGTATCATCTACATATATTAATTCTGTTTATAGTATGAACTTTTATTGTAGGAGATGCGAGACTCAGGCTGGTTCAAGCAGTGTCCAAAGGACGGAGTATAGTACTGGTCAATCTGGTTCAAGTCATCAATAGATTGTAGGACGGTGCTCGTCTGGTCCCGCCGCGGCGCACTCTCCAGCATAGCAGTATCGCACATCCCTGAGCCCATACCGATGTAAAAATCGTATGGCGAGCTTTGCGATACGATTTGTGTTTGTGTTGCCCGGTACGTGCCAACCGACTTGACATCACCATTCCACTGCAAGGATGTAGCAGGTGCCTGCGCTGTACGATCCGTTTATCAGACAATTGCGACCAGACCAATAAAAGTTGACACTTACTTTGTGCCACCATGCAGCCCTTGTCGTTTATTCGAGATGATTTCAGCATGTGAAGTTGCTGCTGCAGCATCTTGTTCATCAGGTCAAGCTGCCTGATGTGTCGTGAAGCTATTCACGTGTTTAATCCTTCTGTGAGTCGATTTTTTACTCCGAAGTACTCACCTTTTGATAATATCTCGTACTTTGTCCTGGGGGGTTCCTGATCATCTGTCGATTCGCGAATGGCTTCACGAAGGTCGGCAAAGCCGTCGATCTCCCTGTCTCTGTATTGCTTTTGCTGCGTGGACTTGTTCTGCTTGTATGCACGCTCTGTGGTATCGTGGTGGCTCATGTCAAAAACCTCTGGATTTGGAGACCACGAGGACTTATAGTGTGCTTGATCGACAGAGGAGGAGGTTAAATCGCAGTGAGTCATAGATGAAGTATGTTAAATACTTAAACCGTTGCCTTCGCTACTAGTACCTTTCTTCATGAAGGTGACACACACAGCGCTGAGATTTCTTGCCTCGTCTTCAGATGTGGTACAAGCATGAATCACAATTAGCGTACCAACTCCTCTAAACGCTCGTGGCTGTGGAATCTCTCACAACGATGACATCGGCCGCAAGATGCTCTGGCTCCTCTACCTCATGACATCGGTCTAAATGCCACATGGCTGCCTTGTTTTCATTGTTCCGAATCGATCCTAGTGTCAAAGTCGCTCGCAGAGCACAGGACCGTGTTCAAGTCAGGGATGACCATGCCCAGTTCAGGGGTATGACGTATCGGCTGCCACTGACGGTGGTGCTGGTTTATTAATTACTCAGTTAGACTCATCCGACCGCTTCTCTCCACCTCGATACTTCTAACGTGGTGTAGCACATATTTTATTCAGGTCTCTCCTCGATACTCATACATACGCGAAACAAATCAAGTACCGCCCTCATGGAAGCAAATTTCACTCGGAATATCGGGCCCGAAAGGAGATCAGGAACACTGAACCTAATTTCATTGGTTCGAGACAAGGGAAATTTCACATAATCTCATTGGCTGGGAGTGCTGCACGTCAGTACCTTGAAGTCTGCAATTTTCCACATTGGGGGAGCGCGACGCGAGGCTATACGCATAGTTACTAGCATTTCTCGGTGCAATGTTCTCGGAGTCCGTTACAGGCACTTGAGTAGTAAAGCTGACCCCTTAGTTCTTGGCGACAATGAGTCATAGCAACCCTTGTGGACCTTACTGTGATACAACAGAGCAGTGAATGGTATCTGTTCCACTGTCAATAACATATTGCATTTTAAGTTAACTTCTGCCGCATCTGAGTCCTAGTTATGGATATCATGCTCTTAGATGGACCATTTCGTCAGTGTTCGGGTGTGGTCGGGATCCTGGCATCTTGTTTGATGTCCGACACAATGCAATGCAGCATCCATGGAAGAAAATGGTGTGCACACGGTCTCGTCGGCGGCATCATTGATCAAGCCCTCATGATTGGAAAACAAACATACCACTGGCACATTCTCGCTGTTTCCTCGAGCCAAGAACCGGCCCACGTGTTTCATTAATATCGAGGGGTTCAGCTTCTATATTTAATTTTTCATCTAATACCAACTCGATGCCACTTCTACAGCCTTATTTCTTAATGTCTTCGTAGGATCACTGTTGTTGCACTGATCGATAATTTATCAAGTTGGTCGTTAGTATCGACTCTTATGATGGCAGTGGAATGGTCATGTCATGCTCGGCCTCCACACCAGTGCTAAATTATATTTATAACGAGACGGAAGCAAAAACGAGCCGCGTCTTAGGAATGTGTAAACTTGATTGTTCTATCACCCAAGTAGATCCGTAATAAAATTCGTATTAGTTCCAAATGAGTGATCCAACCACTCTCCAAAAAGCACAAGAAGAATTACCAAGGCATAGTGTATATAAATAGTGAGGTATATATTACTCCATCCTGCTCCCGCGGCGTGACACTGATATATCGCAGTCAATTACATGCCCCTGCCTTATCCGGGGTATCCTCCAAAGAAGTTCGGGTCTGACTGCGCAGCATGGTCCGGGTAATATTGATTGGAATACTGCGCAGTGCTGAAGTTAACAGGGGCATAGGGGCCTGTGTGCTGTTTAGCATAAGCGCGAGTCAGAAGGTCAGGTAACGAACCTTGCGCTCCCCACGACGATTGCGATTGAAGCATACTGTTGAGCTGTCTGCGCAACTCTTCATTCAGACGACTGAACTCTCTGATTTTCTGTGCAGCTGGAGTGTCGTGGGTTAGTTGATCGAATATTAACAGAAAAGACTGCATGCCTGCGATCAGTATTTCATGGCGCTTCGCTGGGTCAACCCTCCCGTCTGTCACATCACGAATTGCTTGCTGAAGCTCCGCGAATCCCTCTCCCTGGTTCTCTCTGTACTGGCGCTGCAAGTCTGCCTTGCTCTGGTGCGACTCAGGGGAGTTTGCGTTGAAGGACATATTGAGAGTGTTGAGAGTGCTTTGAGTGAAGTAGTAGTAGTAGTATTGGCGTGCTTTGAATGAAGTGTTGGGAGTGCTTTGAGTGAAGTATTGGTGTGATGGTTTGAATGGGTTCTCTGCAGACTATTTATCCACCGTCGTCTCCACGAGTGCGCGCCGTCTAACGTTATCCATTGTTTTCATCTTCGACAATGTTGCACGCTCCTCTCCGAGCAGACTCTCGATTGCATGCTCCACGTTGACTCGATGTCAGTACGTCTTCCCGCCAGTGCCACAACGTACAGGGATCGAGCACAACAACCTAGTTTGTTACTTAGACACACCATCAGTCTGTTCACGGGTATCAGCCTACATACCTTGTTTAATTGCCAAGCAGAAAAATATTGGATTGTCGAAACCCAAACGATGCCGTAAATTCATATGAACTAGGGACTCGGAGAAAGCCATTATGTGGTGATTGCCGAAGATCATGAATTCGTTTTGATCATTAACGTTTTAATGATGCGGCACTGTGCTCTTTCAAGAGGGGTACGTGCCCTTTGTTCTAGTTAGCAGTGTCCCGTAGAGCACGGGATTCAAGTACGGATCACTTGCACTTGCAGCTTTAATCCACTCCGATCACTTTCCGGTGAATGCTGCCTCGGCAATGTAATACGCGTCCTATTGGTGAGCTTAGTACGACGACATCAAAGGAGCAACATACCATGTAGTATGCGATCAGGGTAGCATTACTACAACATAGCAACTTGAAGGCTCCTTGTTGTAAACGTGCTTGCAAGAGAAACTCGGAGCGGCAGCATGCTGTGGCTAGTCTGAGATAATAGCTCCGAGCCTAACTCCTTGCAATTGTAACCGTTGCTTATATGTCTAGATACTACTAGATGTCATATTTGATCTTCACTCGGTTACTACGCCTGTCCGATGATCCGATACTTATTTTGAGGTGTTATCATGTGCAAAATATAAGTCTATCCTCCTCCCTCGATTGTCTTGTAGATCATACAAACAAGCAAGTCTAGTCTAAGTTTGCACGTATACGAGTCTATTAGGTGCGAGGTGCAAGAACAATCTCACTTTAGCGGGTGAGAACAAACGCTGAAGAAAGAACATACAGAGTACGAGCTATCAATGTCACACGGAATGACGTGGTGGGTGAGTGAGGATGCTTTTCGGAGAGAATGACCGATAACGAGTCCTAACGAGTCTGTGTGCCCCAACATAGATCGCGTCGAAAAACAAGCCGCACCGGTAGAGTCGTACCGGTACTGCGGAACTTGAAGATATCGAACACGCAATACAAGGCCGATGGATCTTGAAGCTTGAAGGTAAAAACTCATGATTACAAAACCGGCTGCACTGCGGCAATCACTTGAGTGAGTTGGTTGTTATGAGCTGGTCCAACATCACGTAGATCGGGAGATATCGGTTGGTCGATAATCATGTGTACGTGTTGGGGGGAAGGAGGTGAGAGAAAACCTAAAAAGTTGTCAAGCAAGGTTGAAGCAAGGTATTCACCGTGGTTCCGACAAGCTCTCGTGGCAGGGGTGTTGTATAATTTTTCGCATTCCTAATATTCAAAAGCTTAGCTAGAAACACTGACCCGATTTGATCAGCGGTCCTTAGTATAGAGCAGGCAGTGCAGAAGATCGAGCATCCTCGTTCTTCAACTCGACGTTGAATTATCCATACTCGATAGCCGGTATAGCTTAAAGATGTCATCAGATATTGTGAACGTTCTGATTGGTCTAGATCACCTCAACTGCCTGTTGATGCTGATTATTATCATTGATTGTAAAAGTGTGGAAAGGAACGGTTTCTTTTCGAAATGGCTGCTGTGGTCGATGCCTTGCCTCACCAGTGAATGTTAATGCTGTCCATAATGGTAAATCTATACCAAATAAAGACTTTGTCGCATGAATCGATCAGAATGCGCCTGCAATAGAGTTCTAACATTCGAAGACTCAATAAATGTTCCATAAAAATGTCAAGTTATTCGGTGATACAATGCATAGATAATCTTAGGAAGACCGATTGGCATTAAAGTAGTTCGAACATAGTACTAGTACTTACAGTCTGGTTCATTCCACAGTTCTAAACCGAATTGCACCGCCGAATGCCCATGCCCATGCCATCCACCCTTTCCTCGTCTCAGAAAAGCTCCTGTTGTGACGAAGGGCAACGGCAAGGCCAACTACCGCTATCGCACCTAACAGAAGGATCCGTTTCTCCGTGAAAGTGAGTAGTCCGAACCGAAGACGCAGGCGGTGTAAGAGAACGAATCTCCGGTCCCTTGTGACAGGACCTTTGCGTGACTTCGTCTTTCGCTTATTTTCGTTCTCCTCAATATCTTCATCTTCTATAAACGGAATAACAACATCAGGGCTCCCGACCCAGCTCTCTGCCTCGTCATCACGTTCATTATCCCATTGTGTGGAGAAACCATCTTGAGGAGGTCTCCACGTGTGCACAACGCTCTTAGGCCCAAGTATGTCCTTAACGCAAAGCTCGGGAAGGGTGGGAGGATAAGCTTCAAGGAGCTGTGCAGCGTGTGTTAGAAGGGACGTAAGTGAAATTGGAGACCGGCAGGATTTTTGAGGTGGTGATGATGATGATGAACGGGACGCAGTGCGAGAACTAGAACGCGATGTACGTGGCGATGTCGGTTTAGAAAAAAACGGTGGGTTGGGTGGGACCAGCTATTGCAAGGGCCGAATAAAATCAGTACCTCAACAGCCACATCGCTCTCTCCACGTACGACTTGACCATCGATGATATTCTTGGGCACTCCATTCTCTGTCAAACGAGGGACCGGCTGTTGTTCGATCATTTGTTGTTGTCCTGTAGAAAGCTCGTTCGTGTTTTCGTCGGGTGTATCTGAAAGCCGCTTCGTCTCCTCTGTGTTGAAGGTGACTTCGTTTTCCTCATCCGGTGATCCTGATCGAATAACCTGATCGGAGAGAACGTGGTTTGCTGTTTCGGAATCGTCACTGAGTGAAGGCAGAGCATTCAAAACTGAATGTATCATCCCATCCTCGTCTTCTACAGCTAACTGAAGAACGTCGGGCTTTCGAACGAGAATGACCTGCACGATATATGCGTCAATAATGGAATTGCTCAAACAACGATATTTGCCACAGAATGGTGTCATAGTACTGGCCGTAGAAAAGATCACTTACAGCTACGGCTAGCCATACTACCGCCAAAGGCTCTCGGCAAAGCAGGAAGTCCCAGACATGCTGAATAAGAGGTAGAGTGGGTACCTCGTGTGAGAAGAGGGTGAGAAGGTTTGAAAGGGCATGGAACGGCAGGGGTGCAATGCTATGAAGCAATGCAAAATGTATTAATAAACAGAGCATGACAAGGCGTAAAATGTGTTAAGGTACCTCTCAAGCAGCATCGCATATTTAGGGTCGATAATACGCAGAAGATTACGCGCGATCCGGAGAAGTCCTAATACCGGTTCTAACGTGGGTCCCATAGAGTCCCTCAACCGATGGAGGGAAAGCTTTTCTACACAAGGGAGCTGAAGCTCCGGTGGAAGAGTTAAAAAGACAACAGTAACAATATCATGGTATCCTTGGAAATAGTGCAGCTTTCGACGCTTTCGGAGGATGGAAACAATTAAACTGTTGAGAGAAGTTTGCAACACAGTTCGGCGACTTTCGTCGTTGTCGTCTGCCTGTGACATGTTCGAACACTCGTGCAAAATCAGCCATGAAATATATTGCCTACGGGATATATGACAAAGCTCCGATCGGTGTCCAAACGCACTTGACGCTCGTCAGGATGGGGGATGTTATTTGTAAAAAGTTCTGGAGAGACCTCTGCATACGGAGGAGGTTCTGACGGAACGCGGACTCCAAGCAGGGCAGGCCTGTGAGCATATCATAAGTGAAGCAGCTCAGCAAAACCAACATATCCGCGCACCAGACACGTGTTCTGTCCTCTCCGAATCCACCAGGACGAAGGCTCTGAGCTCGCAGTGCATCCCAGTTTATCGTGTCTTCGTCATGCATGACAGCGAGCCCACTGTCAGGAAGTACTGGGCGTTATGGATACTCGAGTTTCAAGTTGCCCTCAGTTTGCCCTCGTCAATGGTCACTGCAAGTAAAGTGCTTACTAATCAGTTACACTGCGGTTATATTTATGATGTCAAAGTAGTAACAACTAATTCTGACCATAAGCTTGCTAGGACGTCTTCATCCCGCGCTCGACTATTAACTTTTTTGCATCTTCCTGAAACCGAAGAACTAAAAGTTCGTCAGGATTTACACGCACTGGCAAGTCTGCCAGCCTGAGGATGCGCCATAGTCCTTTCCCTCGTTCTTCCATTTTGGTTTACGGACAGGACACTGTTCATTCGCTGGTTCAATTGACCGTCATATCTCAAGTTGAGGCACTGCTTGAAAACAACCATATAGAGGATGCTGCCAACCTCGTAAACAACTTCGCATCTGTCCAGGCATTAGATTCTGACGAGGTGCTGTTACTTTATCTGCTTGTCAGACAAATATTGACTAGTCTCCAAGGTGGAAACACTGGAATACATACATCAAGCTATTGCGTTTTCTCTGTTCTCTCAAACGCGTTTCGTGGATGCAGCCCCACACTTTCTTGCAGGCGGGCTCGATCCCCGTATTCTTGTATCCTACTTTCCCGAGTTATCACGGCCATTGTTCATTGATGGCGAAGAAGCAGACATGTACGACGGTATCGCAAAGCGAATGCCAATAGAGGCAAATGTTGATGATCTCAGTGAGTATTCAAATCTATCAAATTGCCCTTCCCATCCTTCTCTTCCCGACCATGCGCCGCTACCTCTTTCCGACACCCCGGCACCCGACTCACCCACCCCTCTCCCCCGTCTGGGCGGAACTGACAGTTGCCGCAAACCTAGTCAGGAATTATTCCCCTCATCTCCCGCCCTCCACTCGTGAGGCGCATGCTGCCCAGGAGATTCACAAGATTCTTCGGGAAGAAGCCATAGTGATGCTTAAGTCTGTTCTCCAAGGCTTCAAGGGACAAGGAAAACACAAGCAACAGGAGGTTATTATATCTATTTTTGAGTTATATGGCTCTGAAGGAATTGCTAGGTGACGGATACGGCCCTCGCTATATTATTCGCGCGATCGGGTGACACCACGTCTCTCATTTCTCACCTTGAAAGCACGAATTTGGCTAGCCTTTCAGCTGTGGAACCTGTGCTGCTCGAAGCCGGAGAAGTGGGTGCTCTATGTGCGTTACTCAGGGCCAGAGGTGACGAAGGACGAGTGATGGAGATTTGGAAGGGGTGGGTACTGCTTTGACCCTACTTTTCATTATTCATCAGGGTGCGACAATGCTAATTCTCACCTTAGATTGGTCGAGGGGACGATATAGTGATTCTTCCGTGTCGGATCCCCTGAGTAATATGTTTGCCTTGTTAGAATCAAAACAGGGAAAAGACAGGGCGATGCTTCGAAAATGGGGAGTATGGCTAACAGCACGAGATTCAGAGCGAGGGCTTATGGTAAGCATGAGACAGCAATAGATGTGCGAAACTGATCGCGCTATGGCATAGCTTCTCATGTCGACCAAGCGGTCCGCAAAAGAAAAAGACAGAGAGGAGGATCTCGCCATTCTTTCCGAGTTGCAACAATTACATTCCAGTGCAGCAAGGAAATTCTTGGAGTGGCTGGTCATTGTGAGAAGGCGAGATGTATGTTGCTCGTTTCGTTGTGCCCCCACATTTATCACGGAAGCTTACTGTGCATCTTTTTGACAAGGACGCGGAACTCCATGCACAGCTTGTGCAAGCATGTGTCGACGAGCTGTTCGAGTGCCTGCAAAATGAGTGTACTCTGAAGCTCTGGCGTGCCAAATGTGCGTTAAATCCACGCTAGTCACTCAAATTTTCATCCCAGTGCATAAATAATAGTCGCTTCTTACACCTCGCAATCTTCACAAAAAAATACACCCTCCCTTCCATCTACGCAGCTTCAACGTCCACAATCGTCCTTCCTTACATATTTCGTATCGACCGCACCCGACTCTCAATCGAAACGCGCACGGCTCAAAACCTTGTTTGCTCTTCAGGCTTTATCGGGATATAATGCTGAAATGATCAAGTCACAAATTGTTGCTAATGGCTTCGATAAAGTTCTTGGCTTGGAAGTGGCGTTGCTTGATGGCAAGGTCGGTATTTTTGACATACAATGTCTCTTGTCTGCTAAGTTACTCTCTAGATGGGCATGCACAGGATGGCCCTCCGCGCACTAGCCCTCACGCTGCGAGATCCCGTCTCGGCAGAGACATACGCTCGGACGGGGGGCATCGTCGTTCCTCTAAAGGCTGTCGAAGCTTGCGGAATGGGTGAATGGGGCGCGCTATTCGCAGCTAAGGGCAGTCCTGGAATCTTGGAGAGGGAGAAGAGTTCAGAGGGGAAGGGGGAGCTGGTGAGAATGCTTTTGGAAGTTTACATGGAAGACGGGTACGTTTAGAACCCCATGAGCCCTGGTCCTGACACATGGATTTCGCAGGGAGCCTCAGCAAACCACAAGACTACTGGGCTCACAGGCCGCGAGTTTAGATGCTGTTGACGTGAGTGTGTTCCTCCTTACACCCAATGTGCACTACTTGTCGTTACGATGTCTCATACACAACATCTACAGGTCATTCCTCTCGTACCTCCAGACTGGCCACTCAGTTCCCTTTCCCCTCTCCTGACTCACTCATTCCGACATACACTTCATGCCAAGCACGAGGGCCAGATAATCAAGGGAATCTGTGCCGCACAAAACTCCAAGGTTAGAGCCGTCACTCCCTACAAAGCCTCACTCAGTCCTGATCGTTATTCGCAGGTGTTTGAAAGCTCCTACCTTGTGTTTCGAGAACAAGGCGCCATCATAGAAGAAGTGGATGATGAAGAGGATGGGGATGGAGAACCCGAGAGCTTTGATGAGAAGGATGGCCTTGCAGAAAAAATCGCGCTGCATCTGCAGGATCAGCAACGGAGTGAAGTTGGTGTAGCTGACATACATCCCCCTGCAAGCAATGAAGAAGAGGTGAACGTTAGATAACGTTAATATTCATCTTCGCTTTTCTTCTGCCTCTTTGATTTCTGGTCGACATAGGATACTTCGAGCTCACTTACCACTCACAAGCTATTGCACAGCGAAGAATTTTCATGGAAGCGTCGTAGAATAAGATGTATGTTATGTCTAAGATGAGTGGGTGTAACTGTGAACCATTCGGAATAGGTCGTTGAATTTTGATCAGGGTGCTCGCGCTGAATCAGGCCTCAGGATTTGTGAACATTGTGACTGTTTGGCGTTACAACATAATTAGTATCTTGAAACGAATGCTCTCCCGCAGGATGATGCGCATCCGGGCCCAAGAATCCTATCTTCAATACTTATGCTCTTGGTTATAGCTATGGCATAGGAGTGTTGGGATACAAAGACATTGATTTTGATGTGTGAGACCCCGTTCTCACGAAGTCGTTCTATGACATCTAACTTATTCCGCCACTACTACAGCAAGCTGCCTACAAAAGTTGATAATTTCATAGGAAACAAAAATCCTTCTGTCACTTTGTGGTGGCGGGGATCGATAGTCCGTCGTCGACATTAATGTCCCTTCATCATTCCTGTCACTACCGTGGATTCCGAGGTTGTGGTAAACTGATATGCCTTTATTCTAGATTATCCGCAGACTACGTGATTCTGCCTATGCAAATCTGCTAGCCACAACCATTCAGGCTGATGGACCTACTGATCCTGGGCTTCCCAAAAGCACGATTTGTGGGATATATAAGCAAGCTGTCGACTCTTAGAACTATCATTTGGGATCCCATCGACGCATTCTATATTACATAGCAAGAGATATGCGTTTTTCATTCCTCCTCGCTGCTGTTGCTGTTTTGACGACATCTATGTCCGTCAGTGGCGGCAGTCCCCCCAAGTCTCCTTCCAAGATGTATTGTATACTTGCAGGTGAACTTTGCGGCGTGGACCAAAAATACCCAAAAGAGGAGGACCTAGATTGCTGCGGCCCCGCCGGGCCCAAAGACATCAATTGCAAATTGGATGTGAGTGTCTATCGGCTTTGGATCCGGGACTCGACTCCATGACTTACCCCTTGTGCTTTATAGGCCGACAACTTACATAGATGTGTAAAGCCGACAAACTGAGCGCGTTCGTAACAGTGGGTCGTTTTTCTGCTTTCATGTTGTGCCAGCGGTAATTGATGACACGCCAATAGGTATGCTTATTGCTACACGAATTTCTAAGCTACCTAGAACAGACTCTAGAATAACATATCATTGGAAAAACTTTCTCGCAAATCGATAAAAACACATTCATGTTACCCGCCTTGCTTGCCTTGCTAGCATAGTTTTCCGCCAACGCGCAAGTTATTCACACGAGGAAAACGTTGTGTCCCTTATTTCGTCCTTAACACGACTTTTTTGACTTATTGTGTAAAATAAGGAGAATGGTTCGTTACTTCAAATAATTAGGTCCTCGTCCTTAGGACAAGGGGATTTGATCATTCAAGGCAGTTCAGGCGGTTCAGACGAGCAAAAAGCAGTCAAAAGTCACTATTGGTTGCGGTTTAGATCTCCGCTTGTCTCTCTAGTTCATCAGTAAATCATGAGTTTACCTTTTTCACTCCTTTTCCCACCTTTTGCCACTTATTTGAAATGAATCTACTTATTTTTCTTAAATTACTGCCTGGTCCCAACTGGACTATCAGGATTTATTAGCAATCATCATAAGAGCATGCTGTCAAATTTTCGGATTTTCAATTTGCAAGATGGTAGCTCAGGAGAGTATTCAAGAAAGAAAATTATCAGCATTAACGTGTCACACAAACTTCACACCTCAAACTAATTGTTGGTCTTATGCAATGAAACATGTCTCCTAGGTCTAACAAACATATTGGAATACTCAATTTCGAAGCAGTTGTCAATTTCCAGAAAAAAAGGAGATCTGTTTGAAATAAGTGGCAAAAGGTGGGAAAAAGAGTAAAAAAGGTAAACTCATGATTTCCTGATGTTCCTCAATCACTTTTTGTACACGTCGCTTGAAACACATCAATAATTTGCAGCACTCCAAGTCGAGCTCTCATATGCACTTCATTTTACATGCACACCCATCATACACGTAGTCTTTTCGCTTGATGTTTTATATTTTTCTTCACTTGGATTCACAACCTCCATTTATATCTTCTGTGAAACGACAAAAGTCTGATCGGGCTACTTAAGAGCTCGAAACACATTGATAATTTGTGGTGCTCTGAATCGCCACATATCCTATTACAACACGTTCTTTGTACACACTTCATTTTATATGCTTTATCACCCATCATACACATGATTTTTTTCACTCTCCAGTGTCTCAGCAATCTTTTATTGTCCTCAGAGTTGTCACTCCCTACACGGCCTCACTCAGTAGGTAAGTGCAACATGAGGACTCCGTGTACCATATGAACCTCCTTCAATAATCTACTACTAGCACACACCCGTTGTGCCTTTGGCACAGGAAGCAAAAAGAGCGCTTCACACTCTTTGTTGGCTTCCTAGCCTTCAGCTTCATCCTACTTTGGGTGTTCTAATAATCATTGCAGGTTTTGAAATAAATTATATTTTATTCACTGAGTTGTGATCAAAGTTTCAAAATAAGTTACATACTTTGAGCAGGGTTTTGACAAAAGTAAAAGTACAATTGAATATATGTATTTTCTTATCTGCTGTTATGTCTGGTGTTCTGTGCCCCATCCTCCTGTCCTCTTGTCGTCCTCCTGTTACAATAACATTTAACCCTACTTATTTTTCCTTTCTGTAACCATAGCGCCAACTCTAGACTCATCTAGACTCGGCTATTCTCTTATCAAGCGGGCTGTCTGCACTTCCTTTCTTCTTGATTGTAACCTGACTACTATCATGCACTGCATGGTTGTTTCACCTATCTTTGCTATCTTGATAGGTTGTACTATTCTCCTATCTTGTTGCCTTTCTTGACGCAGCTGCACCGCTCCTTGTTACCTATATAAACCCTATGTACAACAGTAGTATTCTTTAACTTAATCTACTGGGTTTTCCCCTTGAATCCTGTTCTATAAGGTCCCCACCCTTATAGTCTGATACTTGAATCTAAGACAGTCACTCACTGTCTTAGCCTGAACCCTTGATAGGCAGAAGTGCTAAAACCACTCGCCGCTGAACCTAGATAGAAGCCGCCGCGCTCGTCTAGTAGGAACCCTTGATCCTGAACCCTCCTTGTACTAGGAGTTCAGAACAAGCTGTCAACAAGACTGGTCTATCTTTGACCATTGACAGAAGAACTATCCCAGTCATAACACCTCCCATCCTCTTGTCGTCCTCCCATCCTCCCACTCCCATCCTCCTCCTGTCGCCCTGTCATCCTCCCATCCTCTTGTCCCCTTTTCCCTTCTCCCATTTCCCCATTCTCCTGTTCTCCTGTTTTTTCCATTCTTTTATTGTCACTTTCTCCTGTTTTCCTGTTCTCTGTTCTCTTATTCTCCAAATTTCCCCATTTTCCTTGTTCTCCCATTTCCCTCATTCTCCCATTCTCCTTTTCTGTTTCCCATTTCTCAATTGTCTATTCTTAATATGTAGTTGAATTTATTGTGTATAATTTGAATTTCATAAATAATAAATGTTTTTAAATGCGTGCTGCCCTAACAGGCAGCGGATGCACGTGATAGCCACATGAGTTTCCAAATCGAGCTTTAAGCGAGGTAAGCGAAACCACATGGCATCTAGCATCTCTAAGCAGCCCAAGCAAAAACCATGTGAGCTCCCGGTACTTCCCTCACTGTTCTCCCTTACTTTATAGATACTAAATGTCACCTGACCGGAAAATGTGGCACTTTTTCCTCAACAGATTACGTAAGTTGAGGAAAAAATGCCACATTTTCCCAGTCATGTGACAGTATCACATGGGGAGTTGGTTGGTTAAGCATGCCAAAAGTGCAAATTTTGATATTTGTTTTCAAACGCGAATGAGTGGCGTAGCCACGGGTCACTACTAGTATATCATACATATCATGAACCAGGTATTTACCACTCATATGTCTCGTCATTGAGCTCCTCATCAGAAAACCAAGCAACCAACCCTTCCTCTTCAACAACTTGATCAGCAGGGAGTAAAGATGCATCTGGTTCATCCTGCTCCACGAGTGAATCCAGTCAGCAATGGTCAGCTACATCTAGCTTACAATCCATTAGAATAGAGCTTGTTTAAATTAAATTAACACACAAAAGACATACCAAGACCCAGTCCTCCATGTACACCGCCCATGTAAGTGTCGTCAGCACATAACAACTCCCTCTGATGTTCAAGGAGCGGCAAGTTGTCTTCATCAAAATCACCATAAACTATTGGTGGCAGCACCTGTTCAGCAAGTTAGATAGAATGAAGCAAATCTAAGTAGATGTGCCAAGCTGATTGGCGGGTGACTGGAGGCTGACCAAGGTCATCATAATGATGTTGAATATAATGATCAAGGGGTTGAGGCACCAAGTTGAATACTGGATGATCGGGTTTGATATACATGTGCCGTACATGATCTATGCTGTCCTGATCAATGGTTACCTAGTGTGTATTAGTATGAGGATGTACTAGTGGGAAGAATAAAACTCACCTTAAAATCCATTGCCCCGAAGTCTTCAGGGGAGTCATAGATTAGGTTCAGCACACTGTGAGGTAGAACCTAGTCATTTGGAATGTTAGAGTGGTGTGCATGAATGGCATGTCAAAAAAATACCTTGTTACGATCCCATTTCTTTGCAGTATTATTGATGTGGTCTTGATACCTGTCTAATTCACAAAACCAGGAGTAAAACACCAGTGCAACTGGGACCAGGCAATTTCAGGCATAACGTTCTTTTTGGTGTGCATCCACCAGTGTTGCAATGTGCCATGCAGCGACAAATTGTACATTTGGTGCAGCATTGTGTGTGCATTAGTGATTCCGTAGTTCTCAAATCCTGGGTTGCTTTGTGTGATCATCGGAATGTCTGTCATAAACCGCTGAGTGAAATGGTACAATGGGTATCAGTTTGAATAAACTTACAACCTAGCTTTTTGATTGTGTTGAGATAGTATGTGAGTACAAGTTGAGGGTTGCGGTTCGAGTGCCACACCCAGATCCACATAATGCGGCCAGAAAATGGCTCTATTCCTGTGTGGAGTCCAAGACCAAACTGAAGCCATTTGTCATGCTGATTGACAGTGAACAAGTCGTTCACACCAGCGGCCCAGAATTGTCTCCACTGAAGCCGACGGGCTTTCCACTGATGCACCAGGTCTGCCTTGTATGCGGCAAAGTATGAAATGACCACGTTCCTGTGATTTTCTGGTCAAATTCACTGCAGGTCAGTAGGAAACGAATCAAATACCGTGATACACTCATATCCTTCTCATGAAAGAGTAGTGAGACCATTTCTCGCACACCAGTGTTTGGATACACCTCATGGAGGTCCACCATGGTGTCACGGATGGACTCAATAGAGTGGTTCTGCTGCTGAGTACGCTGAAGACCCATGGCATTACATATCTCCTTGAACTTTGTAATACTGCGCGCGCAACAGATTGTCAGGATACAATAACAATTAGTAACATTCAACTGACCCTATACCATAGCGGGATGTATCAATAACCTTCTGCAAGTTTTCAACAATCATCTTGTCGGTCTGATGGGCTTTCCACAAGCACAGGATGTGAGGTGTAATATCCCAAGAGGTGCTACCAGCACAATGTTAGTTACACTGACATCACCGAAAATCAAAAGTCCACGTACAAGTTGGCTTCCATTGGTTAGGCATGCCAGGATGTTCAGAGTGTAGACGAGTGACTTCCATAGCATTGAGGCTCTTTTAAGTGCACCAGGATTGTGCAATTCCGAGTCGGATAGAGTCTTGGATAGAACACCAGGATTGTGCAATTCTGAGTCGGATAGAGTTTCGGATAAGAACGAGAAGAACAAATGGAGTTACCATGACTTGGGCGACTCAGGCAGTGTTACAACTTGGATGGTATCTGTTGGCGATGCTCAAACAGAGCGTGTGTCATCAATGGTCGAGGACGTCCTTGGGCTAGCCCAAGGTTAGGGGTCTTACTTGGCGACGTGTCGGCAAGTAAGATTTGACGCCTATGTCCGAATCGGGTAGCTTACGTCAAGCGGATGCTAGACGATGAGCTGTATCTGCCAAGACTTACGACACCCGAAGGTTAATCGTAAGATCGTCGTTAATTAGAAGGACAGAAGTCCGACTAGTTAACAGGGGCTTTGCTTGTCGACGAAGTCGATGAGCAAAGATCGAGACTATAGGCTTATCCGCGAAGAGCAGATAAGAAGATAGAATATAGACTGCTGGCTAGGCAGAAGGGATCACTCTGGTGAGAGTAGGAGGTCAAGAACCAAGTAGATTCAAGTTAAGGAATATGGTACATGGTAGCGAGTTTATATAGAGGATAGGAAGCGTATTAGTGGATGATAACTCGTACTACCAAGTGAAGTAATCCGTAAAGGGCATAACCATAAAAGGAAGGCACGTTCGGAGTGAGACACGGGTGAACTAGAACATGCTTGATAAGAAAGTGAGTCAAAGGTTAAAACAAGAAGTGAAACACGCAGGGGCACGATCGTGCAACTGCAGATCTAAGTATAAGTAACATGTGCGACTGCGCACTGAGTCAGAGATCGAAAAAGGGAAAAGGGCAAAGGGGATGCGTCGTGCATCATATCATAGGTTACCATCCAGACAGTAAGGGCAAGGGGACTGTCCACAGGATCAGTCAGGTGGTGGAACGGAGCATGGGTATGCTTCGTCAGCGAAAGGATCCGGCCAGATGTACTGGCTCTGCTGAAGCGACAGGTAGAGAGCGAAAGGAAATGCGAGGATGACAAGGATGACAAGGGTAAGGTCAGGGTAAGGGTATTATGCGAGGGCTGATACGAGGAGGATTAGGAGAAAAATGGTAGGGGCCCAAGCGTCTAGATGTTCTTGTAACAGGCAGAGTTTCAGTCCAATAGATAAGTATTATGAAGAATGAGTTAAACAAATGGAGTTACTCGGGCGACTCGCGCAGAGTTTCGGTCCAATAGATACTTGGGCGACTCAGGCATGGATGCAGGCAGTGCAGGATATAATGAACAAATTTCCAAGGAGGCCATTATGTGGTGATTGCAATCGGAAATGAATCCTGCAAGACCCCTGACTCGGGTGGTTGCAAGTCAAAATCACGAACTGCAGGATTGCCCACTCCCTGGTCAGCGATGAATTTCCCTGCAAGTAAAAATCACGAACTGCAGGATTGCCCACTCCCTGGTCAGCGATAAATCCAGTTCCCAGACTTGTCCCCTTCATTCCTAGATATCTGTTCAATAATCAAGTGGATACGAAGGTAGTAGCTGAGTGACATACCTGCTCTCTGGGATGAATCCACCATAACAAATCCTGCAGGACAGTTACCACACCAGTCAGATGCTCAGGTGCCACTGTGCACTGCTGGATTGCCCACTCCCTAATCGGCAATAAATCCTGCAGAACAGTTGGGAGAGTAGAGAGTACATACCAGTAAGTCAAACATGCACATGATGAATTGGAACATGATGAGTCAGAGCATGTTACGGACTAGACATATAAAGTATCAGTAAGTCGGTGCTATCCAAGTCAACCCTTAGATCCTTACCATGGAACTTGTCTCCCAATTCACAGAGGACACTGTTGCCCAAGAAGACCGTACCTGCGATAGACCGGCTTGCCGTTGGCGCATAGTCAAGAATGACCCATGTCATTATGTCACTAACATGATTCTTGGCCAGCCAAGTTGCTTCGTGTGCGAAACATGTTACGTGGGATATTGGCAGAAGATTTCATCATCGGTCCAACCTTCAGGTGAGTACAATAATTATATTGACTAATTATGACATTAAATTTGTTCAAATGTCTCAGGTCAGCATGCACCACTTACCCAGAGCATGCAGAGGCCTGCTTCACAGAGTGTGCAGAGGCTCGGTATGAGTCATCTTCCGGATCCTCAAATCATACGTCAAAGTGTGAATGATGCGCAGAGAAAATGTGAGTTTTTTTTGGACAGTGCTCATTCGGAACATTGACTTGTTTACTAGCTACAATATATCCACCCCCTGTGGTTCCAAACTCTCAACCATCAGGCAGTGGCACCAGTCGGACTAGCGCGCCAGGACCAGATATTTTGGTGCCATCATTCTGGCAACATTCACAGAGCTTAGGCCAGCACAGGGTTGCTGACGCCGCAGGATATTCTATCCACCATACACAATATAATTCAGAGCAGTGAACGGTGGGCAAAGCTTTTGTATGCTCCACCTCTGGCGGAAACTATCACGTTGGAAATTACAGCAGTCCATGAGGGGAACTCACAGAGGAAAGCTGGGCGTGGCATAAACATTGGTGTTCGTTCTCTGGCTTTTTGTAATCCTGATCTGAATTCCTTGCAGAACATCTGTGAAGGCAAGAAGGATGTTGATGCCTGGATTGACGCACCTGGACTTATTTCCCTTGCATTCAATACGGTCACTCCCAAACTCTTTTTTTTTTGAAATGGTTTTCCATGGTGCACCAACGAGTTCACTGTCCAGGGATGCTGCTTGGGTTGATCTCTCCATCCACCAGCCTAATGTCCCTTATTTTTTCTCCCAATGTTTAGTCCCTTCTTGGCATGGGAAAAAAGCGCCAACATTTAAATCTAAGCAGTTTGCATTGATGGTTATTGTACCAGCGGTGCAGTGGGTTGAGTACAAGGAGTGGCTAGAGAACATTGAAGAGGTAAGAGTATCAATGGAGTCAACAGCTTCTTAACGGCTCATACTAACTACTATCTACTATCAGCATCGTCTTCATCAGTCTGTGGCTCACAATGATGAGAACAGTATCAACGACTTTGATGATGGGAACACCAGTATCAATGACTTCAATGACAGGAACACCGGTATCAATGACTTCAATGACAGGGACACCAGTATCAATGACTTTGAGGATGGGAGCACTATCGAGGACTTTGAGGATGGGAATGAGCTGGAAGGTGCGAACTCAAATGAATGGGAGTTCCAAAGACTTGGACTCAGCACAGGATCATTGGGGACCTTCTCTCTCAGCCAAGTGGACACATGTTCGAGCAGAGAGTGATTCTTGCTCAACCACTGTATCTCCTCCTTGCAAGAAGGCTGCAGCCGCACCGTTATTATCCAAAGGCTTGGATGCACTTTGCCTCCCTGGCTGTGACTCTATGAGAGAGGCATTAAAGTATGGAGGCAGCGCAAATCTAGGAGATGTCTCGAGTAAAGGTGAGTGATTCACTGTTGTTTCAACGCACTGAACTTCATAACAACTTGACAGTCTTTGACTGGCACCACAAAGATATTGAATATTATCCAATTCCAACCCGTTCGCTCACTGAAATCCTGAAGACACCATAATACTGCACATTTGAACTTGACATTTCAGACTTGCATATCAGCCAACTCACAATTGATGTTCCCCTCCACAGTATGATAGGAATTGGCGCTTTCAAAACAGCTCATCCTGGGTGGCTAACTCTATCCCCCATTGTTTCTAGCAGTCTTGGATCATGCTCTCAGCATGATGTGGTCGTTAAACGTCCATTTTATAGGGTACCGCCAACAAGTCAGGCTGCCGCATCATCACTCAAGATTGTGCGATATTCGTCAGTGGATGAGCTGAAACATGTCCTGAAAGAAAGTATCGTCATGTACTGGGCAAAGTCACTCCTCAACTACACTTACGATTACATTGACCACCATATCAGCACTTCACCAACACCTCTGCCCTTTGAGATTCCTCATGTGCATTTCGTCGATGCTGGTGTTGCTTTGGGGTATGGACAGCGCATTACCAGCTCAAAACCAGGAGAAAAATCAAACACAAAGGCAGGAACAGTTTTGGCCATCTATCTTCTTGAAGAACACATCGTGTTTGATGACAACCAGGAGTTTACCAACTTCATTCACAACATGGACTACATGCCTTCTCTCGATGAGGATCAATATGGCTATGATTTAGCCATTTTCCTCACGTTCACACAGCACATTCAATATGTGCAGAATGAAGGTTTGGTGTCTGTTTTGGATTATCAAGGTATTTACCACAGCGCACTCCTTAACACCCCATTTCATGAAGACTGACACAAATTTAGGGAGTTTGACACTTCTAACGGACCCTCAAATCTTGACTCATCTGTGCATGTTTCATATACTATTTGTTTGTTTTTAATGACCTTTTTCTTGGACAGGTCCATAAATGACGGAGTTGACGTCTTTGGGGGCGGGAATATTGAGGGCATAGTAGATGAGTTTGAGCGCAAGCATTCTTGTAACCTTTACTGCAGATGGCCAGGATTTGGATTGAAGCCATTTGTCAGTTTAGAGAAGAACAATTAGACAGATTTCTTGGTATAAGACCTTAGTATTATTGTATGCCAACAATGTTAACGCTCTAGGGTACAGCACTGGAATTGTATCTTGAGGGTGTTCGAAGTCCTATTGCCTAATAGAGATGTGTGACATGCAAAAACGAGCACGGCTGTCCTGCTTTCCATAAATCAGGCCTCAGGATTTGTGAACATCGTGACTGTTTGGCGTTACAACATAATTAGTATCTTGAAATGAATGCTCTCCCGCAGGATGATGCGCATCCGGGCCCAATAATCCTATCTTCAATACTTATGCTCTTGGTTATAGCTGTGGCATAGGAGTGTTGGGATACAAAGACATTGGTTTTGATGTGAGACCCCGTTCTCACGAAGTCGTTCTATGACATCTAACTTATTCCGCCACTACTACAGCAAGCTGCCTACAAAAGTTGATAATTTCATAGGAAACAAAAATCCTTCTGTCACTTTGTGGTGGCGGGGATCGGTAGTCCGTCGTCGACATCAATGTCGCTTCATCATTCCTGTCACTACCGTGGATTCCGAGGTTGTGGTAGACTGATATGCCTTTATTCTAGATTATCCGCAGACTACGTGATTCTGCCTATGCAAATCTGCTAGCCACAACCATTCAGGCTGATGGACCTACTGATCCTGGGCTTCCCAAAAGCACGATTTGTGGGATATATAAGCAAGCTGTCGACTCTTAGAACTATCATTTGGGATCCCATCGACGCATTCTATATTACATAGCAAGAGATATGCGTTTTTCATTCCTCCTTGCTGCTGTTGCTGCTTTGACAACATCTATGTCCGTCAGCGGCAAGGGCCCCCCCACAGGCATGCCACCCGCGTGTATAACTATGAATAATCATTGCGACGTGGACCAAAGACACCCAGAAGCCAAAGAAATTTGCTGCCCCGGCCTTGACTGCAAAGTGGATGTGAGTATCTATCGGCTTTGGATTCGGGACTCGACTCCATGACTTACCCCTTGTGCTTTATAGGCCGACAACTTACATACATGTGTAGAGCCGAAAAACTGAGTGCGTTCGCAACAGTGGGTCGTTTTTCTGCTTTCATGTTGTGCCAGCGGTCAATTGATGACACGCCGATATGCAGTTGATTGGTATGCTCATTGCTGCACGAATTTCTGGGCTACCTAGAACAGACTCTAGAATAACATGTCATTAGAAAAACTTCCTCGCAAATCGATAAAACACATTTGTGTGACTCGCCTTGCTTACGATTTTCATCAGGGAAAACCTCTCGTGCAAACTTGGCCAAAATTAGATCTAACTTTTTCCTGTACTGCTTGTATACTGTACTTACTCGCACGATTCGCGCATGATAGTGTCTGCACGTCACGACATTGTGTATGTAACGAAAGGCTGTCACTTATTAGAACGTGATTCGCGGGTGTTTGTGGGCTCCTACCTCGTGTTTCGAGAACGAGGTGCCATCATAGAAGAAGCGGATGATGAAGAGGATAGAGATGGAGTTCCCGAGAGCTTTGATGAGAAAGATGGCCTTGCAGAAAAAATCGCGCTATATCTGCAGGACCAGCAAAGCTTTGATCAAGGCTCGGGCTAAATCAGGATTTGTAAGCACCCTGTTTGGCGTTACAACATAATTCAGTATTGTTCTCCCGCTGGATGATGCGCAACCGGGCCCAAGAATCCCATTTTCAATACTCATGCTCTCGGTTATAGCCATGGTATGGGACTATTGGGTTACAAAGATATCGGTGATACGAGACCTCGTTCTGGGACATTCGAATTCCTACGACACCACCACCACAGTAACTTAAAGCTACCTACAAAACTTGAAAATTTCCGAGGAATAAAAAATCCATCTGTCCTACTTTGTTTTGGCGGGGATCGATAGCCCGTCATCGGCATTAATGCTGCTTCATTCCTATCACCACCGCGGATCTAGAGGTTCTGGTGAACTTGCATGCATCGATTGCTTACCCGTGGACTATGCGATTCTCCCTATGCAAATCTGACAATCATTCAGGCTGATGGACCTACCGAGCCTGTGCAAATCTGCCAGCCACAATCATTCAGGCTGGTGGACCTACCGAGCCTGACCTTCCCGGAAGCACCATATATAGCAAGCTGTCGACCCTTAGAATTATCAATCGGGATCCCCTCGACGCATCCTAGATTACCTAGCAAGAGACATGCGATTTTCATTCCTCCTTGCTGCTGTTGCTGCTTTGACGACATCTATGTCCGTCAGTGCCAGGTCCCTCCCAAAGTGCCTTCCATATGACTCAATTTGCGGCGTTCCATACTCATGCTGCTCCGGCTATACTTGCAAATTGGATGTGAGTATCCATCGGCTTTGGATCCGGGATTCAACTCCATGACTTACCCCTTGCGTCTTGTATCAATAGGATGGTACCAACTTACTTAGATGTAGTGAAACAAGTGTCGGAAAATAGAGCGCGTTCGTAACAGTGGGTCGTTTTTCTGCTGTTGTCCTAGTCGTCAATTGATCACACGATATGCAGTTGATCGATATGATCATTGATATACGCGTTTCTGGGCTACCTCGAATACATCAGGAAATCGCCGGTTCAGTTTTCTAGCTTTTTCAGTACTTGGTAAATAAGTGACCCGTTACACCTCTTATTGGGGGAAGGTTGTATCAAACTAACTTATAAGCCTAAAACCATCATACATCCACATCTCCCGTTGCTAGTAAAAATTTGCTAAAGTTTGACTTGATCTCTCAAATTTATCAAAAATTATAGAGAACTAGCGCAAAGTTACAAAAGTATGTCTAGGGATTAGCGCGGGTAACTGTAACCCTAAGACACTACTGAAACATAATTTTCACGGTCAAGTTCAAAAGTGATCTCTGATCATGATGCATCTTCAATACTTAGTATATGCTTGCTCTTGGGTTACAATACTAACTTACAAAGACATTCAGGCCGGTGCGCGTTGAGACGTTGATGTGAGACCTCGTTCTCGCGAAGTCGTTTTAGGACATTTAAATTCCTACGACAGCGGCAACTTGGAGCTACCCACAAAACTTTCAAGGAACAAAAATCCTTCCGTCATACAAAACCTACTTTGTGGTGGTGGGAATCGATAGCCCGTCATCGGCACTAATGCTGCTTCATTCCTATCACCACAGTGGATCTAGAGGTTGTGGTAAACTCACATGCATTCAGTAAACGTTGGTATGTTCATGATTGCTTATCCGTGAACTATGTGATTAATATTCTGGCTATGCAAATCTGCCAGCCACAATCATTCAGGCTGATGGACCTACTGAGCCTGAGCTTCAAAAAAGCACGATTTATGGGGTATATAAGCATGCTGTTGACTCTTAGAGTTATCAATCGTGATCCCCTCGACTCCAGAGAGATGCGTTTTTCATTCATCCTTGCTGCTATTGCTTTGACGACATCTATGTCCGTCAGTGCCAACACCACCAACATCCTGACGTGTCTTAAAGCAGGCTCGCCTTGCGGCAAGGATCGGGCTGACAAAACACAGAATATGGAATGCTGCCCCTTATCTGTTTGCGATGTGGATGTGAGTTAAATCGGCTTTGGATCCGGGACTCGACTCCATGACTTACCCCTTGTCCCTTGTATCAATAGGAAACCACCAAGTTGCATACATGTGTGGAAAAAAAGTTGTGTAAGCTTTGGGAGTGATAGTAGGTCGTTTTTCTGTTTTCATGTTGTCCCAGTGGTGAATTGAACACGATATGCAGTTGATCGATATGCTCATTGCTACACGGATTTCTGGGCCACCTCGAATAGCCTAGACTCTAGAATAACATGACATTAGAAGAACTGCCTTGCAAATCAAATAAAACACATCTGTGTTACTTGTTACTCGCCTTGCTTACGATTTTCATCGTGGAAAACTTCCCGTGCAAAGTAGTGCGACTCAGAGTCACTTTCGTAAATCTTCGCTAACTTGAACTGAAGGGGACCTACTAGTATAATCTATAGGAAAATGGTGTATGATACCCAACTATGCCCCATAGCATCAGTAAAATATCACGGTTCTTAATTTAACTTGATCAGAACTTGATCGACTTGGCTTGACGCCCAAGTTTGTCAAGGAGTCAATATTTCAATACTGATAGGCGAGGAAAGATAGTCGCAGACTCACCGTCAACCCCTTCGCACCCCTTCGCGAGACCTCCGATTTCCGAGAGAGCCCCTTCGCATGACCATATTTTCGTTCAGTTCAACTCACGTGATCTTTCGTTCAACTTTGTAGTATGTATCATATTAATGCTTAATCACCCGAAAAATTTCAGTGCGCGTTCGTCTAAAATTCCATCTAGGTAACTCGAATTCGACAGTCATCTGTATCTTTTGCGAAATGACAAAAGTCTGATCGGGCTCAAGAGCTTGAAACGCATCAATAATTTGCAGCACTCCGAGTCGACCGCCTATCGTACGCGCTTCATTTTACATGCTTTCAAGTTATCACTCATCATACACATAGTCTTTCCGCTTGATGTTTTATATTTTTCTTCACTCGGATTCACAACCTCCATCTATATCTTCTGCGAAACGACAAAAGTCTGATCGGGCTACTTAAGAGTTCGAAACACATTGATAATTTGTAGCGCTACGAATCGCCACATTACTATTATAACACGTTCTTTGTACGCACTTCATTTTATATGCTTTATCACTCATCATACACATGATTTTTTTCGCTCTCCAGTGTTTCAGCGATCTTTTATGGTTCTCAGAGTCGTCACTCCCTACACGGCCTCACTCAGTCCTGAACGTGATTCGCGGGTGTTTGTGGGCTCCTACCTCGTGTTTCGAGAACAAGGTGCCATCATAGAAGAAGCGGATGATGAAGAGGATAGAGATGGAGTTCCCGAGAGCTTTGATGAGAAAGATGGCCTTGCAGAAAAAATCGCGCTATATCTGCAGGACCAGCAAAGCTTTGATCAAGGCTCGGGCTAAATCAGGATTTGTAAGCACCCTGTTTGGCATTACAACATAATTCAGTATTGTTCTCCCGCTGGATGATGCGCAACCGGGCCCAGGAATCGATAGCCTGTCACCGGCACTAATGCTGCTTCATTCCTATGACCACAGTGGATCTAGAGGTTGTGGTAAACTCACATGCATTCAGTAAACGTTGGTATGTTCATGATTGCTTATCCGTGAACTATGTGATTAATATTCTGGCTATGCAAATCCGCCAGCCACAATCATTCAGGCTGATGGACCTACTGAGCCTGAGCTTCCCAAAAGCACGATTTATGGGGTATATAAGCAAGCTGTCGACTCTTAGAATTATCAACCGGGATCCCCTCGACGCATTCTAGATTACCTAGCAAGAGACATGCGTTTTTCATTCATCCTTGCTGTTGCTGCTGCTTTGACGACATCTATGTCCGTCAGTGCCAGCACCACCACTACCCCGGCGTGTATTTCAAACAGCTCGCCTTGCGGCAAGGACCAGTACGACCAACAACACCCCGGAATTAAATGCTGCAAGGACCATGTTTGCAATTTGGATGTGAGTATCCATCGGCTTTGGATCCGGGATTCAACTCCATGACTTACCCCTTGTCCCTTGTATCAATAGGAAACCACCAAGGTACATAGATGTGTGCCAAAAAAAAAGACGTGTCCGCATTTGTTACAGTGGGTCGTTTTTCTGTTTTCATGTTGTCCCAGTGGTCAATTGAACACGATATGCAGTTGATCAATATGCTCATTGCTACACGGATCTCTGGGCTACCTCGAATAGCCTAGACTCTGCTAGTAGAATAACATGACATCAGAAGAACTGCCTTGCAAATCAATAAAACACATTTGTGTTACTTGTTGCTCGCCTTGTTTACCATTTTCATCGTGGAAAACCTCCCGTGCAAAGTAGTGCGACTCGGAGTCACTTTCGTAAACCTCACTAAGATTCGCTAACTGAAGGGGATTTATAATCTATAGGAAACGTCAACTAATATGTCCCATGAATCTTGTACACCCAGGCCACCTACTTACTCCTCTGCAGCACCTTCTTTCATACCGTCTATCCTAGTCGTCTAGATAGTCATAATTTTGTACCAGTTCATAATGCACATTAAATAAAATCTTTTCAATCATTTAACTTTAAGTTAGAATAATGAACGCTACAAGGCCCATGCACTTACATTGAACGGCGCGATACTGGATGCCGAGCGGAGCTTGCTTTCGGCGGATGTGATATGGTGTGATAACCGATATTATGGAGCTTTCAGTGCTTTCAGCTATCAGTGGTCGTTACAAGCTGTTACAGTCGCTTCAAAAGATGCTCTGCGTTACGCGCTGCTACAAGTCACTTCGCTCGGCGGGGGATTTCCTGATGGACACGTCACGAGTTCTCACTAGGCGGGTGTGCAAAACCAACCGGCTTACTCAGGCTTATCTTGGGGCAATGCTAGCTAAAATTGAAACTTTCGGAGTTGGAGGCAAGTGGGAAACATTACTGCAAGCTTGTGCAATCGCTACACGAGGTGTGAGCTTTTCTGAACATTCATGTCTTCTCCCAGTGAAAGTAGGTCGCTGCTGCATATAGAGGTTGGCGAACCTACACAGACTGCCTACGGCACATCCCTGGACAACAATGACGACCCGGAATCCATCTCTAGGCAGATGATAGAGCTAAATCTTCTACGAAAGCTAGATTTCAGAACAGCGTATCTTGTTCTTATCTACATCTTAAACCAGGTGCGCAAGGCATCAATAACTTGTCTCGTCCGTTCTCCGCCTCTAATAATCGCTGCAACTCACAGATGGATCGAAATAACGCCGCGTAAGACGTTCTGCAAGGAATATCTATGTTTCTGGCTAATATCCGTTTTTACCTGTAGCGCTGCAAGGCTTCGTGGTTTCGAGGAAGACCTCGGCATGAAGGGTAATCAGTTCAACACCTTGATCAGCAGTCTATACATCGGCTATGTGTTCATGCAAACACCATCGTGAGTGATTTTGCTAAGCTTTAACACTTCCCCCTGAAAGTTGAGCCGTCGTGGCAGAAATTTGATTCTCACCCGCATAACGAAACCATCGCTGTATCTATCGAGTTGCATGTCGCTATGGGGTCTCCTGACCACTCTTATTGGTGTGTTTTGTCATGTTTGTTATACCGAATCTAAAATGAACGGAAACCCCATGGTATCAATGAAGGGATATCCACGAAGTTGGTTTATTGTATAATGGTGTACGATTGAAATGCTGATATACATCTTTGCAGCTACTACCAAGCACTTTTTTCACGCTTTCTGGTGGGATTCTTAGAGGCCACCTTTTATCCTGGTGCTGTCTATCTGCTTTCAAGATGGTACTTCCCGCAGTTCACTTCACATGGTAGACTAGCTTGCTAAATATACTGCAGGTATAAGCGAGACGAGCTTGGGTATAGGACCGCGTTCTTCACCGCAGGTATTGGGATTAGCAATGCTTTTGGTTCGCTGCTAGCTTCTGGAGTTCTGGCAACCATGGAAGGATTTCTCGGTTTTGCGGCCTGGAGGTGCGGAACAGACATCTTTTTCCCAGCAGATGTGTGACATGGATTTTGACTACTTTCAAGTTCAGGTGGCTGTTTTTCACAGAGGGCTATTTAACAATTTTGGTCGGCATCGGTGGGATGTTCATACTTCCTGACTTTCCTTCGAGCCCTGCGAGTTGGCTCACTCCTGCAGAGCATGCTCTTGCTCGAAAGCGGATGGAGGAGGATTCAGACGGTCATGGTACCGCTGAGCCTGCGTCATCCGGCGGCTTTTCTGTCGTCCTTTCATTGATGACAGATTGGAGAGCGTGGTTGGTTGGCACGGCATTGAGTTGCTGTAATGCATCTCTGTCATTCAATATGTTCTTCCCGACCTTGGCGGCCACAATGGGGTACTCACCTACTATCAGTCTTCTGCTGTGCACACCGCCATGGATCGTGAGCACAATTACCGCTGTCACTGTCGCTCGGTAGGCTCTATTAAATTGCAACTTACCCCTCAGTGAAGACTTACGTTTTTGAAGTCACTCTGACGCGACGCGTGAACGCTTTTGGCATATGGTCTTTGCGTTGTTGATGCTCATTACTGGATACGTTTTGGCTATGTCCACGATGAATTTCACTGTTCGCTACATCTCACTGTCAGTCATTTCGTGTATCACTCGTCTCGGCGTCTCTTATTATCCAAACCAGATTTTTCATGGCTCAAGCACAGGTCTCAAATGTCATCTTGCTAACGTGGATCAGCAATACATTCGCCCGTTCTAGCTCTAAGCGAGCAGTTGCGATCGGGTTCATGAATTGCATTGGAACGTCAGGGAACACCTTATCCCCGTCAGTCCCTTTCTAGTTTCTCTCGTGTGACCATTACTGATATGTCATACGATATCAGGTACATCTGGTTATCCAGCTTGGGCCCGACATATACAAAGTCATGCCTCATTTGCATCGTGCTGGCCATCTTATGTATCTCATTGTGCTGGGTGTTTAGGCAGCATCTTGAGCGATTGAATGAAGCCGCTGATGAGGAAGAGCGCGAACTGAATCTTGCTAAAGGTTATAGGTACATATTGTAGAGTAGTGGATGTAAGGGTCACATATGCAAGTTGATGGTTTGATCATTGTTTCCTGTCACTAGAAATTATCCGTAGTTCATTAATTTGAGCTATTTTACCGAGTGAGCTCGGCACGCCATTCTATCAATGATTGACCAAGACGACCCACTTTCTTGCAGACTCCCCAGTAAACTCAGCAGGTATATTAAGGTGAAACAGGGGTTGACACTGACGCTCTAGCTAAGTAGTCTAACCTGGACTTTGAAGGTTTGAAACGAAGGTTGACGTGATTTTTGGCATCTTGTCATGCGATAGTTCTTATACGGGGATAGTTCCGCAGCTTCTCGCTTGCACAATCACGAGCCTAACTAGTTGTACTACATCAGTAAAATTACACACCTTTTAATTCAACTTGACGAGCTTATTTTAATAGCTAAGACGAGCCAAGACGAAATAAGACAGTCTTATGCTAAGACAAGCGTCTTAATCAAAGCATCTGGTCTTGAGATGACACGCAACTTAACAGCACTTAAATTTAGTAAGATAAGACGAATAAGCTTCAAGTTCAGCAAGACTAAAAAGATGCAAGAAGGTAGATAAGCACGAGCCGTGAAAGTAAGACATCAATAGACATAGTAAGACGGATAAATCATTAATGGGTAAATATGGGTGGTTACGGCGAAGAGCGTGGAATGCGGTAGATAGTGGCGGCCAGTCCAAACAAGCAAATGGTGAGAGTAAAGGCAACTAACCTTTAGCGGAATGCAAACAGATCAGCGAATTCATCGTCCTCATCAGGCATGACATTACTGGTGGCCCTCGAGCTCCTAGTACTTCTCGGATGCTTGGCATACTAGTGCTGCCGCAGTTCGGTTCTGAACCTCGGTTCGAACCCGAACCTTTCCGAACCGGACTCAAGGTCCGGTCACAGGTCCGGCATGGCCCCTGGACCGAACCTTAAGTCCAGTTCGGGGTTCGGAGCTAACCAGAACCAGTTCGGACGTGTTTGAACACCATCTGTCAGCACCTACACTACCTCAATTTCGCTGCTGCTGTTGCAAGTCCCTGACTCCTATTGGCTCATAGTTTTGTCTCAAGGTACGTTGCGCATGTAGACTCGACTCTGGATGGGGGACTGACATGTTCTCAGAGTTTGCTGTGCAGGAAGCTCGTCGTAGCGTTTTTCCTTCTCCCAGTCACTCATGACAGTGGACAACTACTGTGAGTGAAGTGATAAACTCACGAGGTAATTGTTTGACATAGTCCGAAACTCTCATACCTGATATATTCGATGCATATGTATCAAGAAATCCAATGGACCCATGCAAATCTAACGATTGTTGTGTCGGGTTGTCCTTTCGTTTCTCCATAAGCAATTAGAACCTTTTGCCCTTCATTCATGCTGGGTTGCATGTCCAGCTTACGCATTCGAGCACGGTAAACTCTTGGAGCCTTACCTTCAACCAGGGACCTTACCACGCTGGGGCTCACAATCCACATCTCATTAGTCATGCCGTCCACAACATCCACATCCACATCTTGTGGAAACTGTTGCTCCTTTAAATGACCTTTGTCCTACCTCTTTCCATGTCGCTTGGAAGACCACGAATTACAGCACTACAGTCGAAAGGTCGTGCCCTTACAATCAAATAATCTTTTATAGTCAACTGATGATTATCTTTTCGTGCAGATCATCGCTCTGACAGAGGTAAAATTAATTCAAGGCTCGCAAACTCTTTCGATAATGCTCTCGGTTCAAGAACGCGCAGATAACTCTCAGACGTGAGGGTGTGGCCTTGTACATTTTCGTTCTGTGTTCAGAAGAACTTTTGCCATACAAGTCGGCATACTTCATGTTCCCAATGCCCACTTACCCTTCGCAAGATCTCCTTGTCTTCTTCCCTCCTCCTACTCTCATCTGTCGTCCGCACTTGTCTGAGCCATGTCAGCAGTTGCTGATGTGCACTGGGCGTTTGCGCATGGCATTCGTGGTGGAGCTCCGGCCCATTGTCTGCAAGCTTGGTCGAACCCGGTTCGAACACAAACCGGACCTCCCGAACGTGTTCGGTGACGTTCGGTCCAGGGTTCGACCAAACAGCTAAACCGAACCTATGGTTTGGTTTGGCATTCGGAAAATTTGGCCCAAGAACCGGACTGAACCGGACTTCGGCAGCACTATGGCATACTGCTGTGCCTCTTGCACGATGCTCGCAAAGTCCCCGTCAGGAAGCACCATGATGGGCTGCATAAATTTCTGGGTCATAGGCTCCCAGACAGGTTTGCTAAAGGCGAATTGCTTGCCCTTCATGATGATCAGTGTCCAAATATCTCTGTCGCCTGTCTTTGTAGCTTTGGTGCGTTTGCCACGGGTTTCTGAAATGATTTTGAAGGTGATATTCCTGTCTACGACTAGCTGAAGAATACGACACACCTGTGAAAATATAAAGAATACTTATACAACAGAAATAAAACATGACTCACTGCAGTGACAGCAAGGGTAAAGGCAGCCCGTGCACCAATTGCTTCAGTGTTGAGATTGGGAATTCCAACATGGCCATAGGTGAAATTGAGGTGGGACACGAAGGTCTGGAGTATGAAGGAGGCCCTCCACATGTCTGTCCAAGCCTTTGAACGGATAATTAAAATTGATGTTGAATAGTGATGAATGATGCTACTTACCTTGGGAGTGAGCCCAGCATTATCCCTAAATATAAAACAGTTTTGCTTCAGCATGGCTCGTGAAAATTCCTTGCGAGCCTCTGGGTCCAGGAAATCGGCATCCTGTGCAAAAAATGCTGTAAGAATGGAACAAGCGGCAACGCCAAACCCTCCATGCCATTCCATGAGGCGTTGTTTGGCCTTCAAACTTCAGTAGACTCGAACAATATGAGAAAGATGGACTTACTACTTTCAAAACAGCGCCAGAACTGGAGATTTCATGCTCAATCCTACCCTTGTATATATGGTCCCAGATATCTTGCATGACATTCCTTAATTCATGGTCGTCAGGGCCCCATGGCTCAACATCTCCGCCAGCCCAGTGCACAACTGTGGGTATGAATACCTGATGCCAGGTGTTATTGTGATGACAGCCATCTGGAAGATCATCGTTCTGGTACTGATGATTAGCGCCGCTGCCATCACGGCGAGATATGATGCTTGTGGTGTGTGATTCTGTCTTTGCTCGTTTTGAAGCAGGCGCATGATTGCTATTGATACCAACATCGGTCTATTTTTTGCAAAAAAAAAAAAGTCAGACAGGTACATGTCATGAAAAAAGTGACAACTCACTGAAGTGGTGAGGCGTTTGATGCCTTTTCCCACTAGAGGCCCAGAGGGTGCTTCATCCTCAGCCTCCTCAGTATCACCAGGGCTCGTAAAGTTCCATAGATAGATCTGACATGAGCTCAGGACAGCATGGAATCCTGGCAGTTGCCCTTGATGGTTGAGTACAAGGGGGAGGGGAAGACAATGATTCAGTCCTTGCCATTTGTTGGGATGGCGCACACACTGGGCGTGAGGTATGCGGAGATGACAAGCTACTTACTTTAACCACATCCTGAAGTAACAGTGAGCATCATGTAAATGAAAAAAAATAGGACTTACTAAAGTCGTGCATCTAGTACTGTCACCAGCCTGAGTCTTTTTTTTGGTGTTGTAAGCAGCCTTGTGCTTGAGTGAGTCGTCATCATCCAGTAATGATGAGTCTGACTCTTTGACACTGTGTGTTGGAGTAGGAGGAGGACCAGGATTGGTGCTGGCCAAAGTCTTATTTGTGATCTTTGACACGGCAGTCGAAGTAGCAACTGAGGAAACACATGTGTGTGTCACACTTCAAGTGCTGTGAGAAACAGAAGGCCTGAGTAACTTTCTAGTTGCGAGTTTCTCAGCCCAATCCTTTGTCTTTCCGATGCCTGCATAGTCGTCCTTTTCCGTACCGACAGCCGCACTGAATTGATCAAGGATATCAAGGTGAAAGAGAGTTGTTTCGGTCAGTAATAACATGGTAGTTGGAAACAATAATAACGCACACTCCTTTCTTCCCTTTCTGGTCACCAATCGACGTAACACGTGTCTCAACTTCTCTTGGGTACTGATTCTTCTTTTGATTGACACCAGCCGCATTATCAACAAGGCGTGCGACCTGGACAGCTTCACGGTGTGCCATTTTCTGCACATGCTTCCTCCTTGGCTTTGCAAGTTCCTCATCACTGGACATAATGTGGTCAGTCTCAGCATCGTTATGGTGAGTCTGTACTTCTTCAGGATTGCCCTCCAGCTGAATGTCATCTTCATCCACAGTATCCATTATTCCAACATCCTCCTCCTCAGCTGTACCAACTGGTTTCTTCGCCTTCAATGCAGGTTGTGCCTGAGGCCTTGGCCTTGGTGGATCCATAACAACTTTGAGGTCCTTCAAGGCCCTCTGATCCTCAATAGCAGCAATACGCTCGGCATTATGCTGAGCTACTGCTTCCCATTCTTGCTGCTCGTGCTTAATGTGATCGTTGTCTTCCTGGACTTGATGAGCAGTACATCTTTTCTGCTTTGTTTTGAGAACAATCTCACCAGGATGTTGATTCACATTTTTAGGACGAGTGTTTGGCTGTGTCATTCTTGGAAAAGGCCTGGTTGTTGGTGGATGTAAAAATTTTGCTGAGGGTAGGGAGGTTGAGAAGAACTTTGAAAGAGTTACGTGTTGCTTGCACCTGTTCCGTGTATGTACTATATTACGACTCGCTCTAGTATGACAGGTTTGCTAATACTTGCTATTTTTTAGTCTTTTCAAGTTTCAAAGGTCTGCAACATGCCTGAAGACCACAACATCCCTCAAGCACAGCTCAAACGACAGGCATTTAGTGCCCAACGTGTTCAGTGTCCATACCCTGGGTGCAAACACTGGTTAAAAAATACCTCTGGGCTAAAATCTCACCAAAGTGCGAGGCACAGCTATTCATTTACTCACTCTGGTCAAGCACTACATTCATGACATGCTTCTGTTCAAGAGGTTGAAGACGAAGAGGCTCCGAGACTCACAAAGGATGAGGAGCGCTGGGAGTTTAGGCATGGACTCATTCAAGACTACCACGAGGCACTGACCGGTAAGTACAATAATCCTGTTGCAGGTGACAGTCGCCTTCAATAGAAAATCATACCTACAGGTCGAATTTGTGACGAGAGTGGCAACTTTCTCAATCCTGGCACTCCTCCCGCACCATACACTATGAAGAGTCCTGACAACTGGACTCCGTACCGCAATCAGGCTAGAATTTGAGGCTGCCAAGCTCCTGTACACCAAAAAACCAGATGTCAGCTCGCCAAATCGACAAGATCCTCTCCTACTGGGGTATCACCCTTGCTGTCCATCACGACAATCCACTGTTTGCTGACCACAAAGACCTATACGACACTATTGATGCAACACCATTAGGCGACGTTGCATGGCAAAGCTTCTCCCTCGAGTTCAATGGTGAGAAATCTGCAGAAGACCGTCCACTTTGGATGCAACAGTCGTATGATGTTTGGTTCTGGGACCCTCATGCCATCGTGCAGAACATGCTTGCAAATTCAGACTATGTAGGCAAAATTGATTATACGCCATACCGTGAATTTCAGGAGAAGGATGAGAAATGCCGCTATAAAGACTTTATGTCAGGAGACTGGGCCTGACATCAATCAGTATGTATCTTGTATCCCATACTCATATGATTTTGCGCTAATTTTGGTACAGGACGAAATTGCACAAGACCCGCAAACACATGGTGCAGCCTTCATTCCCATCATCCTAGGTAGTGACAAGACAACGGTGTCTGTTACTACAGGTCAAAATGACTACTATCTGCTCTATCTCTCAATTTGGAATGTTCACAACAATGTTCAGTGTGCGCATCGCGATGCCTTGGTTCTGGTCGGATTTATGGCAATCTCCAAGAGTACGTACTAGCTGTTTTTTTTTATTCTTTACTTTGAGGCTTACTTGTTGCAGCAAACAAAAAAGGAATCAATGATCCTGCATTCCACAAGTTCAAGAAGCAGATGTTTCACTCCTCACTTTCAAAAATCCTCGCCAATCTCAAACCTGGAATGACAACTCCAGAAGTTACGTGGTGTGGTGATGGCCACTACCGCCGTGTTATTTATGGACTGGGACCCTACATCGCAGACTACGAAGAGCAAGTAGTACTGGCAGGTATTGTCAAAAATTGGTGCGGAAGGTAAGATCTTCTTATCTGTCTCCGTTTCACGTCAAGATGTCCATGAAACTTGACATTTGAATAGTGTGGTCTCCAAGTGATGACTGTGTGGATGTCTTATATGTGGTCTCACTATTTACTTTGGCAGATGTCTTGCATTTCCTACGAGTCTTGATGATGGAGGTGTTTCTCGGTCACACGAGCATACTGATGCCCTTGTAGAATTGGTTAGTTTTGGTATACTCTGGGACGAGTATGGTATTATTGGCGAGCTAGTGGTATGTCCTCCCTAGCACATTAATCCTGTATCATGTCACTAACCATTGCACTGCATAGCCCTTCACAAACAACTTTCCTCATGCCGACATCCACCAGCTCCTTGCTCCCGACTTGCTGCATCAACTAATTAAAGGCACGTTGTCCTGCATGATGTGGGAATCATGCATGGACATGAATACTAGGTGACCCTCAAAAGACAAAGTCTGTTAGCTTAGTCCTCAGACTAGTCAACCCATACCTTGGTTTCAAACCATGGTCCATATTTCCAGTTTTCCCCAAGTTTCATGATCTGAATACGTTTTGACGGAAAAAGTCTAATGTGAGATGGGAATCACATTTAGACCTAGTTGATGTGAGAAGGGAAATGAAGGTTAAGGTATAGCCTTGCCTTTGGCTTATTCACTTTGACTAGAGAAAACCATAGAGAAAAGTACAAAGCCAATAAAAAACCTATCCAAAAAGACCGTGTTTCAATTCCTGCCAACTGTCTTATTTTTGCTACCTACTTTTCTCTAGTGTTTCTTTACTTTACTTTTTCATTAGGATGCTTTGACTCACCTGACACTTCATAAAATTGTACCCATAAGGTATGATGTCATTATGATGTCATAAGACTCCTGCAGGTATTCTGTTGAAAGATATTATGTCATCAAGCTCTAGATTATTCTACTCTATAATGACATCATTCATGATGTCATTTCCTTCTAGAATATTCTGCTCCACAATGACTCACTCTGACTCACTCATGGAAGGTTCTGGAATCTTTTGCTTCACAATGATGTCACTCTTGATGTCATTATGATGTCATTACTCCACATTCCAGAATGTTCTGCTCCACAATGATGTCATAGCTCCATCTTTCACTTGTATTTTATTCTTTTATTGGGTTTGACCCAATATTTTGATTGGTCCTCCTTATTTTTTATTGTTTGTGAACCTAGGTTACTTTCCCACACAAAATGTATATAAGGAGAGCCCATTCTCCCCCAAAAAAATATGATCTCCCATTTGTAGCAATCTGCCTATCAGATATTTCACTTGCAAAGTTAGTCCCTTTGAAGTGAGACAAGTGCAGGGAAAAGAATTCCCTTGAGATTATAAGTTTCTTACCTTAGAAACTTATTAGTGCCATAGACCAAGTGTTCTTGGTCATATATATTGTCTTTGAGACCCCTTTGTCTCATTGCTCTGTGCCCTTTGACTAAGCGATCTTAGTCATCTATCATATTGTTGAGACCACGTCTCACTAGTTGTCCCATAGACCAAGCGATCTTGGTCAAAGTTATAGTCCCCTTTGTTCAAGCGATCTTGAACATATATCGTATATTTGAGACCATTGTCTCACAGTCAGGTGTCCATAGACCAAGCGATCTTGGTCATATTTCGTATATTTGAGACCACGTCTCACTAGTTCCAGTATCCAAGTCCAGAGCCTAGAAGGAGATTTCCTAGGCAAATACATTCCAGAAACTGAATTACGTGTCTAGAAGCTTATTCCTAGACAAGAGATTTGAGTTTCAATAAAGAAAAGTAAAGCTCCGGCTAGGTTGATCTTTATAAAAAGATTAGTTTAGTGAGCCTCCCAAGAACTCACACATTATCTACCACAAAATAGGAAAAGTCGTAGACCGTGTTAATCGAGGACTGGCAAGCAGTCTTATCCAAAGTGTAATTGTGGTGTCATTACATTTACACGACTTTATATAAGACCCTCGGTTATTAAGACAACGTTTAAGGACCACCTGGTTGAATGGGTGGGTAAATATCTCGAATGTGAGCATGGAAAAGCAGGTGTGGCAGAGATTATGGATGATATTGACCGAAGGTAATTGCACTTTCTCCCATCTTCTTACAGTGAGAACTGACAACATGCTAGAATTGCTGTTGCACCCTCATTCCCTGGTCTATGGTGTTTTGTGCAAGGGCGTGGATTCTCACAATGGACAGGTGACGACTCAAAAGCATTAATGAAGGTAAGCTCCATGCTTGTATTGTCTTGTGTATAATTATGCAACTATGTACTAGGTCTATCTTTCAGCAATTGAAGGCCAAGTACTGGATGATGTGGTTCGAGCATTTCGAGCATTTCTAGAATTTTGCTACATTGTTTGTGCCAATATCATCACGGATGATACTCTCACAGAGCTCAGGGATGCCCTCAAGCACTTCCATAGATACCGCACCATATTCCAGACTATTGGTGTCCGCTTCAACATTTCCCTGCCCTGACAACACTCCCTTGTTCACTACGAGATTTTCATCCGATTGTTTGGCACCCCAAATGGGCTTTGTTCATCCATCACTGAATCCAAACATATCAAGGCAGTAAAGAAACCATGGCGATGCTCAAGCAAACACAAGGCACTCGGTCAGATGCTCCTCACCAATCAGTGCCTGGACAAAATTGCGGCAGCAAGGGTTGATTTTCAATTGTGTGGGATGCTCAAAGGTTCTTGCTCTTTCAGCTACTATAATTCATTTTGTACGTGCTTTATGTTTAATTTTGATTTGCTTTTATTCATTAAATCCCCAGTCAAGAATCTCCCCAATCCAGAAGATGACAACGGCATCGACTCAGACATCAACAACAACCATGAAGGGCAACGGCACAACAAAACCAATCCATTTGCCAAGGAAGCTGATGACTATGACGATGTCGAGGATGATGGAATTGTAGATGATGAGGATGTTATTGCTGATGTGAAATTGGCACGAAGTGCTTGTGCATATTCAAACTTTTTGACTACCTTTGAGCATTAATGTAACATTTAGAACGTAAACGTGCACGTACGATGCCCAAACTTGTAGATGAACTTGATTTGCCATCACTCCTGTGTCTCATTTGTTTGTTTTTATATGACCAGATTCATGCTGATGACAATCACTCTTCCACTGATGTCCCCCTTTGCGACTGTCCATCTTTTATGGGACATATCAAGATTTTCCATTTCGCTTCTGCTATGTTCATCGCACCAAGCAATCCAAGTGGAATCACCGGCATGCAATGCAAGCACATTCGTGCTGTGCCCTCATGGTGCAATGGACCAGGTTGCTATGACTGTGCCTTCATCAATATTGATGATGAGCAGGATGACATGCTCAGCATGGATGTTGTTTGGATATTTTGCTTTTTATCTTTCACTTTTACTAACGGTCACACATATCCATGTGCCCTTGTTCAATGGTTTCATCGGATTGCAGAGGAGTGAGACGAGCTCACAGGCATGTGGATGGTGGCGCCGTCTCTCAACGAGGACAGCTCCCATGACTTGTTGATTATCCATATTGACAGTATTATCTGCGGTGCTCACCTACTCCCAATATTCGGTACTCAGTTCATGCCTCAGGGCCTTCAAATTCATGATTCTCTAGATGCCTACTGAGGATTCTATGTCAATCATTTTATTGATCATCATGCTTTTGAGCTGGTGTCTTAATGTATTTCTTACTCACAGAGTGCTTTGAATTTAACATTGTCTTGAAATCACTTTTTGGCTCTTAAGTTATCTTAGTGTCTTTGTCTGTCTTTGTCAACTTGGAGCTAAGACACTTAAGTCGTGTTCCAAGTCAAAATGAGAACTTACAAGAACTTGGATGTCTTAGTGGACTTGGGTACCAAACCAAGTAGAATAAGTTCTGAATAAGTTAAATTAAGAGGCATGTAATTTTACTGATGACTACTAGTAAGTATATGGTGCGATTGACTTGACCAATCACATCAGATCACCTCCAGCAACATCAGGAAATCTCGAGTTTAACTTTTACTCACTTCTATCCAACTTTTCTCATCAAATAGTATGGAGGCAGAAAAAAGTAGAAGTTACTTTTTTTTAAGTAGATCTCTCTACTTAAATGTCACTTATAGTGATGTGCTGGGCCTGGCCTAAAAGCCCTGGCTTTAGAGGGCTCAGGGCCTGTCCAGAGGGCCTGGGCCTGGCCACCTCAGGCAGGACATTTCAGTGCCTATAAGGGGTCTATCAGACCCAGTTTCTGTTACAAAAACATCTAGATGCTTGGGCCCCTACCATTTTTCTCCTTATCCTCCTCATCTCTGCCCTTGCATCACACCCTTACCCTGACCTTGCTCTTGTTATCCTCATCATCCTCACATTCCCCTTTGCTCTCTACCTGTCACTCCAGCAAAGCCAGTACATCTGGCCAGACCCTTTCTCTGACGAAGCATACCCTTGCTCTGTTCCACCTAATGACTGATCCTGTGAACAGTCCCCTTTACCCTTACTGTCCAGACAGTAACCTATGATACGATGCACGCCGCATCCCCTTTGCCCTGTTTCCTTTCTTGACCTATGACTCGGTGCGCAGTCACACATTGTACTTATACTTAGCTCCGCAGTTGCACAATTGTGCCCCTGCTTGTTTCACTTTCTGTTTCTGTTATTTGACTTATTTCCCATCTGCACGTTCTGGTTCACCTATGACTCACCTTGAATGTGCCTTCCTTCTTTGGTATCACCCTTCGACCAGTTCCTCTCTTGGTAGTATGAGTTATCATCCACTAATATGATTCCTCTCCTCTATATAAACTCGCTACCATGTATCTAGTTCCTTGACTTGAATCTACTTGGTTCTTGACCTCCTACTCCTAACAAGAGTGATTCCTTCTGCCTAGCCAGCAGTCTATATTCTACTTTCTTATCTGCTCATTGCAGATAAGTCTCTAGTCTCAATCTTTACTCATCGACTTCATCGTTGAGCAAAGCCCCTGTTATTAGTTGGACCTTTGTCCTTCTATTAACGCAGATCTTACGATTAACCTTCGGGTGTCATAAGCCTTGGCAGATACACTTATCGTCGAGCCCTGCTTGACATAAGCTACCTGATTTGGACATAGGCATCAAATCTTACTTGCCAAAGCTTCACCAAGTAAGACCCCTAACCTTGGGCTACCCCAGGGACGTCCTCGACCGTTGACGACACATGCTCTGTTTGAGCATTGTCAACAGATACTATCCAAGTCTGTAACAATACCTAGCATCAGCACCAGGATAGTTGTTGTGGAGGGTCCAATAACAAGCTCTGTTTGCATATGATAACAGGTTTGAGATAGCTTGGAAATCTATTGTGGATGCTCAGCGGACTTCAACCATCAGCAGTGTTGGTCCGACGTAGTCCAGCAATATAATACTTTGCCTGACACTGACATTTGTTCAGATATTAGGTATAATACAATGAAAATCAAGCCATACATACATTGATCATATCTCGTCAATATTGGACCATATCGCAGTGCACTGCCGCTTGTAGACTGAATTGTGTAGTTTGTAAGTGTAAGCATCGCAGACTAGCATGCCAGGTACATAACTAGTGTCAGCGCCAAGACAGTTGTTGTCGAGGGTTAGTGCTGCCATGGTCCAGTCCAGAACCATGGTTCAAACCGGACTTTTGGTCCGGTTCTCCGTGGTTTGGTCCATGGTTCTCGGTTCTACATCTTCCTGAACTGTTCTATTTTGGTTTGGCCTTCCTGAACCGTTACGAACTGTTGTTAACTTTGACTTCAACAACATTGGCCTCAACGTCAGACTGTCGTCTTTGGGATTTGCACTCTAGGTTAATCAGGCAATCTTTAGCATTTTTGAAGGTAAGTACTAACTAATCAAATTATCAATATTCTTGCCTACTGACATATGTTTGACTATGTCACAGATATATGTTAATTCAAGTCTGCACACTTCCTAGACAGTCATGATCCTCCACCGGCTCTCAAGTCTTTGTTCTGGGGCACATGGGTGTTGGCTCCCTGCTCCATGTACAAAATGAGGTACTGACAACAAAATTGTGAGTTATCTCTGACAATGTCTCAAGATGCCTGTGAGCTTAACGCTGACGGCTCCCTCAAGGATGCCTCCGATATCACTTTCTTCAATGACCCTGACAATGATGTACTGCTTCCCAAAATCCCACCTTCTACCCAGCCATCGACATCAACTGCATCTACAAGAGATGCCTACTCCGTTCTACTCAAGGCTGGACATACCCGGGGTGTGAGTACTAGGTCCTACCTATCAGTTCCCGGCTTACATTCTTGATTAGTTACATTCCCTACTGTATCCAACCCTCGCTCGTGTTGCGCATGATTACCTGCCCATTCAAGGCAGCACTGTTCCATCTGAACGTGCTTTCTCCAGTGGGGGGATTACATCCACTCTCCACCGCAATGCACTTGCGCCATCCACATTCTCCACCCTACAGTTGATGAAGGCAGCTTACTGGAATGGACATATCTCAGCAGCAGTAGAGGCAGAGGGGCACACGGCTGGTGTGTAGTTGGACTAGCCACTCAATATTGTATCTATGTACCATATCAATGTTTTTCTTGCACTTGAAAAAATTTATGGTTCGGTTCAGGTTTGGACCAGAAAAAAACCAAACCGGACCACAAAGAACGGTTCTCGATGGTCTGGTTCTGGGTTCGACAATTCTGTAGAACCGGACCCATGGTTTGGTTCTCGGTTCTTGTCCAGGACCCTCTGAACCGGACTGAACCAGACCATGGCAGCACTATTGAGGGTCCAACAACAAGCTCTATTTGCATATGGTAACGAGGTGGAGATAGCTTGGAAATCCATTATGAACACTCAGCACATTTCGACCATTGGCGGCGTTGGTCCAACGTAGTCCGGCCATATAATACTTTGCCCGACAGTGGAGTTTATTGAGACATTGTGGGTGACATAAAAACAAGCTAAGGTTACATACCATGACCAGGGAAAAGCTGATTTGTAGTGTATTGCCGCTAATTCTCAACCTGGGGACAGTGGTCACTCTCGACATGGTACTCTTTCTTTGTGATTGCATGTAGGTATTGCAACATGAATCATCTCGGTGATGAGCTGCAACAAGGTGTCTCAATCAGGCATTTGGTGGCTCCCATCCGACTAAATCCGCATATTTAAAGCTTTCCCATATCGGTTGCAATTATGATAGATATTGTGCATATTTTAGATCAGATAGAGATTTGTAAGAATTTATCGTTTTCAGGTCATTTACCTGATGTGGACTTGAATTGGACTTTCTCACACTTTCGGCGACTCTGACCTCATTTAAGGGAACATTAAGTAATATGCAGTTTTCCTGATTAGTATCATGGAGCTTCTAGTGCCTTCAGTGGTCGTTACTAAAGCTGTTACAGTCGCTTCAAAAGATGCTCTGCGTTACGCGCTGCTACAAGTCACTTCGCTCGGCGGGGGGTTTCCTAATGGACACGTCACGAGTTCTCACTTGGCGGGTGTGCAAAACCAACCGGCTTACTCAGGCTTATCTTGGGGCAATTGCCAATGCTAGCTAAAACTGAAACTTTCGGAGTTGGAAGCAATTGGGAAACATCACTGCAATCGCTACACGAGGTGTGAGCTTTTCTGAACATTCATGTCTTCTCCCAGTGAAAATAGGTCGCTGCTGCATGTAGAGGTCGGCGAAACTACACAGACTGCCTACGGCACATCCCTGGACAGCAATGACGGCCCGGAATCCATCTCTAGGCAGATGACTCTAGAGCGAAATCTTCTACGAAAGCTAGATTTCAGAATAGCGTATCTTGTTCTTATCTACATCTTAAACCAGGTGCGCAAGGCATCAATAACTTGCCTCGTCCGTTCTCCGCCTCTCTAATAATCGCTACAACTCACAGATGGATCGAAATAACGTCGCGTAAGACGTCCTGCAAGGAAAATCTATGTTTCTGGCTAATATCCGTTTTCACTTGTAGCGCTGCAAGGCTTCGTGGTTTCGAGGAAGACCTCGGCATGAAGGGTAATCAGTTCAACACCTTGATCAGCAGTCTATACATCGGCTATGTGTTCATGCAAACACCATCGTGAGTGATTTTAGCTTTAACACTTCCCCCTGAAAGTTGAGCCATGGTGGCAGAAATTGGATTCTCACTCGCATGACGAAACCATCGCTGTATCTATCGAGCTGCATGTCGCTATGGGGTCTCCTGACCACTCTTATTGGTGTGTTTTGTCATGTTTGTTATACTGAATCTAAAATGAACGGAAACCCCATGGTATCAATGAAGGGATATCCACGAAGTTGGTTTATTGTACAATGGTGTACGATTGAAACGCTGATATACATCTTTGCAGCTACTACCAAGCACTTTTTTCACGCTTTCTGGTGGGATTCTTAGAGGCCACCTTTTATCCTGGTGCTGTCTATCTGCTTTCAAGATGGTACTTTTCGCAGTTCACTTCACATGACAGACTGGCTTGCTAAATAAGCTGCAGGTATAAGCGAGACGAGCTTGGGTACAGGACCGCGTTCTTCACCGCAGGTATTGGGATTAGCAATGCTTTTGGTTCGCTGCTAGCTTCTGGAGTTCTGGCAACCATGGAAGGATTTCTCGGTTTTGCGGCCTGGAGGTGCGGAACAGACATCTTTTTCCCAGCAGATGTGTGACATGGATTTTGACTACTTTCAAGTTCAGGTGGCTGTTTTTCACAGAGGGCTATCTAACAATTTTGGTCGGCATCGGTGGGATGTTCATACTTCCTGACTTTCCTTCGAGCCCTGCGAGTTGGCTCACTCCTGCAGAGCACGCTCTTGCTCGAAAGCGGATGGAGGATTCAGACGGTCATGGTACCGCTGAGCCTGCGTCATCCGGCGGCTTTTCTGTCGTCCTTTCATTGATGACAGATTGGAGAGCGTGGTTGGTTGGCACGGCATTGAGTTGCTGTAATGCATCTCTGTCATTCAATATGTTCTTCCCGACCTTGGCGGCCACAATGGGGTACTCACCTACTATCAGTCTTCTGCTGTGCACACCGCCATGGATCGTGAGCACGATCACCGCTGTCACTATCGCTCGGTAGGCTCTATTAAATTGCAACTTACCTCTCAGTGAAGACTTACGTTTTTGAAGTCACTCTGACGCGACGCGTGACCGCTTTTGGCATATCGTCTTTGCGTTGTTGATGCTCATTACTGGATACGTTTTGGCTATGTCCACGATGAATTTCACTGTTCGCTACATCTCACTGTCAGTCATTTCGTGTATCACTCGTCTCGGTGTCTCTTATTATCCAAACCAGATTTTTTATGGCTCAAGCACTGGTCTCAAATGTCCTCTTGCTAACGTGGATCAGTAATACATTCGCCCGTTCTAGCTCTACGCGAGCAGTTGCGATCGGGTTCATGAACTGCATCGGAACGTCAGGGAAAATCTTATCCCCGTCAGTCCCTTTCTAGTTTCTCTCGTGTGACCATTACTGATATGTCATACGATATCAGGTACATCTGGTTATCCAGCTTGGGCCCGACATATACAAAGTCATGCCTCATTTGCATCGTGCTGGCCATCTTATGTATCTCATTGTGCTGGGTGTTTAGGCAGCATCTTGAGCGATTGAATGAAGCCGCTGATGAGGAAGAGCGCGAACTGAATCTTGCTAAAGGTTATAGGTACATATTGTAGAGTAGTGGATGTAAGGGTCACATATGCAAGTTGATGGTTTGATCATTGTTTCTTGTCACTAGAAATTATCCGTGGTTCATTAATTTGAGCTATTTTACCGAGTGAGCTCGGCAAGCTATTCTATCAATGATTGACCAAGACGACCCACTTTCTTGCAGACTCCCCAGTAAACTCAGCAGGTATATTGAGGTGAAACAGGGGTTGACACTGACGCTCTAGCTAAGTAGTCTAACCTGGACTTTGAAGGTTTGAAACGAAGGTTGACGTGATTTTTGGCATCTTGTCATGCGATAGTTCTTATACGGGGATGGTTCCGCAGCTTCTCGCTTGCACAATCACGAGCCTAGGATCGGCTGTGATAAGCGATAACACCCTGCCAGTGAGGTCTAGCCAGTGTTGCCAGAGCGGTGAACAAACTCGCCTGAAATCAAGGGTATCCAATACAAAGTAGTTCTTCGCAGAGTCTAGATGGCATAACAAGGCTCGATTCGTGGGGAATCCCAGGGGAAGTGCTAAAGATGTGACAGATAATACGACAAGCGACGTGACCGTGACAGACGCGGTATAATCACATGTCAATTCTCATTTCAAGTATATGAACCCCTTGCGTCTTCATTTCTTTTTCGTTCCCTTCTTGCACGCCTGCTCTCACATTTACCTTCATAATGTCATCATCCACGCAAACCCAGACAAAAGTCCCTGAAATCACGGTTTTAAATCGTGTTGTTTCTATTCCCTTAATTGCGTCTTCGCTTGAACAGATAAACACCATCCTTGAGAAAAACACGCTCACCCGCTCTCCGTACCACGCAGCTCAAGCGATTACCAACACCGCCTATAACTACTCGCAGCCTATCCAGATTCGCCTTGCCCCACTCCTTGTCCGCGCAGACGGTATCGCCAACAAGGGTCTCGATGCGGTTCAGTCGAGGTATCCTTATCCGTTCCAGGCTAAGCCCGAGGAAGTGGCCAGCTACGTGTGTGCGACTGCGGGAAACACGTTTGAGAATGTCAAATCCCCTGCAGTTAGCGTTGCAGAGGGCATCGACAAGGTGGGAGCCACGTGACCTATAACCCCTGTTACACGTTTGACATGACTTTTCAGAAATTTGCACCGGTTGTTGACTACATCGAGAAAATCGCTGGAAATATGTCCCATGGATCGGGCGCTTCGTCCCCCTCTTCCGCGTCTTCCGACTCTCAATACCAGTATCAGCGCGCGATCAACGTTTCAAAGCACCTCAAGGACAACCTCTACGTCTATTCATCAGAGCACCTCAAGCAAGTACAGCAGCAAAGTGTCCTGGTGTGAGATACTTTCTTTTGTAGCGCGTATATGCGTTTGTTCTGACCAATCATCCCTTAGTCAACGCGCGACCGATACCGCCAACTCTATCTCTGCTCTCGCCTCCAATCAAATGAAGAATGCTCAAACTGCCTTTCATGGTGTTGCTGACAGCCTGATTTCCGAGATGCAGAAAGTACACGAGTCCACCATTCAGCTCCCTCAGACCTTACAGGATACATATCCTGACGTCTCCAAAACCGTCACAGACTTGCGCAATATCATCACGAATCCCTCTCTCCCTGTCCCAGAGAAGATCAATCGCTTAGGCAGAGAGGTCAAAGAACGCGTGTCTCCGCTGCTTGAAAAGCTCACACAGCGGATAAGCGAGATCATTTCTGTCCTTGGATCGAAGGCAGAAGAGGTCAACAACACCGCCGAGGCGCATGGCAATGGGCTTCCCTCAGCGTCCGACTCGGATTCCTGATGGTAAACGCCGATTCAATTTTGTTATGAATGTATCACGTTCTCTTCTTCTTGTCATGACTCATAGAAATTCGAATAGATTAGAGATTTCGTTCCTCCATGCACTATTGTTCACATGCATTCGTTGTCGTCTTCTTCCGTTCACCTTGTAATTGTATTCGAAGCTTTCATACTCCCTTTTTTCGATCAGGCAATCATATCATGGATAATTTGTATACGGTACATTACAGTAAACTGTTTGTTAGTGCAGTGACAACGACCCTTGAATCACATACATAACAAGTCCCGGGTTGAACGGTTGAATATTTGTACAGCACTCCAAGTAGACCCCATCGCGTCACACTGCAACTTCTGCAGCTTTAAGAGCGACTTCGAAACCCTCCAGAAGCCCCTCTCTTTCCTCCATCCCAACACTAATCCTCACCAAGCCCTGTTCTACACCATACTCCGCTGCCCATCCAAGTTCGAAATAATGCGCAAGAATGGTATACGGACACGCGAGCGTAAAGTTCGTTCCAAGACTCGGGCCCTTCTGGAACGGCATGTTATCGAAGAAAGCATGCGAAGCAGCAGACGAGGTGAAAGTGAGTGAAAATAGCCCTCCGTAGCCTCCTTCCGGAAGCTTGCATGCGAGGTAGTTTTCAGGCGTGATATATTTTGGGTAGAACACCTCTTTGATAACAGGAGATGGTAGGGATGTTCCACCTGCGATGGATCTCGATCGTAAGTACTCACAAACGGCGAGCGCGTTTTCGTCGATAATGCGAATGCGCTGTGCAAAGTTTCGGGAGTTGCGCTCCATGAAGACTGCGTCCTCATCAAAGTATGTGTCTTCATAGGTAGCAGACATGTATGCCTTGAGCGCAGCGTAGTGGCGACCTTGAGGATTGAGAATTAAACTGAAGGTAGCAAGTATGAGATCAAGCTTTGAATGATGGCAAGACACCTACCTTCCCCCCATAGCGTTTGATTCACCGCTAAAGATCTTGGACAAGCTGCTCACAACGATGTCTGCATGTTGCAGCACGTCGACATTGACGAAGTTTCCAACAGTCTCATCTATGACGAGGACGAAATTATATTTATCTGCAAGGGCACGGAGGAGGGAGAGGTTAGCTGAGCGAAGGAGAGGGTTTGATGGGAACTCTGCAAAAAGAGCTGCAATAGGCAGCGCGGAAGGGTTCGCGGAAAGCTCCTGCTTGATAATTGTCTCTAGCGTGTCTATGTCAGAGTCAACACCATGTCCGAGGAAATGACATCCATGACCCCATTTTTGAAGAGTTTTTAGGGTATCAGTGTATGGAAATCTAAGAGACTATCAGAAGGTGTCTCAAAGCATCGGTGTAAAAACATACCCAAAGCACACACTCTTGGCTGGTGGCCGTGTGCCTAGAACCAATTGATGCGCAGTCCAGATTGCAGACATGCCCGTTTGGAACAAGTATACGTCATCTTCAGTCACATCCTTCACGCTTCTGTGGCTGGGCCCCACTTCGACATCGTTTGCGCCTGCACATGGACCATGCGGGCTGTCTTCCCAGTTGTCTCTGACGAGCACACCAGCAATTCGTCTGCGCATAGCTCGCTTTGCATGAGAACCCGCACTAACCGGGAGGTTTCTCCCGTATCGCTCTTCAAGATAGGTGCTTTGGTCTTTACTGAGTGCGTCTTGTGGGTTGGAACGGGGTGGAGGAGCCGATCCGAAGGACGACAATTGTGATGCACGCTTGACACTATAGTGTTTGTTCAGCGCCTTGAATGGAGCACGGGGAGACGTTGGCGAGGGTACTGAAGAATTTAGTGATTCCGCCGGGAGAAGGGAGAGACAGCAGTCCGCGAAGCGAGAGGAGATACCGAGACCCGTATGCTGCCAGAATTGTTTCGCAAAAGACCATGCATCTGTGGGGAATAAAACGATGTGTAGCTCCATCGTGGGTTGCGGAGATGGCACGGGAGTGTCCTCGGGATAAATGTGGTACTGCACGAGCCGCGCGTGCGTTGGTGTGCCTGCTAATGATGCTCGATCAAGCATAAAAGATCGACACCGGTCTGCGATCTTCTTGGATGGGTATAGCATACATTTTTCGTTGGCTGCCCCGAATTTTTGCTCGCATATCCGTGCAAGCTTCGGATTAATGGCTTTAGGGATATACTTTTGGTGTGACTTGGGGACAAACACATACTTTTTCGATGCTTCGGTGTATAAAGAACCTTGGGTATCCGGACACCATTGCATCAACGACACGCTTTTCTCCTTCCTCATATCCCACATTGTCCGCCCACGTAGGGAGCGAAACAGAGATCGCATGCGGAGTGAAGGGTGGCACCGTAGACCCAAGCGGGTAGTAGTTGCTCACAGCAGTCATAATATTAATCGCGGGGTAGAGGCGACTATCCTGATGTCGCAAATCTTGCGATGCCTAAATAGCAAAAACTGGTGCTTTCATAAAATTCTGAGTCGAATGACTCGTGATGCAGATACATGGAGCAAGCTTACTAATTCAAAATCCGATTTTATTCGGTCCATTGCAATTGTAGCAGCGGAAGAGCGGACACTGTTTCTTCACCAATTTCACGAGCTACGTCTGGTCATATTTGCTTCTCAGACCTATCAGGTGAACGCTACGTCAAAGAATCACTTGCACCATCCACGGCTTCTGATTCCCGTTGGATATTCCTGTCGCCCAGAACCTGGCAGAATTGTGGCAGAACATCATGAGTTCAGGTGGCAAATCCCGTGTGTTTCTATGGCGTTATGGATAGATGACCACATCTTCGTTTGCATCACGATCCCTGCAGGGCCATATTGATATCTCATCCTCTATTTCTGGAAGTACTATTAGTGAGTAATAATCCTTCGTCAAGGTGCTGCAGTTCTGCAAAGCTGAATGCTCTCCTAAAACTTCCTTCCCGTCTACATTTCAGTCCGATTCATCGCATCTTTCGCATTACGAATATCTTCAAGTTGAGCAGACCCAGCATCCAAAGCCTGAGCGAGATTGTCACCGGAGACTGCTTCAAGTGGAGGCAAAGTCGGTCTTGAGCTGCTTGGAAACCTCTGTATTAACTTGTGTGTTTGAAAGAATTCGGTTGTGTGCATGTGAGCGACTTAGTAGCCACTGGCAAGCTCAAGAGTCTCAAGTGCCTCGATTAACGCTATCTCGGAAAGGTTGCATACTGTAATAGTACATCCTCCCATGGTTCTGCAACATTCTGCCCGGGAGGTTCTGTCATCTGCCTAGCAGTGCCAGTTCTGCCCTGCCACGAGGAAAAAAATAGCAGAGTTCTGCCACAATAATACCTCCAATCGGATTGCGCCTCCATAGCACACTCGGCATTACATCAGATGACGACTGTTCAAACTTGTGTGTGAACCTCGCGTCCATTACTACTGGTAAGCAGTCTGATTGACTTATCCATTCGGAGCCACATTGCCGAGAAGCGTCCAATTGAATTGCCAACAACTGCCGCAGTTCATATGTTGGCTTTGAGTTCGGATCAGGTGCCCGACTTTGATTCGTGTCCGACGAAGGACTCGGAAATAACAGGATTCATCAGGCATTCTCCGCGGTGCTGGTTGAGTTGTGGGTATGCAGATTGAGGGGGCGACATCTTTAACGTGCCGCCGCTATGCCCGTGTCGTCCAGCTTCCTTGAGTTGTACACCAGTTTCATATTCATAACCGGACCTCTCGCATTATTTGCGCGCGCAACTGCATGCAAATTCGTAGAAGCATTGTAGTACGTGCTCTCGAGAAGCTCAGCAAGATTCTGCGACCAGATCGCGGGATGTTGACGGCACATACAATTGTGGTTTCTTGACAATCAGACGTAATGCAGGCACGCAGTGCGAACCCAGCCGTGACGCGACGGCCATCTCTACAGGTGTTTTGTACCCTGAGCAATCTGAAGGAGAAAGAGGGGAAAGATGACATACCCAACTTCTTTGAAGTAGAGTGCGGGCTTCAAATCAAGTATCCTGAGTTCATGAAGCCTGGAGGTGGACGAGGACAATATACTGAGGTCACCTGCCTGAGGAGAAATGAAATACATCATTTGCCGAGTCGGTCATGGCATCGGGGAAACATAATTTACTACATAGTGCTCTGTAGCACTCTGTAGCACAATCCACCCCACTGATGCTGATAGGTTTCTCGCTGTCCTGAATCATAATTTGCGTTGGTGCTAGGAATTGCAGAGTAGTTGAGCCACTCACGTTGACGATCTTGATGCAGGTTCCAGCGTCGACAATATTCCCACCTACGACCCGAAGTTCAGAGAAAGCAAGTCTGTAAGGCGTTGAATGAGCCGCAGAAGTTTGAGTTCTTGATTCATGTCACACTCGATGCTCCTGTCGTCGGGGACCTCGATATTAGGCGGTAGCACATGCTGGCCCTTGACTTGCTAGACACCCAGCTTCTCAATGAAGCCTCTCCCGTGACGGCAGGGGTAGTGTCTATCCTTCATGTTCTCGTGAATACTCGAAGTCGTGAATACTAGTGACCCAAAAAAGACATACAGTGATGCAAGTATGAAGTACAACAAATGATACACCAAAAATAGCCCATCAAAATCTCAAAGCAATGTCACCCTCACCCAACATCGAAACGTCATTGTGACTTGATTACTTGCAGCTCTCGTCATCAAGAATCCAGTGCCCGTATGTGCCATAGTCCTGAAAGAAATCAACAAATTGTGCCGAAATTGATGTAATTAAGCGACAAACCTTCTGGAAGCAGAATTCTGCCCCCATGAAATGCATCCCGAGGAAGCTTGCAGGAGTGGTAGCACAGAACTCCTTCCAATCAGCTCCCGACGGGAGGTTCTCGAGGTAGTGTTCAATACGCTGCATAGTGTCAACTTCGCTCACTAGATTATGCACGAGAAACTCACTCGCTGACCGGATCCAGGAGAAATACAGCCCTGTGACAATGAATTAGTTGCAAATATGCCGACAAGAAGGATCGACAGACAAAATCTTTGTACCAGAGCCAGTATGATGCACAATCCGGCTCATGCTGGTCGACTTCCCAATGACCTATTACATTGTTTGGACCCTGGACACGGAATATCAGCTACTTGTACTACCAAAAAATACAGGAACACCCACATGATCATCGCACCACTTAGGCATGTATTCAAGTCCATGGATCTTTACCGGTGTGGCCATGCAAGCCTCCACACGGCGGTTGTAGTATGATGGAACATTCACCAGTCGGGCAGTGTACTCTCGAGTGGCGTATGTCGTGCACGTGTGAGAAGCCAAGTCGGTCCAAAACATATTCAATTTCAATCGTTCTTCTTCTTCGCGCTTCCGTCTCTCCTCCACTTTACGCTCGTGCTCTTCCACTTCCCTGCTCCATTTTTCGCGGAGAAGAATTCTGTCTCGCTCCTCACGCCTCTGTCTCTCCTCCAAGTCACGTTGGTGCTCTTCCACTTCCCTGCTCCATTTTTCACGGAGAAGAATTTTGTCTTGCTCCTCACGCCTCTGTCTCTCCTCTACGTCACGTTGGTGCTCTTCTACTTCCGTTAGCCATTGCTCGCGGAGATGAATCCTATCATTATCTTCCAGAAGCCAGCGTTTTTTGGTGTCAATGCGCTCGAGAACTTCCTTCTGGTGCTGGCGGAGTTCGATGTCCCAGTCCTTGCGGATGCGATCACGAACATCCGGATCTAAGGGGTCCTCGGAAAGGCTAACGAAGATAGTGAAAGAGGTGAAAACAATTAAGAGAACGAGCGGTGCATAGACATAGAAAGATAGATAGCGACGATAAGGCTTGCGAGGCCCTATCAGAGGATCTGCTTCTGATGAGCTGCAAGGCTTATCATCACCCATCAAGTATCAGACTATTAGCAAGGCTTACACACCTACATCTAGGAGAGTAAGGTGGGGGACTGCGCGTTCTCGTTAGTATCAATGACAAGAGTATTCGAGACAGTACTTCACCTGTTGTTCGGCCTCATATTGAGGAATACTTAACAAATAGTTGTTGACTAACAATACCACAATACACAAAACACTGTTGAATGTTCAATTTTCTCTTTCGATGATTTAATGTTTACAGACCTCTCAGGATCTAGATAGGTGTGGAGTGGTTGAAAGTTGAACCGAGGGAAGGTGAGAACCTCGGATTCGGTCGGAGTCGCGGAGTTGGTATCTAGACTTCGTGCCACCCTGAGGACTCGTAGGTACCTTCAAAAGTCTTGGATGGCAACAAACCTGCAAGGCCTGAGATGCCTGCTAGACCTTTGTTTGTGTCCAGCATGTGTACGACTCAAAATAAATCCATCCTCTTCCTTGCCTCGTTGTGAGTTGCTCTCGCCATCGAAACCCCAGTGACCATATATGCCCCTGTGGAAAATAATCAACAAATCGCGCCAAATTGGTGTAACAATTCTGACTGAGCAGCGAACCACTTCGAAGCAGACTTGACTGTGCACCATGAAGTGTATTCCACGAGTCCTTGCCGGAGTGGTAGTTCGGAACCCCTTCTGATCGCCTTCCGACGGAAGGTTCTCAAAGCTTTTTTCAATACGATGCGTACCGTTAACTCCACTCGCTATACCGTGTCCAAAATTTCATTAGCCGGGAGAAATATGGCCCTGCGACAATCAGAAAGTTACGAACAGGCCAGAAGTTGATGGTTTGACAAACGAGAACTTGATGCCAATTCCAATACAACTGGTAGAATCCGGCTGCTGCTGCTGCTCGATTGATTTTCCAATAAACTATTACATATCAAGAAACACAGGGATATCAACATGATCTTTACACCACTTGGGTGTATATTCAATCCCGTGGATCTTTAACAGTATGACCATGCAACCCCTGCAAATGCTAGTCATAACTTGACGGAACAATTTTCTATTAATTGGGTATATGGAGCTTTGGGTCAGTCCAAAACATATTCAATATCAAGTGTTCATATCCTTCGCACTTCTATCTTTCTTCCGCTCCCGGACTAAGCGGCAAGGATGATGATCGCAATTCAAGTTGAATCAGTTATGATATAACTCTTGAAATATTGATGGAGATTAGAAGGCTTGCCAAGCCTCACTCACGTAGTACGATAATAAGGCGCGAGACCATTACTGCGCACCATTACTAGGCCATCAGCGACAATACCACCAGTAGCTTGTCGTATCGCCATGAACCTCTCCTAATCGGACAACCTAGTCAGGACGCTGAGAAACACGAAGGACTTCCTTGGTAAGTTATGAGGAATAATGACAAACATCTATCAGACTCACAGGAAATATTGCGGACGGCAGCACGCACGCTGGCAGTGCGCGAGTCTGTCTAACCTGGACGTACTTAGCCTAAGAATAGTAGATTCAGTTAGAGTTGCGGCATTGGTGTCTAATGCCGCTGTTCTGAACTTGCTGTAACATACAGCATGTTTCCTTGAGCATGCTGTGTGACAGTCAGATTCTAGATCTGAGGTTCTACACGAAATGCGCACCGCATCTGCTGAGTAACAAATTGACCAAAGTCAAGACCATATGCCCATCAAGCTGATTGCCAATCATGCACAATTTTGATGGTTAGCTTCAGTAGTATTCGCAAACAAATGTCAGCCTTGTGGTGCAGTTCAGGAATGAATACTGATACTTGGAATTACTGCACAAACCTACATACATCCCTGTCAACGATTATCTTTGTGTACAAAAGACATGACAAGCGAACCCTAAGTTATTGCCGGAAATCATCGAAAAACGCGTGAAAAAGCAAAGACCTCACAAACATACATCACGCTTCCGCTCATCACTCCCACCGTCCCATGATCTCCCCAAAATCTAAGCCCACCAACGAGTTTCTGTCACCAGCACCAAGCGTCGGCACTATCCGCGGACTATGCCCGACTTCTCCTAGCCCCAAACTTGACATGAGGCGCGGACTACCGACTTCTACAGTTGGGATGATTCGCGGGCTTGCGCTGAGACGCACGCTTGTCCTGCTACTGGATCTTGAGCGCGCAAAATCTCTGCTGGATTGTGAGAGATCCCGTGTATGTGTGAGAGACCCAGAGTGTGACAAGTCCCGTATGATGCCCCGAGACGACTGTGAAGATGAGGATGAGGCACGTCGGTGCCGCATGCGTTGTGTGGGATCAACATTTGGGACGTTGGCAATGAGTGCAAAAAGAGAAAGAACTACATGATTGGGCATCAGAGATGAGCAAGATATCCGATGGACGAAATACGCAACTGTCGACGACACTAACAATTCCGCACAATCCGCCGCCCATGGGCGAGCCTGGAGATGAGCTGGGCTCGAAATCAGGGTCAATTACGAAGAGTCGGTGCGAATTAGCTGATCAAGTCGTCAGTCAATCCCATTTTGTGAGTTGAAAAAGTGACACACTCGCAAGCAATTTCTGAATCGCATATAAGAGTGTGCTGGTGGGGAGGGCGACATACACTGTGTGGTATGTATCAGTTATACTAGTAAAACGAGTAGCCACAAAGCACACAAGGAGGCGTTGTTGTGGAATCACAGATAAAGGTGGAGAGACACGAACCAGGATACCGGTCTGCTCCATCCGTGCTTCCATCTGGCTCCTTGATCTGCGCGACGAACTGATGCAAAGGCGCGGAAAGGATGTGGTTGGACTCTGAGGGAACGACGAGCTATATGCATATGGTGGTGATGCATACACATTAAAATCAGATATAGTTCGTGAAAAGAGAAAAAATAGATCAAACTCTGCACTGCGGCGATAGCAAGAGGAAACGCACCTTTCCGATATCAGTAACACTCACTGCTCCAGTCAGCCCACCCCAAGACCCGTATCCAGCTCCGTATCCTCCCCCGCCATCATCGACAACAGCTACACTACTCACACCACAGTCGCTCATCAGGCGCATTGCGTCAAGCACTGTAGATGAGCTGGTAGCAGCTATGATAGACGTGTACATTTGAAGCATCGGGAGAGCAAGTAAGTGCAAAGGCCACGAGAGGAATGTTGCAAATGTGAAAGTGGAAGTAGGGGGCTGGGGTTGAAGCGGAGCTGTGGGGCGGGAAGCTGTTAAGGCTGATACAGGCTTAGGAGACTGAGAGAGTTGGGAAATCTGTACGGAAGGTTGCCTTGAAGCTGGCAGGCGAGGAGAATGTGGGCGCTGTATTGGAGAATGAATGTGTGCGGTAGTGTCTGATTGTGTGGCAAAATTGGCGAAGTACTCCAGTAGAGCACGGTCGGAGACTGCACCGAGGTAGGTAGTCCCTGTTCTTGTCGTCTCCGAAGCAGCATTACGCTCCGCAGGAGCTGTGGGTGGGGTGGCTTCGACAAGCACTACATAATGCAACGCGCGGAGATAGGTGTTAGTAGAAGAAATAAATAGGCTGACAGGAACACTCACCCCTATGCGTTCCCTTCGCAAACACTCCGAGCAGTGAAATAAGATTGGCGTTATTCGGAAGGGTCTCCAGGTAATTCTTTTCTGAGAGGTCTGCGAATGAAAGTGCGTCAATATGGGTGTAGAGGAGGAAGAAGTAAGAGATACGAAGTCTCAAAATACATGGCGTAGGACAAAATAAACATGCCATAAAGCACGCCATCGATGTAATGAGTGATGTTCAACACATACTGCTAACAAGATGCACAGGTACACATCCTTCTCGCGCAGCACTCATAATCTGATCGGCGCGGGAGTTAGCGCGAAGCTCTGCGGGTGGGATCGTGTGCCGCGTCGCGGCAAGCGTGAGGAAGGCGTTCACGTCTGAAAACTAGATGCACACCGTCCAAGTTGTGATAATCCGGACAGAATGGAGGGCATGCAGGTCAGCTTGGACGAGCACGAAACCAAAGAAGAACGCACGTCAAAGAGCCCAAGATAAGGTGCATCTGTCTGAGTCGAATCTGGTAATGTGCGGACAGCAAGACACGAAATCTCTTCTTGCAGAAGTAGCTAGATAATAAGAGTCAGCGCAGGTGGACTTATCAAGCCCAACATTGAACTCACACCGCATGCGTCCTCGACGGACATGTCTGCGTCTACTTCAACTATGCGCACATCGATCAAGTCTGCACGAGTGTTTGTTAGCATGTAAGGTCCGGGATAGAATCCAGTGCAGATACGGAACGAGTTGTTATAGATCTAAACGCACCTTTAGCCAATACACGTTCCCAGTGCGCAACCCACTTGTCTGCCTCTGCGGCAGGGACATCTGCGGCCACAACTGTTGGACTCTGTCCACGGGTGGTCCTTGAGGTGGATGCTGCCCGCTTTGCCATGGCATATACTTATTTTGTTTGGTTCTGAGAGAAGACGAGTCTCAAAATACGCGTTGTATGTTCAGGTGACAGTCAAGTGGATGGAGTCGGGCGCTAGGCACGATGACGGTGTGATAAGAAGGTGGTGCATACCTGCGTGCCGCTCCTCTTATTACGTGGTACCGCCCGGCCTTTCCCTCTTTAAACTCCGAGTCTCATACCACAATCATGGTGGCCAGTCACAATCTCATGCCAATGAATTCAATAGCGGAAATTAATGTCACTAGAGGCGAAGGGCGAACACGTCACAATCGGTTGGTCTCACTGGCACTAAGACCTCAGATTTCAGGTTTCAAACACCCCTGATTTTTAAAAAAAGGGTAACAGGTCTAAGGAACGCGAATCAAGTCGTCCAGATTCGTGATTGGCATTGCTAGGAGTGACGTCAGTGGATTCGTGTACTAATGAGCGATCTCTGCTCCAGGATGAGGGCTCATTGTCGGGTGAGTCTCTGCAGCTTCGTGCAATGATTTCCAATGGACTAAATATGCCCGTAAACAGTGAACCCTGCTCTCTCAAATAATCTTAATTAAAGCATGTTGCAGAGCACTAGACTCTTGGGAACGGCTCACAGTTTTCTTCATAGTAGAGGAATCACATCCAGACACTCGTATCGAATCCGGTGACCAATGCCAGTGAGAATCCCTTCTTGTTACAAAAGATATGATCCAAATGACAGTTATCGCCAAGCTTCGGATTGGATACCAGTGCGGTGGTCTTTGCGTTGGTAGGGATGCTCTTGAGCAAGACTGTTGTTTTGCTGTTGGAAGTATCTATTAGGAATACGGCATTGCAACACCTGAAACATCATCCGCATCTTTTTGACGCGGTCGTGACGCGCCAATGCGAGTGTTCCCATGTCCTACATTCGACTCCTAGATCAAGTCGCCCGATTCATGAGATCAGTTCTTTTCCTCCCTCTCTGAACCCTCCGAGTCTGTAGAGCATGTCGACATTTAACGGGCACACATTCTTCGGCGGGCAGAGAAGGAACTACAACTTCAGATAACTCATCTACGGACTCCGAAGATGTACCATCAGAGTTATCGCTGAGCAGCGGTGGATCTGGATGATTTTGATTCTCTCGGTGGGAAGAAGTTGAATATACGCTCGATTAATTTCTAAATGATGGTCAAAACAAGTGCACTCCGTATCTCAAAACACTCACCAAATATAGTATTGATACGGGTTTCCAAAAACGCGTCAAGGGTTTTCCTCTAGGGCAGGAGACAAATAGAAGAACGTTTAGTAAACGATTTTATTGCTGCCAGGCCCATGGACAACTAGAGTGTACGACGTCTTGAATTCTTCTTTGTAACCTCGAGGATGGGATTGAGGGGTATGGTCCATTCGTTCTGGACAAGAACGACAAAAGCAACCCTGTGAGCCTAGTCAGTCGTCGTCATTTTAAGCTGTCTGAGGTCAACATCAAGTATACATTTGAACGTAGCTGTTACAGATAAAAATTACTTGGCTCCTTTCTTTACACGGCTACAATTTCGCCCTCGCTAAGGGAATTTCATCCATGATAGCATGCGGAAGCTCGTATTGAATCCAGTGACCAATTCCAGTAAGAACTTTGATATTTAATCCCTCCATGCCACGAGGAATGTGATCCAATATATTGTTGAATTTTGGGTCTGATACCAGTAAGGTGATCTTAACATTAGGTGGAATGTCCTTGATCAGCCCACTGAAGGACCACGGTGTGTTTTGCTGTTCGAAAGAACTATCAGCAATGCTTGCCATTGCGAGAACTGAAATATTACCAGAAACATCTCGACACCAGCGCGATCGTACATGGTCATCCCCAGCACTCTTAATTCGCTGTCACGTCGTGACCAAGCAGGATTTTCAGCCATATGCTCTTCAGGAGTTCTGATTCTCGCCATCTCGTTTAAAAGTAATTGTGTGTTTATTTTTATTTTCTCCTCTGTCATCTCGAGGGCAGGATCGAGGAGTATGACTTTGGTGTTATGCGTCTTGGGCAAAAATGGCAAGAGCGCTAAGGTCACTGGGCCTCCAAATGAGTGACCAATGATTACGTCGTAGAATTGGTCCATGGCGAGATACGGTCGGAGGTCCTCTGCAATGTTGGATACACGATAGTCGGTGCTCTGTCTCCATGCATGCCCGAGGAGATTCGGAGCAACGACGAAGAACCCTGTTCAATTTATTAAAAATGGTTCAACTTTATAAGATAAGAAACCTGACCATCTGCTACTAATAGCTGAGCGATGCCCTCCCATGATTGTGAGGACATGGTCATGCCATGAATGAGAAGAGCCCGCCTAGAAGCGGTAGGCGAACCCCACTGAGACGCTGAGATGGACATGTGCACACTAAGATGGCTTGAATTTGTTCAGGACTTGGCAGTAGAGAGGATTGGTACTCGTTCTGCATTTAAAAGCCAACAGAACGGTGAAGGGAAAATGCATTACCATACAGTGAGAATAAACTGATGAGGTTGACGTGTCTGCCTGAATACGAGAGTAGCACATCAGGACATACTGTTGAATCGGTGAATTTGCATATGCGGCAGATCCGGCCCATCCATAAGTCCTAGTTAGCTATTTGGGGCAGAGAGAACTTATCTTGCGGGTGCGACTAGGTGAGAGAATGACATCCTACTTTGGAATCGCTGCGAAATTACGTTACTCAAGCAACCAAGTCTGAGAAGAATATCAATAGCGACTGTATCAATTAAATATAGACTGAGACTACACCACAGAACATATATCTTCTGAAGTGCTCGGCTCAAAGTTTCGCTCTTCATAGCGGAATTTCATTCATGATAGTATCCAGAGCCTCGTATTGAATCCAGTGACCAATGCCGATTAAAACTTTGGCATGCAATCTCGCCACGTCACGCGGGACGTGCTCCAAATGACAACAACCACCGAGCGCCGGATCTGATGCCAGCACAGTGATCTTCACGTTAGGTGGGATGTTTTTCAACAGGCCACTGTAAGACCATGGCCTACTGCCCTATTCACATGAGAGATAAAATTATCAGCAATGCTTGCCATTTCGATGCCAGAACTATTACCTCGAATATCCTTTCGACAACAGTACGATCGCACATGAAAACTCCTAACGCTCTTAACATGCTGTCACCTCGAGACCAAGCAGGGTTCTCGGCCATGTGGTCGTCGGCAGTTCTGATATTCTCAAGCTCCTTCAGAAACTGGGTTTTATACTTGTTGATTATCTCCTTTGTAAGCTCGAGGGCAGGATCGAGGAGTATTACAGTTGTCTCTTTCGTGTTGGATAGGAGTGGCAAGAGCAATAAAGTCAGCGGGCCTCCAAGCGAATGACCTATGATCACATCGTAGGACGTGTCCATGACATACGGCCGAAGATCCTCAGCAAGGGTGAGCATAGAATAGTCGGTGTCTCGTCTCCATGCGTGCCCAAGGAGATTTGGCGCGACAACAAAGAACCCTGGCTAGCCTGTTAAAATAGAGTATCACCACCATAACATTGCGAAACCTGCCTTCTGCTGCTAATAGCTGAGCAAGACCCTCCCATGATTGTGAGGACATGGACATGCCATGAATGAGCAGAGCCCGCTTGGAAGCGGTAGGGGAGCCCCATTGAGACGCCGAAATGGACGACATATATACTCAGATGGCTTGAATGTGTTCGAATGTCTTTCAAGTGGTACAACTGGTGAGACAGGCCTGATTCAAAGAGGTTGGGAACTTGGTCTTCGCTTAAATACTGACGATGTGACTAAAATGAGAGCGGGAAAAGTGTATAAAAAGAGTGATTATGCACATGTCAAAGATGTATCCTGGAAGATAATGAGATTCCGAGAAGCCGAATAGCAATTGATATGCCTACCCTTCTGCAAGGGCGCCGTCAATGCAAAGATTTCGTCGAGGAAAGTCGTGCCCTGGAAGTAGCACTGCCATTTGGAGGCGTTGGTGCTGCAAACTACATCGATGTCTTCTCGCCCAACTGATCGAATAAGGCAGATTTATACTCGCTCGTATTGTGCAGGGGACATTGATCCGGGTAGTCTGACATGCAGCTCCAGATGCAAGACTATCTTGTTGGATGGCTGTCTCCTTAGGGAGAGACGTTCTTCGATTTTCCGAAAGAAATGTGTAATCGCAATGTCTGATAAACTGCTTGGGCGAGAGTTGATTCTAGTAGGACTAGCGTAAGATTGGATGGGGCGATCAACAGTACTAGTGAAGGAACAGGAAACGAACTTTCTCATCAGTCCTCTGATGGCCCTCACTCAGTTGAATGCTCTGGGCATGCTGAGAGTTGAAAGTCTTGAACAATTGGCTATGTGATGAGGGTATTGTTTGCTAAGGCTGGTCTGCATCATGGTCATTAATTACTGAGCGCGTCGGAACGAAATTGGCGGATTATTTCCTATTTCAAATTACAAATTTCTCTCAACGTTCTCCCTCGCAAAAACGTTCATACTAGAATCAACATGCTACTCCCGAGCAAGTTCCCACTACTCTGTCAACAAGCAAAGGCAGGACCACCAGAAATTGGATGCAGCTATGCACGAGCTTTTAGGCCTTGAAACAGTCACGGATGGTATCGCCGTCAACTCGTTGAACAAAAGGCTAGGATTATCCAGTCCAGAATTTCGCACAGCATTCCTGATATTGGCAATTGGGGCTTACATAGTGCTTACAGCTTTTGAGGGTAATACTTGATCAGTGGCCACGCCCAGGCCACCAACCGAAGTTTGGCGGCAAGGTCTTTGCCACTGCGGCCAAATGTGTATCACTGCACACTGCACGGACCTCACTATTACGTGGGTCAAGCTGGGAGCACGTATTGAGCGTTGAAACGTTTAACACCTCAGAGTCTCAGACGCTAGTGTGGCCTGGAATTTTGATTGTGGTGGCAGGTCCATGTCGTATCTGCACCTTGACGCTTACACTGTACAGCAGGTGCTGTCACTAGCACTGTGACTGACTATGTATAGAGACTGCCACCAATCAATCAATAAAGTTCCTGCATTCAGCTTGATATCAATCAAAATATGCAATTCGAAGCTTGAAATATACAGCATGGAGGCTCCGAAGCTGACCGTGAGTGTTGAAGCTTGGAGGTATATAAATACACCCGAGACCTGCTACCGCCTTATACAGAACAACTCCCCGAGATCCTCTTGCAAACTGCAATGCACATAGTATCCCCCCATCTTCCAACGGTCCACCAACTAAGTGGACCTGTCTCGACCCATAGATCCAGTGTTCACGAACCCATATCGTCTTTCGATGGACGTCTGACGCTCAGTCCCATGTCTGCCGAACGAGTACAAGTACAGAGATATACAGGCAACGATAATACCATGTATGTCAGTGCTGGACATTGTGGATAATGTCTGACTCACCACTGACACGCAGTCCGAGAAACATCAAGAACTTCAACATCCCACGTATGACGATAGATCCTGTTGGGTAACACATTGCCACTTTGCCACTTTCGTATCTCATGCATGCATTTCGGAGCAGGCGATCAACTCCTCCTGGATGGCATGCCCACATTCATCCTGAAGGCCGTCTCTACTACTGTTATGACAGCGTAGTGACTTTTGATGGGTCTTCAAGAAAGATTCACGTTATCACACAGGCGGATCTCGAACGTGACGGGGTTGCTGAGGCGATCGAGAACCTTGCCAAGCTTGCCTACAGACATGCTTACCAATATCCTTTCTTCCCGGTCAATGTAAACCTCGTGTTGGAACTTATGGACGTCAGCAAAAGCATCACGGGAGGATATTATTTTGTGCACCACGAGAACAAGTGCCTGTTCTGGTTGAATGACTTCGATGCCACCATCATCCTGGGTGAATGCAGTGGGGTCACTGAACTTTCTCATAAGCGTCAGTTCTGTGGACTCGTACCTTGACCGTGTCTGATAAACACTTGCAGAAATCGAGTTAGAGGCTCAGTACTGGTACGCGTTACAGCACTTTGTGAGTATATTCAATGTATGCTTCATTATCAGAATGTATTATACTGATTGCATCAGTCGAGGCATGGTGACTGCTCACACAAGTAGGAAACACATCGACCTGTTTCCGCACGCAGGTGCTCTCCACTCTCAGGTCCTTCAGCAATTGCAACAAATCATCCGGTTTGCGATAAGCGGTAAGCTCTTTACCATCGGGACATCGTACGAGAGCTTGATTCCGCATTTCAGATTGCATGACTTCGGAAGTGTCGGCTGTCTGCGCTTTCAGCATGGATGTACTGAAGAACACTCTGGGCCTCATCAAAGATGTAGACGGTAGGTTACACCAACTCCAGATATCCTCAAACTCATCGCATATCAAGTAGAGAACGATCGAATTCAGTCGGCACACGACAAATGTTTCGTCGGTAAGTAGTCGTATTTTACGCGCAGTGAATCGACATTCATGATATCGTAACCATTAGCAAGGATGATGAACCATTTTAGTACGTGAACTAATTCTGGCTCAAGATGTTTTCCAATCTCCTGCATCAGGGCACTGTCAATACCTTAACCATCACGGGCAGCGATGCGCACGGCTTTCCCGAGATCAGACTGTATACGACGACTCCTACGAGGAGCGGTCGGTGATGATGAAATGCCTTACACCCTTGCTCTTCAATGCCCCTTATGAGCATGTTCGCTCTCTTCACAAACTTTACGTCGACTCTATAATTAATCAGCTGGACTGGCGCACCTTCGTTCAGAAGCTGAATGCCGAGATACATGACTTCAATCTGCTCGTAAGCTCATCTCCCTCTAGTTTTGCAATACGCGGATCATGCTAACATGTCGGTGGTTAGGCGACAGTGCTCTTGAGTGTCAATGTTGGTTTTTTGGCGATTCAGAGCGTAGATCGTGGTGGGGGACGTTCTTTGTCGCAGGTCGCGAGCTACATTTCTGTGATCTCAAGTTTTGGGAGCATGCTACTTGGTGTAAATATCGCGAGACAAAACTATGCTCAAGGTTCAGACATGGTGGACAACGTGGTATGTCTTGTTACAATTAGTTTATTGATCATCTCCAATGAACATATCCGATTAGCATGCACGCCTAGAGAGCTTAGTGCACCCCAAGCACGGCCTCGAGACGCTTGCAATCATATACAGCCTACCGTATGCTTTACTCATGTGGGGGTACGTTCGACCACAGCCTTCCCAATCAATTTCAAGTTATTCACTACACCTGTTAGGATGTTATTTTTCGTGCTTGCATTCTTAACTGAATGTATTCATGACTCGAGTGTAGTACCTTTGGTCCCTGTAAGTGTGACGGCGATTATTGTGCTGGTGCTTGTTGGGTGGTCTTGTCACAGGTTGAGAGACCCAGATATCGGGGCAGAGTGTCTGTTTGGAAGTGTGTTTACGATAGGAAAGTGGGTCAAGGATCGACCTAGATGGATTCTAGCAGCCGTGGTGCGCTCACGTGCTTCGGTAAGCGAAAAGAATCAGCTGGAAGTTGCTTTGAGTTAAGGTGGGAAACTTTAAAAACTCCACATGCACTGTGTACCGTCGACGAACTCGAATTTCTGAATGCAATGATATCTCCTGAATTTCGGATTTTGTTTTGGGTGTTATGTGTCCACCTAGCTGGGATTTATCTATTTACCAAGGGATTCCTCCTTAACCGACTCGCACTCCCCGACAGAAGTGTGGACGCTTGCACTTCACTCGCTACCCACAAAAGAGCTGTCTTACTCGTCATAGACGCCCTACGCTTTGATTTCATTGCAGAACACCCGCCAGAACCTGTTTCACCTTTCCATCATAACATTATAACTCTGCCACGCGAATTGACCGCCGCTCATCCCGACAGATCATTCATATTCAACACGTACTCTGACCCACCGACTACAACTCTTCAGCGACTCAAAGGCATTACCACGGGATCTCTACCCACCTTTGTAGATGCAGGAGAAAACTTTGGAGGCTCTTCCATCCATGAGGATTCTATCGTGCATCAGCTAAACGCTGCGGGCAGAAAGGTATGTACTGACTTCTTCTTACCCTCCATTTCTCTGATACAATCCAAAGGAAAGATCGCTTTCGCCGGCGATGACACCTGGCTCACCCTTTTCCCAGATTCTTTTCAGCCAAACATGACCTTTGCCTTTGACTCCTTCAACGTCGAAGACCTTCACACCGTAGACCAGGGCGTCATCGATAATCTTTTACCCTTGATGCGACACCATCACAACTCATGGCATCTTGCCATTGGTCATGGATTAGGCGTCGACCATGCAGGTCACAGAGTTGGTCCAGATCATCCAATCCTCAGAGAAAAACTCGAGCAAATGGACACTCTTTTGCGCGATGTCGTTGCAGCCATGGACGACGATACCCTCCTCATAATGCTCGGGGATCATGGAATGGATAAGATGGGCAATCACGGCGGTGACAGCGTCCTAGAGACAATGTCAGCTCTCTGGATCTACAGCAAGGTCCCTCTTTCCCTTTCCGAATACACAATCCCAGAGGTCATTCTACCAGTGATTACATTTCCAGGCAGTCTGGTCCCCCATCGCCATGTCCAGCAGATAGACTTGGTGCCAACTATCTCCTTGCTCCTCGGTCTTCCCATCCCATTCAATAACCTCGGAACCGTCATTCCAGAACTTTTCAATCGGGATCCCGACGGTTCATCTTTGCATAAAGCCATGGAATTCAACACAGCTCAGATCAGACGATATCTCGACGCTTATCGATCTAGCTCATCTGGTAAGGAGCTTGATGCTGCCTGGGATGATTTCTCCCTCGCCTGGGATGGCATAAATGCGATGGACGGGGATCGCCATCTCATTGCGCTTGATAACTTCACTCGTTTGGCGTTATCTGCTTGTCGGGTTCTCTGGGCTCAGTTCAACATTTTCCTGATGGGCGCTGGATTAGCCGTCATTGGTTTAAGCATCGTCGCCAGCTGGGCGTTGTACTCCACAGTCCGAGATATTGCGGACGTCGAGTGGGAAAAGTGGGTGGACGACAAAGTTCGGTGGTCGTTCAGCACCTCTGCCGTAGGATCTGCCCTAGGATACCTGACCCATGTTGTGTTGCATGAGTATTTCGACGGTGTTGCCATGCATCAGACCATGCTCTTCGCTGCTGCCACCCTATCGTCATTCGTCATGATAGCTACCACCCGACCCACGATCACCTTGAAATCCATCAAATCACTCCCCATTTTCCTCATTCTGCACACCTTATGTTTTGCATCAAATTCATTCACAGTATGGGAAGACCACATCGTGCTCTTTTTCCTCATCTCGTCCATCGTGCCCTCCGTCATCACAGGCTTCACAGCTCCCACCTCTCGGCTGCGCTACCGCATACTAGGCTTTTCCGCTCTCTTCGCTATATGTGCGCGCCTCATGGCTATGAGCACCGTCTGCAGGGAGGAACAACACCCATACTGCACTGTTACCTTTTACGCGTCCGAGTCCTCATCAGCCCCACCACTCACAGCACTCCTCCTCGCTATTCCTGTTGCTGCCGCAGTCCCCCACATCATCCGGCGCGTACTCAAAATCTCAAAATCAGACTCTGGTCTCGCTGCAACGTTCATCCCCCTGATTTTCGCGCCGTCCTTGATTGCTGGCACGATGTTCTGGATGCTCGAATGGGTAGACTCTGCACAGATCTTGGGCCATATGGGTGATATTTTGCGGGTGACCAGGACAGTGTTGGCGAGGTCTACCGCTGCTGCTGTGTTGGTTGGGGGTTTGTCCGTCTGGTGGACATCACCTGTTTGCCTTGCGATCTCAAAAAACCAAGCGAGTGATGCATCTACACAGGAAAAGACTGAAGTTACTGTGTTAGGCTTTGCCAACGCATTCGGCTCTCCTTATCTCATGTTTTGGCTCATCTTCTTTAGTATCGTGTGGTTGATGACTCAACTTTCAGGACAGATCGTCCTTGGACTCTCATCCATCGCTCTTCTATCATATCTAGAGATCATCGACAGCGTTCGGGACGTCCACGGCCTAGACAAGGCGTTCACATCCCCCGACGCATCCCCCCAACTCGCCAATACTAATCCGAACCACGACCTTTCATTCTCGGAAATTGTGCCCCTAGCGCTCCTAGCGATGCACACGTACCACAGTACAGGCCACCAATCGACAATTCCATCTATCCAATGGAAAAGCGCATTTATCCTCGGAAAGACGCTTTCCTTCCCCTTTTCACACATTTCCGTTACTATCAATACCTTTGGGTCCTTTTTCCTTGCAGCACTGGCGGTGCCGCTAATCGTACTATGGAACCTCCCTCCCCTGCCCCTCTCACCCTTTCACCCCCGCCCAAACGCATTAAGAGCCGCACTAGCTATATCCTTGTATTTCGCAATGTTGGCATTTGGAGCAGCTGCGTGTGGAGCAGTATTGAGGAGACATTTGATGGTATGGAAAATCTTTGCGCCTAGATATTTGGGTGCTGGTTTGGGGCTTTTGGTTATTGATGTGGGTGTTTTGGTTGGTGTTGGCGTTGGCGTTGGGAGGGTTGCAGGGGAGATTGGGAGGATTTTTGGGAGGGCGAGGAGTTAGCGGAGTTGATGGATTGAATTGTATCAATCGAAGTAAGTAGTTGATGTGATTGCAGTGCACAGCTTTTTACCACAGCAAGAACTCGATGCTTTGGGCAGATCAGAACGTTTCGGTTGCAAAGATGGCAACGTATCTGTTGAACGGGTTGCAACAAATGTTGGCTGCTAAGAGCACTGCAGACAACATGGATACATGCGTCGATCACGATAGTCTTGTGTATACTATGTGCGTGAGCTTGGACTAGCACATCTCGCAATCCACATCGCGACAATTTCCGACACAGGGACTCAGGGAGAATGCAAACGTAAATGGGATAAATTAGGAAGAGTACAATGTGGTGTTTCCCTACCAACGCTAATACTTGTAAGCTGTAGGTACTGGGTATTGGAGGGTGAATGCTATCATCCCAAAGTGCAGAACATGAAAAGAAAGTGCGGGACAGGAGCTGAGCGGAACCTCAAAATGCGTGGTACAGTGCGTGGAGCAGGTGCAAGGAAGGTTCTTGATGAGCGAGGGCGACAGGCTTTTTTGGCTGATAATTGACCTAGGAATATAAGTGGTAATTTTGCTCAGCGAGAGGTCTAGACTCTAAGCGAGTTGAAGGTCAACAATCTACTTATATCATAATTATGGAGTAGTCTCTTACATCTCAATGACTTCAAGCTGATCCATTCTATTCTAGATAGATAGATATTGAATACATCACACTTTCATGGAAAACAAGAGGAACTCACGGTTTCTATATCTTCTTTGAACAAATAAATCTTGTCTTTATCGAGCCATATATCGACGAATTCGCCCCAACTGAACGTTCTGTTCGACACAACTTCGACATAGGGCAGGAATGTCGTTAATTGTTCCCCCGACTCGCAATTTCCTACTGTAGATGGTTCATTAACCAGCCTTCCTAGACCTTGCTGGTGGCGCCTAATAGCTGATGGGCTGAAGTCCATCAGATGTAACCTGTACTCTGAATAAACCGAGTATTCATCTTTTGTCGCACCGGCTGCAGGGAATGCACACAAGGCTCGACTTCCACTAACGCCAAGTCTGCATGGAAAATGGTGCGAAAAAATACGAACATTTGGAGGACCCCAGGATATCCACGGTATTGTTAGTACCATTCCTTCCGGATCAAAGTACTCATCGAAGAAAATCTTGGTAGAAACAACAAAGTCGAGAGCTGAAGAATGTGAGACAAGGGACAGTACTCGATGCTTGGGGTCTGAGATCCATGTTACTGTGACTGGCTGGGCTTGTATCTTCTGGTGTGAGCTACATGCAATATCGTTCGTCGGAGAAAAGCATTGCAGGTCGAACACTGATGCAGGCAACAAAAAGCATGCTAGCAACTGCAGTGGCTGAGATGCGTCCTCGATTGAATAGAGCTTCAAATCGTCGCTGACAATCAGCATTCTGTCGTTGCCAAGGAAGCAAAAGTCGATTGACCTAGTGGAACTTCCTTCTAGTACAGTTGGACCACTGAGGATGCTCTGAATCGAGTCAACTGTCAAGTCTGTCAGCTGATTTTGATTGATGCTTACATTGGACAAAGTTGAGTATTGCCAGTCCCAAATCTGTAACCACCATATAGACGCGAGTGATGAGCCTGTGTCATCAAACAATGGTATGAAACGAAGGAAAGCGATATGCCTCCCAAAAATCTCGAGTTTCGAAGGTATCTCACGGCGTCTGGGCAGCCAAAAGGTGGACATAAACAATGTCCGTCCAGCAGCTTGGGGATGGACACTATCTCCATCCAGGGTGAGAAGTTCGATATAGGACTCCTCATCAGATGGGTAATTATCAACCTCAATAGCATAGGCTATGGCTAGTAGATTTTGCGCTTGGTCCATGAAAACATCGATGGTGTAGTGGTTGGGAACTGCACAAAGTGAATCCGGAGAGAAATCACGCTCGATAGTTTTTTGTGAAGGATTCGGTAGTGTTGGAAAGATTCTGACAGAATCCATATATGAGTTCCAGAAACAAACATGCCCATTGGTGATATACGTTTGTGTGTAGTACGTCTGAAAAATTTCAGGTATAGAGATTGTTTGGAAAGAATGGAGATCAAATTTGAACCATGCACGAGCGTTTTCCTTTAGGAGCTGTAGGCGCTTCGAAGCGGGGATATGATTGTTGGAGATAGGAAGTAGTTGTTGGCTACCGAGTTCGGTGACGTACTGAAGCTCGGAGGATGACATGTATGTCTGGCGAAGAACCTTGCATAACTGCCAGACGATCATTAGTATCAGAGTCCATTTGAGACAATGGATCGACAGCGATTCGAAATTTGAAAGTAACTCACGGATGTACAACGAAGAACATCTCGCCAAGGAAGGAAGCTCAAAATGTAAATAAGAAGTTCTTCAGAAAGAGAAAGTAACTCTGCGTTGGGCTTCATTTTAAGCTTGTTCAACCATCTGATAAGTTAAGTTCAGTGTCAACATTATCGACACAGATTGCGAGACGAAGAACTAACCCAGACCAGGGTTCAAGTCGTCAATAGCGAACTCGAGTAGTAGCCTGAAAAACATGTCCGTCGCGTCGAGACCACTCTACTTAAATATTCGTATGACCAAGAAACGAAAGGACAAAGACATCGCAGACACAAACCGCAGCGGCTCAATGGTGACTGACTTGATCACAAAGCAGCAATAATGAGTATTGACTACATGTAACAATTAAAGCCACCATGTGACTGATCAAAGTTGTGATTATAAAAGGTAGCGATTAGTCAACCAATCAACTTCAAGCATTTGACTAGCTTAGTGAATTAGCACTCCAGCGACATGGTCAATCCGCTTGAAGTCCCTCCATACTTCCTCCAACCTCTCATCTCTAGCATCACTGCAGGAACTGTTACGTGTGCCCAGGCATTTGGTGCGTGAACTACCACAAAGTCACTTAAACGACCATTTTCTTTCGTTGCCTCCTTGGTCTTCCTCAATCATTCGCTAACACCAAGTGCAGGGTCCGAAATATACGTTGGGTGCTCGAATGGTGAGCTCCTGCGCTATGCCCTCCATCCAGATACAGATCCCACCAAGGTCCGTATCAACGTCTGCAACGTCCTTCTCATTCATTACCCTTCATATTACAATCTCAGGTTGCTCTCCTTTTTTCTTTCATTTCTTAACTAAATCCTGCGACATCGTGCTAACATAGCCCAGCTAGACTCTTACGCTCTACTCTCGCAACAGAGCCACTCTTCTGGCAAGCAGATCGACGAGCTCATCCTCGTACCTTGTATCGCGAGAGCGCTGATATTATGTGGTGCGTTATCCTTATATTTGTGAGTGTGTGATCTAGGGTGTGCAGCTTCAAGATTGTGTTGTGGAAATTTGAGATGCTGCTTTCTTCCGACTTCTGCATATTCAATCGTTAAGCACATACTGATATACTTGTGCAGATCGTCAATTACATATATACACCCTCCCTTCACTTGATCTTATCCCGAACACTAAACCAGTCCGCAATATCGAGGCTCTCGCAGTCGATCATAACCACCTCCAGCGCCCTGCCGCGACCTCACTTACCACTAGAGCCACTTCCACATCAACAAATTTTTCTACTGAACGAGGAAAAAATAATGCCGTCGACCTCTGCGTTATAAAGCGCAGTACTATTGCCATGTATAGCTTGAGCGAGGAGAAGTTGACATATGCCAGGGTTGGTATTCCTTCACAACCCATATTCTTTTACCCGGCTGATGTTCGTTCATTCTTCCTTAGGAAATCCCTTTCCGACCTGGAGCCATCCGTGCTCAGCGTTCAGGACGCCACCTATGCATTGCGACCGCAGATATTTACAGTGTAGTCGATCTTGCAACTGCACAGATGTTTGAGTTGCTTCCGGTAACACAAGTCGAGGTCACGCCGGGGTAAGTGGATTAGGACATTACCTTCCGTCTCCTTACTGACTATCACCGACTCGGCTCAAAGTACGATTAAACCACATATCATTGTCATATCTCCATCCGAATTCCTTTTACTGAGTTGGACGGGCGGGAGCACTCTTGGCCTGTTCGTCACCGGTGAAGGTGATCCCGTGCGTGGAACACTTGAGTGGCCAGCATATCCGGTGTCCGTGTGTAAGTGATATCTCTCTTACAAGGACTTCGTTCGTGTTGCTGGCTCGAATTCGCTGATTCCCTACCACCTTCCCACTTTCTCAGCGGCACACAAGTTACTTTCATTTCATCCATCAGTTCGTGATCTATCTCCCAAGTTCTAAGACTCATTGCCATGCATGAATCTGCCCAGGTCTCGACTTTCCCTACCTAGCAACACTTCTCCCAAATGGCACAATCGAAGTGCACAGTGTTGAAACTCAGACGATTGTCCAAGTCATTCCAGCGCCCGATTTTGGCGAAGGGGGGAGGCCAGGCTTGATCTCGTGCCTTGCTGGTTATGCAGCACCCTCCTCCGAGTGTAGGGACAAGATGAGGAAAGTGAAAGTTGGGTTGGTGCGCAGTGGGAACGTGGCGCCGAAGATGGACGACGATAAGGTCCATGAAGGCCAAAACGAGAAAATGGAAGAAGTGGAGAATGAGAAAGATGCAGATTTGCCAAGCGTGTCTATATGACCGACCTGATTGGTCGCCACCAGCTATTGACTATCAGGGATTTGAGCCAGTACAAGTTGGGTTGGCTCACATCAAACACTAGCTGTGAAAGGAAATTTAGAGCCGGACACTCGACACTATTGGTGACGATGACAGCATTTGCATTTATACCTACAACAGACACTGTCATAGGAAGGATTTACGTTGTCGTCATCACTGGACCATCGGTAGTAAACATCACCTCTGTTGAGATAGGTCTTCAACCTGCATACCTTGACTTGGACTGGGTGCGACATCAAGCACAAGGCTAAACTCGCAGTCGACATTGCCCTCGTCTGGAAACCGGGTGAGGAGTCAGTCTCTTTCTATTCCCTCGATATGTCACCGCAGATGTGTCTCGCAGGCGTTTAATTCGGGCTCTGTTTGGGCCGTAAGCATCCCTAGTACGTATGTGCCTTTCGGTCTTTTCTGCAGAAAGTAACATTCAGCTACAAGCATTAGGAAGGGGATTACAGCGAAACAATCCACCTCATTTTAAACTAGGAGTTAGGGTACGATACTGCCCCCGGACCTCCTCTTTGTCCCTTGCCATTACTGCGAGGCATCACTCAATTAAATCGTGAGGATTATGACCACGTACCGTAAAGCAGCTCAATTTGCACTGGTTAGCTTTAATCCTTGCAGCAGACATTTTCTCTCCTGAGCCCAAGTGACATGTCCGCCTCCTGCGCATTTCTTGTTCGGTGATCTCTGCTAATAATATGCGGTTTGCGTTGGTGACCTCTATGATAAAACCAGATGCAGAGACTTTAATATGAATAGGCCGAACGTTGACATGAGGCATAGTATAAATCAGAGACTATGATATACAGCAGCTTCAAGTTGGAGCTGAATGATCCAGGACGCGCCTGTCACGTGATCGTATGCACAACACCTGTTGATATCTATTTGCTACCGACGCGTTACGGCAAATGTTAATGGCATCGCACCTTCCTTCGCTTAGCATAACTGGTAGTATTGCGCAGCCGAAGGCTATCGTCACATCTGCTATTCCCCGCCATCCTTTGCTGTTATCATATTTTAATTGCTGGTAATGCCTCGTTTTACTGGCGTGCACGATGCCCCGTCGGACTCTCTAGCGGACGCGAGACACGAACCATACACAGATATTTCTCTATCATCGGTAGAGCCAGATATCCTGATTTCTCCACCACGCTCTCCTAGTAGACTTGATTTTTTTTATGAAGAAGGCGGCGCTCTTGGTTGCTCTGAATCAGATGCAGATGCAGAACTACCGATTTCAAGGGTCGAGTGGGCACGCGACCTCTTCCGTAGCGGCCCAGCACTCGCGAAGTTCAGGGAGGAGGAAGACGACGACGACGAGCCTCTTATCTGTCTACCGATACTCCACATGAATGACCACAGCACCAATTCCCAGACAGACTTAGAAGACGAGCCCCAATGCATCCTATTCCCACCTCCACCTCAGACCGTCACCATGGAGCCAATTGCACCAGAACCTGTTCGTCATGCTATGCTTCCACAAGAAAAAAAGGTGCAAATACCAACTCCTGTGTCACGTACCCACACGCAGCGTTTGAACTACCCTCACCGCGGATTCTCACGGAGTGCTTTGTTGCATCAAAAGTCTTTCTGGACAGCGCGCCATGACGAATGGTTAGAATGGCAGGCCAAAGAAGTGAAACGGCGAATAGACCACACTATATGTGCACAGGACCCTGGAAGCGCATATACTGGCATTACGTTCGCGGATAGTCAGGAAGTCTCTGGACTGCCATCGCAAATCCGCGTGCCTCTAGCTGGCTTGGATCGTGACTTTGAAGGGTATGCATCGAGAGACTTTGTTCAGGACTCGAACGCGCCGATCTACCCTCGTTTGGGCGATATCTCTGCGCTTCGTGATCCATACTCCGCCAATGTCGACCGATGCTTCTTCAGGTTTCCGTTGTGGACCATTCACAAAACGCTCTACGTGTTCGACATGTATCAGAGGTCAGCCCATATTTCCGACCAGATAGAGGGTTCTGTGTCCTCAGGAAGCTTGTCTTCGTCGACCAGTTCATCGACATGTGGTGATGAAGATGCAACCCTGGTTGCTGACGATGAACCACCCTTCGAGAAACAAACGTTCGACGACGGGTCTCATCAAGAATGTCTACCACCTAAAACTCCAAAAAGATCTCCTACATGGGAGGCCATCCGCGCCTGGGAGCTGAACTGGTACGCTCGCTGGGAGCTACTCATTGGTCTCGTACAGCGCGACCAAGCCCTCCGGCAGGCAGCGCCGCTTTCGCCGTCGACAACTCTCTCCGGGTTCGTAGATGAAGACCTTTCACCACCAAAAAAACTCCTGGAACCATTCTCCCCGAAAGCCCCCACACCGATTCTCCACTTTGCTGGCGAAGATGGAGAGGGGGATAGCGGAGACGAAGAAGACGACTATGGTACATTGATTTCAAACCCAGTTTACAGCATTGACGAGGCGTTCAAGGAGGGGTATCATCGTGCAGTAGATTTTTTCACCAAAGATCGAGGGTTGAAAAGAGAGCGTCGCCCGCGAACAGTGTCCGAGTAGAAAGTTAAGGATGATAGTCCGCGTCGAAGTGAACGAGGTTGGGAATATTTTTATCTTATGTGCAGCTCCCTAGTTTTGTCGATCCATGCTATATCCCGATACTCTGACGAGTTTCTAGTTTAGTTTAGACACTGAATGGTAAAATCTCATGTGGATACCGGTGGAATACAGTACATCTATTGCCAGTATTAAGTAGTACATCATCATAAGGGTGAGGGCTTGTGTACATATGAGCGGATTTGATACTAAGGTGACGAAGGAAATGTAGTTCCTGGGTCTTCATTTACATACGAACTGATGAGGGGTGTACGTGATTGTCACTAAGCTTGGGGTATTCTGTGGATGACGAGCGGTAGAGTTGGTCAACTCGTACGGGTATATGTCATGCTGCAATGAGCTACATCCTGCTTCCATGTCCCTCCCCCTCTGACTCAGAAGTGTTTGAATGTGAGCGCGAGGAGCGTCCGTGAGGGTTCCAGGACGGGCTATGGTTCATGCGCCATTCGCGTGATCTGCGCTGCCTGCGGCTCTGCACGATTTCTGGTGCTACAGCTCGCAAGGTGTTGAATTCCTCATGCGATAACTTTGATAGTGGCGATGACGCTAATAAAAGCAAGTCTGAAGGCGTGTAGATAAACGCTGTATGACGGGGTCAACATTAAATATTTGCAACTCAAGAGGCAGGAGATTTTATACTCACGACTATCATGAGGCAAGGGAGACAATGAGTGCGCTGGTGAAGAAACCCTTGATGAGCTCGATGAGCTCGGTGAAGCTGCCCGTCTGTGTATGGGGATGTAGAGTCCGGAGGATGATGACATCACTGACGTGGGGAGAGAGGCGGGTTGCTAGAGAAGACTTTGACTGGACGCAGAAGACAATGCTGATGAAGTCCTCTGGCTTAAACAAAGGTCTTATATATACACAGGATCATCCTGCGGATGCATGGGCCCCTCGGCAGTTAATTATTGTATATGACCGATGTCGTGGCGTCATGGTGAAGCAGCAGCGGTGACTCATCAACTTCGACCGCCGCGTCAGCTATTTGTGGCCGTCTGGAAGGTCGTGGAAGGTCGTACAAGTAGCGGGAAAATATGACCTTGGCCATCGCCGAGAGCCTATTCGTCATCGTCGTTCTCAGGCCGCAGCCTGTGTGATTTATAATTATCACCTGACCGGGTCAAATAGCACAACTTCCCGCATTTGTATATCACAAACAACTCTGTTATACACCATGGGCAGCTGTGCGGCAGCTTGGCATAAGGGGACTAGATAAGGGCCGAGCTTCACTGGCAGAGACCTTGTCCCACAAGTACTAATATTTACTGCGGTTTGAAAGAGACCGGTGGGGCTGGGATCTATCAACAAATCCCAGCAGTCACGGTGAAGAGTTTTTCGTATATAAATCTGCTTTTGGAGTTCGAGGGATGTGAAAATGAACTTAACAGTCCCCAGATTCTCTTGGAATAATTGCCCATCATGGGATTGACCTTTGTCAAGAATGTCTTGGGCAATCTCACCATCGGTGATTGGGCCAGCAACCCCAATAATAGGGTTGGCCTCGGTTGCAGCTGCCTGTGCAAACGGTGCCTGGTAAGCTGAGCTGACTTTGATAATGGCTTTTGCATCGCTGGAGACGTTGAGAAAGTTCGACGGTATCTTCGACAAACCACAATGGTTCATTTCGAAGCGCTTCTTCGAACTATTCAGTCACAGAAACCCCTACGTCAGGTGACATGACAGATATCCTCGAGAGAGTTGAACGAATGTTCTCGAAGCTTCTGCCGTATTCGTTTTGTTGCTAGATTAGCTACAAGGAAGAGAATAAATAGCCTTCCACAAATGCGATGACGACCGCCTTGATTTGCGTCTTCGATAGGCACTGGGAAAGCATAACGAAAGCCACACGTTGCCCGATCATCCGCCTATGCACTCAGTTGCTACAAGACCAGCACCAAACAATAGATGCATTTGGGGCCTGGCGAGCTGGGCAATCTGAATGGTTCTGTAAATGGGCAAACTCGACTACTTGCGGAGGGCTCGATTTGAGTGTCTCTTCAGAGTCAGATGCGACCCTCTGGGAGGACTGCGGTGGCTTCAATCATAGAAAGACCTGGTGTTAGGATGGTCAATCAGGAGAGCTCATTGTCGCGCGCATCAATGATCAATATGTCGACTCACGAAGATACGATTGTGGAATGCTGTCCCTCTAGTCTTAATAGGCTGCAACAATTTTGGTATAGGAAATCCTTCAAGCTATGGGGGTCAAGCTTGTGCAGGGGTCAAGTACGGGAACTTGAAGCTTTCTGGCGATCACGAAAAATTTCAATAAAAACGTAGTGGATACAATACAAACAATAACCCTCGGTCTTTACCATGTAAAAGCGGGAGGTCAAACTAGGGACGAAAATGCATACCACATAAATCACTCCCATCCTTTCGTTTCAATCAGTTCGGAGCAAGTATGAACCCTGCTCATCGGGAAGATGAAACTCCACAAAGGAGTTAGAGGAACAAAAAATTGGTAAGAACCAGCCTAAGAGTAGTCTGAATCGAGTTTCACGATCCATGAAAGATACGCGAGCCACGAAGTGAACTCAAGGACAAACCGATGCCACCGTGTATATCCCTCATACGCAAGAAGATTTTGGAGAACTGCGTCTTGGGATCATCTCCAGTCGTATGCGGTGTTTTTCCATGGAACCAGCGTAGCTGCGTTCGCCTGTAGGATAAGCATCGTGGGAGACACCTCGACTACAGTTTGCATGTGCACCACTCGAGAGTAGATCTAAAGTGGCGACACATCTACTAGGAAGAATGTACCGCGACAAAAGCCCGGGGACTAAGCGTCTAGCTCAGATTTCTCTACGTCCCTGAGCGCCAGTCACAATGGCGCATGCGCGATAGGACTGCTACACGATGAATACAGGCTTGCCCGATCCCCGCAACGCTTTCAAAGCCTCTCATTCTCGCCCTCCTCTGCCGTAACAGAATCTTGGGGATGTGAAAATGAAGCTGCTTTTCTGGTACGTCGCGCAGCTGATTATAGCTGGGCTCCGCTAGAGCCAATCGAGGGGGATTAAAATACTCAGACCTTAGCCCGCTCAGAAATGTGGATGCATGAAGCAACCTGTGTGTGATGAGCATTCGTGGCCTTCGAGCTGGTTGAGGAAAATAATAGTTTCGAAGTCCGCCTGGGTGTATACTGATACATTCAAACTCAGCGCTTAAGGCAGCCTGAGAGTTTAAAACTTAAGCCTCGAAGGCACGACGGCAATAAGTACGTATAGTACGGGTTACTCACTGCAGCCATGGGGAAACATTTGATGGGAGGCAGCGTATGCCGATACATGCCGGAATACGCCCCCATCAACTCTTCCCGGACCTGAAGTACGTCGTACATGGTTGCCTTTAGGAGATCTCAGTTGCTGCTTACCTATGATATGCCTCCGCTTCCACTCCAGAGTCCATGGAAACAGAAGCATTGAAATCAAACTTAGCCATCTTTGTGCACATTCATGAGCGTGCCAACACCGTAATTCACATACAGCAACCCCCATTGGCATTGTTTGGCTTTTACCTCCATTACTGTACTATTCACAGCATCAAATATAATTCACATTTAGACTGTCAAGCATGCACCTACGTCCGGATCTTCGAAATCAACCGGGGTGCGTTACCTGGCTGTGCGAAATGATGCAACGCTGACGGGTATCACTGAGTCTTTGCATCTGTCGATCAAAATGACGACAAACCTTATTCCTTTGCATGCTTGTGACGTGTAACCTACACGATTACAGACGAAAGGCGCGCAGCAGCGGGTGATACGAGGACTTTGCATGAGGGAAAGGGTGCATTGATCATACTTTAGCTTACTTTTGGTGAGATTACAAGATCTAGCACAAATGGTATCATTTGCCATACTTGTCCAATTGATTCGCCACCCGCTGATACCAAAGTTACCCCTCCAATGTGACTCTAATCTCAGATGATCCCAGTTGGTGTCCGATAACCAGATTGATATCATGGTTGCAGTTCTTTCTTGGGTTTGTGAAGAATAGATTTCCCTCTCCCTCGATCTATTTCTGACTGGTGGCACAGTTCCTCTACTGGGTTGGTATACGATTGCGGCGAGTACGGTAGAACTTATGCAGGGGGTTATCGATGCTCGTATGGTATTCTCCGGCACTGTCATTCATACAGGAGGTAGGAGAGGAGGGTTTAACCCGTTATCGGAGCAGGCTCTTACCGAATGATTTTACAGTGGGACCTAGTAGTCCAGGTGAGCGGGGTCCCATATCATGATATCAGAAGTAGAACAATAAGGATAACACGTTTGATCCAGGGCCGAGGCAACGCTGGACCTCCAGCGCTTCAGGTTCTCTATATCGGCGCAAGTGGTTTATATCACGGGCGCAGTTGTCGAATTTCACTGATATCTAGGTTCTGTGTATATTTTCCAAGGTTAAGGCGTTGGCACTGTGTTAATAATCCATCTCTCACGATAGGCATCAGCATGCTATGTAAGTCCCTTGTATCTCGTTTATTTATCGATCGGCGGCACGCAGTAAGTTTCCCGGATGTCTTGTTGACAAACCTAGTCAGTGTCCTGTGCCATTGCCTGTCGTTTTTGTCCAACTAACTGTACCATTCCAGAGGTATGCGTGAGATGGTCTTCGCATTTGGTATGCTGGGTGGTGAACCACTTGGTCACAGTACCCCAATCATAGTTATCAAATCTCATGTTTTACTTTGCAGTGTAAGGTCGTAATATGAACCTGATTATCTTTTGTGCTGATCTTCTATATGTCCTGATCTGATTGTGCTACTCTGTCTGCTTGCGACTCGGCTATCTCCAAATCTATAGGTACGCCGATCTGTAACCGAGTCATGTGCATCTAGCCATTCACCATTTCTGCAGGGCTCATGTTCCTTGGCTTTGGAGACTTACTAGGGCATTCTTCAAGTCTCGTTCGCGCGGATATCTGCGCAGGGATCATGCCTCGTCGATGATAATACGCGAAGCGTATAGCTAACTCCGACACAGCGACTGCTATGATTACCGTATTCCAAGAATGAGCACGTCTTAACTGCGAGTGGCGTATAGCTTCGCAGAGGCTGGATTCTGTAGGAACATGATCACTTGGTTTGAATTCCGTTGTGGTCGCTATGACGTATTGGCATAGATTTGAAAGAGCAAAGTCATGCAACTGCTTAACACACTGTACTGCAAATTCTGCTAACTACTAGCGTATGCGTCCTTAGTGGAACGGAAGAAGCAGAATCAACGGTGAGTTTGTGTGAAATCACGGTCAGCGAAGCGTTCGCAACCATTAATCCTGAAACAATAACAATCTTCGAAGGATAAATGAGCTTCCAACTATACATCACGAGCATCGAGGCTTTATCCATCAGCGCGGCACGGAAGCCCGCTCGAAGTTCTAGACGCAAAAGTACGTCGGCCAATACGACGTAAGTACATTCAGGGATGATCAACGAAATGAGAGACATACTAAAAATACCGGGTCACTCGGGAGGTGAAGGCGCCAATGCTGAACTATCATAATGCGGTATAGATTAAATATCACGGCTAGCCGTAGGGTCAGGCGCCTGGATCAACTGTTTTTGCTATTGTGAGGAAACACTCATCTGACTGCTTGTGATGCATCTATGAAATTGAAAATTCAGAATTCAGATATGCCGAGAACAGGGACGTTATCCAGCATCCCCATATAAACGCAGCGCCTCTTTGAAACAGTGAGAGCGGGAAATCACGGCGGAGACAAGATCGGTTCCCCATTTATTTCAAGTGAAGCAGCCGCGCCTGCTAAATTCGAAGGGTGCTGGGTGCTTGTGAATATTCTGAGTGATTGCAGACATCCATTAGTTCGGCTAATAATTCTCTGAGGCTAGATCATCGTCTTAGCAAAAATTAGACGTCTGAGATAGCACTTGGTCACGGAAGGATGTTGAGGACCAATGTATATCGACTAGACCTGAACTGCTCGCACAGATGGAAAAGTCGTTTTGGAGTCCATGTTTTGGCCTGTGGAAGAGGAATCCATGTCCACATAAAGTCTAAGAAGACCGAATGCCGAACTTAGATCATGATAAGTAAATTCATCCACAAATCTTGTACAATGGGATTATCTGATTACGAACTATCGCACGTACAGGGTTGGCTAGTGATCAAAAATCAGAAACATTGAAACTCAAGGCTCCCTTTGTCTGGATGATCTTGGCTAACTATGACACGGGGAAGATCACGATGAAAGCAGCACAAAGGCCGACAGAACATCATGCATAGGAATACAACGTGCGCGTTGTTGTTATCGTGTCTTGTTAGACAAAGTTTGAAGAAGTGATGGGAGTAAGAATGTGGGTAGCACCGAAAGGACAATTCTTGATTCGCCGAGGTAGGTTCGGAGCAATAAATTATTACCCGCGCTATGTGTTCTAGTCTTTGCTGCTATCGAACAACTGTGGGGATGGTATTGGAATGAAAATTGAGTAATACTGCTTACCAGTAGCAGTGGAAGAGAAGGGGGAGCCAAAGCAGAGAAGAAACCTAAGGATATTTTGAGAGAACTCCTTTTGGGATGGCTATAAAGCGTTACAGCGCTGATTAACAAAGACGACAAAGAGGATCAACACGCTGAAGACCCAGAAAGACTTGCATGGTCGTTCTTCTAACGATAAGTGCAATAAACCAGAAATTACAGAGAGATTTACATCACCCACTCGAATGGCGAGGCCTATGAAAGTGTGGGAGGTTGTTGAACGTTTGAGCGGAGTCCAGGATGTTTGGGTCGGAGAAAGAGACAGAATCATGCGTGCGCTGTCAAACTCAACTTTGATTGATAATTATGGCCCACGAATTCGCAGTGATCGCTCTTTTCATTCCAAGGTCTGCTCATCGTAGAGCTCGACATCATGAAGTTTGGACGATGAGCGAAAAGACGCGCGGAATTCCCTTAAAGTCACGTTTTCACGTTTATAACTTTTATTTCAAGTCCCACGTTGTAATTCCTGGCTTAACTCCATCATTTCTACTGAAAAACTGCCCTTTTCCTCGTCATACTCTTCAAGACCCTCGAGATATCATATTTGGGATCAAACCGATATCGCCAGATCAAATAATTTGAAGCACTAGAGTGTAGGAGGTGTGTTCTGAGCGGCGACGATCGGAAAACCAAGCAATTTCGAGCGGAGTGAGCAACAACTTTCTTCCCTTTCCTTCTTTCCGTCCATCTGTCTCCTTCTACTGGAGCCTATAATCTGTCTGCTTCACAAAATACCGGTTCGATCAAACACTCAACATGGTTCTCGTTCTGCAGGTCCGTGACTATTCGCTCATTCATAGAGAACAAATTTCTGTGAGGAGCGCTGGGCAAATTTTTTGTCCCGAATGGCAAGCGATCAAGCCAAGAATGCTGGTGCAGTGACACAGGAACATCACATGCCACCATACCAAGCATACGGTGCCTACTCGCCACCTTTTCCAGTCTATTATGACCCGAACCATCCTGAACCAAACGGCGCGCCACACCCAGCACCCCCGTACATCTATCATTACCCGCCTCCAGGGATGATGTACCCCTTTCCTCCTCCTGGTAGGTCTAGTTTGGTGGCACCGTTCTTTTGTTGTTTTCTCTTACGTTGGAGACTCATAGGATTTCCACCTTACGCGCCTCCTCCCCAAACTAACTTTCAGCGCGTCAAGCGTAAGCAGGTCAAGATGGCGGTTCGTTGACGTACATTTTTTGCGCCCATTCTTCAAATTAATTAATATATTATGTCAGTGTACCAACTGCGCAAATGCCTGCAAGCGTTGCGACGAGCATCGTCCATGTGAACGATGTGTCAAATATGGTATCCCAGAAACGTGCGTTGATGGTGTGCGCAAGGAGAGGCAGAAGGGAATCAAGCGGGGACCCTACAAGCGCAAGAACAAGTCCGGCGGCAGTGATACTGCGACTTCACCTACTCATAATGCCACTTTCGAGAGTGCGTTACGATATCATCAATCTGTATTTGCTTTACTCATAGGCAGAATCGACAGCTTTCTCGTCCACCCCAAATGAAGCAAACGGAGACCCAGCTTGGCACCCGCCGAACGGTGTAGCACAGGGTTCTGCAACTGCAACTCCTGCACCTTCGTCAATGCCACCCTTTCCACCACCGCCACCACCAGAAGGGGGATATTATCCGCCACCATATTTCTATCCTCCACCTCCTGGTTTTGTACCGCCGTCTGAGGGTCAAGCGCCTGTGGAAGGGTCCCCAAATTCTGGCGTGCCTCCTCCGATGATGCCTTACTATATGCCTCCCCCTGGATACTATGGACCGCCGTATTACGGCCCTCCTGGCGTGCCGCCGCCCGCCATGGATCCAGCACAGGTTGAGCTTCAAAGGACATCCGGCCCGCCTGTAGATCATGATCCTGAAGTTGAAGAAATCCCGCCGCCTGCTCCTAAAACAAATTCAAAGAAGAGAACTAGGGCGGGGAAAGAGGGACGACCGAAAGCGAAGAAGACTAAGGTCGCTGCTGTCGTGCAGGAGTCTTCAACTTCAAGCGGAACGACGGGAGGGAGCGACCAGACCTCAGAACCTGGCCACGGCAGCCCAGCTGAGATTGGTGATGCATGAATATCACTGGATCTCTTGCTGCATACAGTTCCCTGCTTTCGCACTGCTATTATCTTTTTTTTGCGAGCTCTGCTTTCTAATTGTTCAGTTTCAAATGCATGTTCGATGTGATTTTGTTTTGCCTCCTACGTACTATTCTGAAAACTTTCAGACACTCCGACGCTCTTTGACCACCAACAAGGTCTCGATGAAGATGATAACGTGTGGAAAGGATGCAGATCGTGTGACGCGATCCTGTTTATGGTCAAAAAGCCGCCGGAGGCAAAGTATTTTTCATTCTCGAACCTCCCCGTATGTTACCCACAGTTATTTTGAGTGTCCCTGAATTTTCTATTCTGTCACCCTTGCCCTTTGGAAATACGGCTTCTGTCCGTTGTACATCTATGACCTGTGTCATCCTATGCTCCCCCGCCTTCTTACTTTTACTTATATATGATATGGTCATTGGGTGGTATTTATTATTGTAGGATACGAAGCAAACATGGTCGTCTGTGATTATTTAAATTGATTTTCAAAAGCTATGGTCAGTCAGTGAAAGAGGGTTTGCAAAACATAAAAATTACTTTGCTCGCTGCGGCAACGTTTTCATGCACATCCAAAAGGTTCATCGCAATGTAACGTGGTCGGCTACAACACACAAGTCGACATTCTTGGACTCGCGTTCCTTAACTCGTCAGTCAATGTAAATAGGTTGTGTGACAAGGCACTCGAATAACAAAGCAAGTGTAAGTGAAGCGGAAAGGCATCATACAAAGAGCAGTGCAAGCAAATTTTTTCCTGAGTAAGGTGACCGGCTATGTCCAGGCGTTTGTTTGGTCCAGAAGGCGTTGCCAAATAATCGCTTAAATTTTGAGTGACTTCAGAACTCGAACACCGGTTGTGTCCGTCCAAGTTTCCTCTTTCACCATCTTCTGTACTTTGTCTTCCCCACGCAACATGTCTGTTTTCCGTGCTCTTCGTCAGGTTACTGCATCTTCATCACGGGCTGTGGCTCGTCCTGTGGCTCGCTCTGGCCACCTGCGCATTGCGACCATGCAGTCTGTTCCACGGGCTTCCATGACTGCTGCGAGAGCTTTCTCGGCATCTACGTGTCGTTTTTCAGAGGGTTCGAGTGAGCTCAGTTGTTTTTTGAGTGATACAGTGCTAATATTGGTACCAATAGCTGACGTCGTCCTTTCACAAAAACTTGCTGAGGAACTCAAGTATGAGAAAGAAGCTGTCGCTGACGCGCCTGAGCCTGAGTTCCTGAAGACATTCAAGGAGCAGGGTATTTGGGAGGTATTTATTACGCAGAGTAGGCAGTGAACTTGCTTCTCAGACATTGCACGCAGATTCAGGATGTCACTGGTAACGACGAGGTCACGCTCGTTCGGAAATTTGGCAATGAGACGTGAGTCAAAAATTATACCGCCTGTCATGTACTCATATATTTTTAGTATTCGTATGATGTTCTCCATTGCCGACATTCAAAACGCTGAGGACGAGCCGGAATACGAACAGGAAGAAGGTGGAGGTGGAGAGGACCAGCCTCTCCACTCCTACCCCATCCGCGCTTCATTCTCTATCACAAAGGTATGACCACACGTGAAAAATTCTTGCACCTGTCCTTATGTTTGAGCGTAGGCAAATGCCAAGGGGTCCATCAACATTGACACTATGTGCCAAGAGGGCGCGTTTATCGTTGACAACATGTCCTACTATCCTGATGCACAGCTCGGCACCGAGCTCACTGCTGAAGCTGACTGGAAACGCCGGGGCTTGTACATCGGCCCTCAGTTCGATACTCTCGATGTTTCTGTCCAGGAGGAGATCGAGAAGTGGTTACAGGAGCGGGGTATCAATGAGGACCTTGCCATGTTCGTTCCTGAATATTCAGAATATAAAGAGCAGAAGGTTAGTGGTTGTTTGCCTTTCATATTGCAAAGGACCTCATTGTTTCTCCTTATAGGAATACGTGAGGTGGTTGGACAACGTCAAGAACTTTGTGGATGCGTAGGCATGTGGTTCTTGCTCACACTGCTTTCATGACCGCCCAAAAGCCATTCCCGCCATCTGCATGACCTTGCACGTATCTTTACACATACAACCATACATTTATTGGCTGTTGTCTCCCCCCTCAGTCTCACTAGCATCTAATGTCATTCAATATTGATCACTCTTCCTTTGAAAGTCGACCAAGTCTCAGCGAGATCAACTATGTTCATTCCTATGTGCCAAGTGGTCTGCCAACTTGTCTGAGTTGGGTTTCTAACAGTTCTTGTGATCGGCAGGTAGGGGCAGTTGATTAATTGATTGTCACATCTTGTCACCGCATAGACCGCCGGGCTGATATCTATCCCTATGAATTGGGTTCGGAGGCTAATTAACCTCCCAGATTGCTTAGGTGGCGATCCAACTTGTGGATGAACCCTGAGCCACCACTGCCGCTTCAAGCCACGACAATGACAAGACATCATAATCAACCACTATGCATGCGCAGGTCCACAGGTTGCTCCTGTAGGTATATATAACACCTCGTTCAAGCCAGGACATGCTCAGCTTATCTTCTGCGTCCTCACCTCCCCAAGTCTTCTCTAGTATCCCTCGCCACTTCAGTGATGTCATCAACCTCCGAACTTTACGTCCCTGTAAACCGACGGAAGCCTACAACGGGTTCACCGAGCTCAGAGGTTTCGTCACCAGCGGAATCATCGTCTTGTGATAATCGTGAGTTATCATACTTTACCCATCGAGTTGCAGATACCTAATGTTTGTCACATCATACAGGGCCTATCTACACGCTTGCAGACATGCTACTATTAGCGTCATCGCCCCTGTCAAAGTTATCGCCTGAGAAATTGAGCGCCTTGCGAGCTACAGCACCAGAAATCGTGCAGACCTCGAAGCAGCGCCGAACACATGAATGGAAGATGAAATTTGGTCCGTACTGGCCTGGGAGACCTCACAGACCCCTTCAATTCCCCCTTAAGTCACAGTTAAAGTCTTCTGGACCTCAAGGGTGGAGGAAGTGACGCGCGACACCCGACCAACTGCATTGTTCGTGTTCCGGAAGAACCATGATGATCACTTACACCCCTCGAGTTTGCACTTTGTAAATAAATAGAAACATCAATCTCACACTGGTAGAAAATATCCACCCAAACGAAATTCTTTCAAATCAGCAGTTGGGTGCTTATCGTGTATTAGAAGTTCTCGTATGCGAGGGCAGTCTTTTATATCATGTTGTACATATGAAAATATTGATCTAAGATAGACAAGATCATTGATTTTTTGCATTTGCATCAGAGATGACCCAGGGATGTGAGTTTTGATGTTTCGTCCTGAAACGAGGCATAGAGGGACCAAGCATAACTCGCACCGTACGATCATCTCCCCGAACACTATAACCTTGCTTCAACTGCTATGCGGAAGCAAAACAGATGGTTGATTCCGGATGACTCAATCCTCAGGGAGCTTCTCATATGAACGAGATTAATAGCAAGAAATGCCTGATAACTAACGAATACTAAAGAAAAGGACATAGCGGCGAGTAGTCCTTGAGTATCAAACCCAAACAGAAAGAAATATTTTAAAAAATAAGTCTACAACTTGATTAACCCCTTCAACCACCTCGCCCACTCACCAACATCTGCAACACGTGTGTAACCAACGCTGACAATTGCTAGGCTTACCGCCAGGAAGAGCCATTTGGTGTTGTACCTCCGTTTGGTTAACTCCTTAGAAGGCCTGTTCAATAAGCCAAGCTCGAAGTGTATATTGCGACTACGTACATGGCCATTTGCCGAAATCCGGGGACGAGGGGGAAGTTTGGTACCAAAGTTTCGGAGAGAAGCTAGTTTCTCGGGCTGGCACTCATCGTGAGGGGAGTACCGAAGGGCATAAATAATCAAAACTTACGCTGTAAGGAGGAAATCTTCCTGCTAGGATATTGTCAATCCTATAGTATGACATAAAGTGAGCAGGCGGACGAAATTGAGAGAAATGGAAATGGACGAACCACCCAGGGGAGTCAAGTGAGGCACGTAGGTGCGTGAACATGTCGAAAGTAAAACCTCGTGCATGATACCCAGCTGAAAACATGTAATTAGTGATAACTCGCTTGAGAGAAGAATGGACCGACATCCGCTGGGGCCAATACCACCAAATGGCAATCCATCAGCTGAAACACTGTCAGTGGGCTATCCTCATTTGGAATATTGTAAAACATACTGCCGCAGTGTAACAACACATCATTGGCGACGGCTGAGCCACTCTGAGTATTGTCAAACACTAGCCAAGGATATCAACAACGATGGCTTGATAGACGAGTGGAAGCAACATGTACCCTTGTTCTTGAAGGCTGTATCCGACGAGAAACAGTACAACGCGAGAGGATGATCACTGACAAAATTCAGTCTGATGCCAACATGTAAATAGACGGTCAACCCACTGAGCATTGATGTATGCAATTGCTGCATCAACATCGTCCACAGCCATAATAGGCAGGATCGGCCCGAACAGCTCACTTTGCAACCAGTTAGACGTGCTTGAAAATGCTCCCACAGACAGATATATACGCACTCGCTCATTAGGGAATCTTCACCTTGAATACCTTTAACCACGGTAGGGGCTATGAATTTTCGTGACTCGTCGGTCTGCCCGCCAAAGATGATGGTGCCGGAAGTGTTGTCGAGCAAATTCTTGAGACGATGGAAGTGCGCGGAACTGATGATATGACTTATATCCTGAGTGTTGGTAGCACCAGAAGGATAGAACTCGTCGTGTCTGCGGACGTGGTAAGATACAGCTTGAGCATGACGGCGTGATAAGGTACGCACGCATCTTTGAGGGCCTTTATGAACGCGTCTTCGGAAGAGCGCGGGACGAGGACGTAATCTGGTGCAACGCAAGTCTGACCCGCATTAGCGCACTTGCCCCACAGGATACGGCGTGCAGCAATTTTGAAGTTACACTTAGGGTCGATAACAACAGGGGACTTCCCTCCGAGCTAGGAAGACATTGGCGCCAGGACATCGCACTGAACGTATGGATTTACCTCGAGACTGATAGGCGAAAGAGTCTTCGCAGCGGCTACGCCTATGATCTTTCCTACTCGCCCGTTCCCGGTGTACAGGACTAGTTATCTCGCATCATAATTTCGACAACCAAAATAGTCGATTGCACATACCATGACCCCATTGGTATTCCATGAGCTGTATTCCATGATATACCATCATGAGTATGCAGTCTATACATCAGAGAAATGTGAAAGCACACCTTGCTGGTCTCCGGAACAGCACCCAACACGACTCGAATAACATCATTGTCCATATACTTTGGAATAAGTTCCGCGATGAGACCACTTGTAGCGGCAGCTAATTCAGACGGTTTGAGAACGACACAGTTGCCAGCGGCAATTGCTCCAATCTTTGAATGGAAAAAATGAACTGGAATTGAGCATGATGAAAGACGGAAAGGAACATACGACGGGTCCAAGAGCAAGCCATACGGGGTAGTTGAATGGGCTAATGGATAGCACAACACCCTTTGGCTCCTTGCGAATAACTGGACGGAAAGCAGCAAATTTGATATTGAAAGGTGCCTTTTCGGTTCGAGCCCACTTTTCCACCCGGTCATAAGCGATCTTACAGTCACTTATAGTCGAGTCAAGCTCAAGGCTGGAGTTCAGGTAAGCGAGTTTCATACGCGGTAACCGAAACAGTGCTTACAATGAAGATTCTAACGAAGGTCTCCCAAGGTCAATGGCCAAGGCCTCTTTGAATCTTTCGAGGTTGTCCTGCAGAAGGTAACCAAGTTGCAGGATCTGAACCTTTCTGAATGCAATAGGTTTAGTCTTGCCTGACCGGAAGGTCTTGTTGAGGGTGGAATAGATCTGGAGCGCGTTCCGTTGAGCTACGGGACGGTCATATGGTATGCAAGCCTCGCACCTCGTCGATTTCTTCCAACGTCGTGAATTTCAATTCGGGCGCCATACTTGACATGGCTGTACACAGGTATTAGTGAACACGCTCTATGGCCACGTTGTGATTAGCATATGCATTGCAACCTGTGGTACAAGTGGATCAAGAACGGACAGAAGTCCATCCACACATGAAGTCCATTTCCACCGGCCCGCCAATCACTGAAGGACTCACAGTCTCTCACACAAATTACAAGAAGTCTACGGCTTTTCTGTGACTCTGATGGAAGGCTATCTGAGGCTATATGGTGGTTGACTGCAGTAAGCGAAAAGACAAATGAAAAGAATCAGCTGGGAGTGCGATGGGAAAGTCACTTCGTGTCCCCGGAACAGTCGGCTACTATGTTGGCAAGGGGCCATCCATGGGAAGCGGTTACTATGTTTATCCCCGGAGATACTACGCGTGGGTTTAAACAAATTGCCTATGCTGTAGAACGCTCCTCAGCTGCTGCGGCAGGCTCTATCCCTACCCGAATCTCGTTAATCCTGGCATGAGAAAGGAGAATCCACCGCCCCTTCAAGTTCCCATTCCCCTTATTCACTGGTCCCGCCGGGTGGATATGACATGCACCTTCAAGTTGCTGTCAGAACAAGCATGTTTTACTCGGGAAGCTTAAGGAGGTGGGTACTATACTATTCACCAGGCGCCTTCAGATTCGCGCCCATTTTCTGACGATGTCATAGAATATTAATATTTACATCCAGTAATAGTCAATGAGTTCTTCGAATGCTTATGTTCTTGCCGACGGACGCTTTCAAGTTTCCCGCCCGACTATCATCGCATCCTCCTGTCTCATCCAGATGTAACTCCCGTACCGCATAATCTGCTGGGCATCCTAAGCAGAACACGCATAAACAATGCACAAACTGTAATGCGGCTACTGTATGAACCCTTATCGTACTAGGTGTTTTGAAAACCTGCGATCATCGATTCATGGCCAGCAGAGCAAGTTGAAGGAACGACCCATCTTCATTAAGTTGGTCTGTCTACTATGCAAGGAGACTAGTCGACATGCCCTCAGTCAGAAGAAGCAAAGTATGTGCACACTTGTTATTATGCTAAGTTATGCGCTGCACTGCCAGCTCGCCACAGACTTTAACTTGAGTTTAGGTCACTATAGCCTCTAGGACCCAATAAGTCCGAAATCCTTTCCTACATATGACGACATATGACAATATCTTCTCACCGAATATGACTACTGGTCTCGCAGTGCCTGGCGCCATGCCAGTCAAACCGCAGCGCAGGGTTGCCCAACTTGATGAACGGTTTCGATCGTAAGAATCACTTTAACCAGTCCGAGTCTTGATGAACATGTTTCTAATACGTCCGGTGCTGTAGTCTCTAGTACTATTGACGACCATCGTGAGTAATTGAACACTGGAGGAGTGATGAATTCGCCTGGAGACATTACGTCCTTGATCATTATCACTGATTTGGGCGGATGGAGGTGTCATTTTTATACACGTATCTGCTGTTCCTTGCGTGCATATGGTCAGTACGTTCACAAGCTACTCGTATAAGCGATCAAAATCACATCTCGGGGATATTTGCAACCATCCGATCACAGTGGCCTCACTGCAGATTTAGGTAAGAATCTGATGGTGAGTTGGCCACTGGTCCAGATGGCGTTTGACCTACCAAGAGAGGGGAAGTATGCATGGAAATACAGTCTCTGAGTCAACTGGACTTGCTGAAGGATGCTTAAAACGTAAATTAGAACAAGTCACTGATTGATCTGATCCAACGAGAATTGAGGAGAGCGATGAGTAGAAAATCATTAGCAAGTGCGTGCTGATGCATTGATGATCCAACAGTTGTCATAGACATGAGATCATCAAACCTGTACTGCGCGCCAAAGGAGAGTGCGAAAATAGTGCGAGAGCCATGCACTGCAATTGTGCGAGAGTTTGGTCCGGATCTACAGACGGAGGTGACACAGTGAGTAGCTAATCGCTGTCGCGTCAGAAGCATTTGGCATGAGACATCTGTCAACATTGAGTAAATCATGAGTAGGAGCCGACATGATGTCGAGCAGGCGCTTGGTGGAATTGAACCCATCGACAATATGATAGTTATATGCCTTCGCAGATCGGTTGGGTAAGAAAACAAAAACCCGCGATCTAAACGCACTTGCATGCCTGAGCACTTGTAAGGTAGATATACAGTATGAATTTCTTCAATACGCTGGAAAGCAGCATCACGACCCTTGATTACGATGATCCCTCTCAACCCCACATAGAAAGGTCACCGTCAAGGGTTATCTGTCCACGGCGATGCGTGTCGAATAATGTGCGCAGGGGTATCCTGACTTAAAAAAAGACAAGGCCCACCTCCTCCTGGTTATGAGGACATGATTCGCCAAAGATTCCCGTGTCTGTCAAGGTAAGGTAGACGCTAAGGGTTGGGCGCAAAGTGCGTGGGCCTACATCGGCAATATGGCGTCACTGGCTCTTGAAGACACTTGACTTGGGAGTTCAGGATCTAGTAATATTGAACATTTAGATTGCGTGAGGTGTTGATGCCAACCCGGTTACCCCGCATACTTGAGACCACTTAAGGCCGCTTCCCTGCATAATCATATACAAAGTACTATAATTAGTTCTTACATACAGCTGAATATCACATACAGTGCTTAACATGGGGGCAACTCATTAACTGGGATCTAATGGGAGATTTGTTAGTAGCATGGTACATAAATGACTTCCGAGCACCGCGCTCGGACTTGTAGGACCTAAGTTGAATTCATCGCCTTCGTACTTTCTTTGCGGGCGTGTGCTTGTTGATTTAGGTACCAACTCTAATGGACGCGTAGCCACTGGCAAATGCCCACATACCCTAGTACTAGGCTGCAGCTGCCAACCATAATGCGCCACCAAACGCCCGACTTCAGCCGAGGTAGAAAGCAAAATAACCGGTTTGACGTCACTTACTGGCGATAGTTCATAAGTGCTGGCGAGCGGTATAGTAATTCTGCCGGAGTTGTCGCTGATCTGGTACTTGAAGCGATGACAGAACTGTGTGAAACTTCACCGCCGGTATCAGCCCCACAGCTAGACACTAAACCATGGGAGGACTTGCATTAAACCGGGTATACTCAAACTGCGGACCGGTTCTCGTTATGGTGTTCTCGTAAATCAAGGGAAGGATGGATGTCGTCACTTGTATGATTGAGTGTACGATTGTTTTGGTAAAAACATCAAGTCGTGTGATCATGCGTCGACGCAGGCTAGTCCCGAAACCACGAAACTTCCAACTCCTGTCAATCAACCGGGTCCCTACAGCAGGACATCACAGGACGATAGGAATTCGCAGTAAATGATCGGACATTGCAAGTCGTCCTGGGTTATTTTTAACGACTGGCCTAGTCCTGCAGACGGACGTCCGGAAAGTTCCATCCGTCGCAGTCGTTGTCGTACAAGGCAAGATCTGATGTGGAGAATGAAATATGAAACACCAGCGCATCAGCATCTACTGATTGTGTTTGATGTATGGGCACTGCAGCGAGGGAGTGGATTCTGAAGCTGCAGACGGCTCTCCGGACACCGGTGAATATTAATATTGCCCGTATCATTATTGGCGCCGACAAACAGCAGGTCAATCCCAAGTTCCTCAAGGCTTCAACCTGTATTAATATTTGGGAGCCCGCGGAATAACGCGCCCTCAAACTAGGCGGCTAGATCATTCCACGCTGTACCTGTGTGACCTCAAAGGTTCCTTCGGCATGTTTCATTAATAACTTGCGGAGATGGATGTGAACAAGGGTACACCGTTGCGGAAGCACATCTCTGGCAGTTCAAACTTTGGACTGAAACATTCAAACAAATGTACTATATTGTACTACATAATTCGGATTACCACCATATAGCATCCGCGACCCACAGCAAAAACGACTCAATATCATCGGTCCGACCGGCATCGGAAAGAGGTAAAACAATTTTGTAAGCTCTGAGTAGTAGAAAGCATCCCCTTCAGTGACGTGGTACCTAGTGTACCTGCCCAACACGCTTTACTGCGGTCTCCTGGTACCAATACGGCGCAGCTTTCAGCGAAAAGTTCTCAGATTCTGATCGGCCTTTCATGTTTACATTCCGAAATGGTTCAATCAAGATAGCCGACTGGCATCTGCGATCGACGAGAGCTTGGTGCAGTCGGTGTCGTACGTAGATACGCGCAGTAAACTGTTTGGACCGTGAACCGAAACTTGGTAGTAGTAGCCAAGAGTCCAAGACATTACACGTAGTGCAAACTTGGCGCTTCGGAGTAGAACTAGCCCATGGAATTAACGTCATGAAATACGGCAAGGACGTGGCCAGAGTCTTGGCATCTTCAAAACGACAATTGTACACAGTATCATTGCAAGGGTTTCTGTGAGGAGTTTAGGAGTTTGGCTTGAGCCCTATTTCGATGAGCATCGATATCCACGGACAAGGAACGATACGGAACGGCTGTGTCAAAGTTGCCGAGAATGGATTATTATGATTCTGACTGAATTAGGTTGCAGCTTCCGTATTTGGCTTTATTTGGTCGTTCGATCATTCTTTTTCGCTCATAAAGTCGCCTCATCGACGGGGCTGACACTCTCCCACTCCTTCATCCTCATCCTCCTTGACCCTCTCGTCACCGCTCCAAAAGTGCCCAAGACACTATAGATATTTCTGTAGGGCTCACCCCTCCTCCCCCCTCTGCATCGTCTTCCATGTCTGAACCAAACGTGGCCAAAGAGCCTGGTCCAAAAGGCGAAGAATCGCCTGTAGTCCGCTCACCAACTCCAGACGAAAAGAAGAAAAGAGAGTACAAGGAATTCGGTCACGATGAAGAGAAACCAACCCGTAGGCTTTTAACCTCTGACCGTACTCCCTGATCTTACTTTGCTTCTATTTCTATCTTTATCCCCACAGATGCCAATGTTGACATGGCATTGGTGAGTAGCCGCCGTGCTTGTAGTTCATCTCATCTCATCTTCCTTCTCGTTAGATTGAGTTGAAAGCAGAAGACCTTTACGATAAAGAAAAGGTCGACCTCGAGACTATCGTTATCGAGGATGTCTTCAAGCTCCTTCAATGCGACGAAAATGGTCTCAATGACGAAGAGGCGCAACGTCGTATTGAACTTTTCGGTCCCAACAAGCTTGAGCAGGAAGAACAAAAC